TTCTTCTTCTTCTTCTTCTTCTTCTTCTTCTTCTTCTTCTTCTTCTTATTATTATTATTATTATTATTATTATTATTATTATTATTATTACAATTTATATACCGCCTTTCTCCGAAGACTCAGGGCGGCTTACAATGCATTTTAAAAAACCATTATAAAAACATTTAAAAATTAAAACATTAAAACCCATTCACACCATTCATGTCTGGATCTCACAAGATTGCAACAGTGAGATCAACGGCCCCAGGCCTGCCAGAAAAGCCAGGTCTTCACCGCTTTTCGGAAGGCCAATAGGGTGGGGATGGTCCGGACCTCAGGAGGTAACTGGTTCCAGAGAGCTGGGTAGCCACAGAGAAGGCCCTCCCCCACAGGCCCGCCAGCTGGCATTGTTTAGCTGACGGGACCCAGAGGAGACCAACTCTGTGGGATCTTACTGGTCGCTGGGAGCTATGTGGTAGAAGGCGGTCTCGAAGATAACGTGGCCCTGAGCCATGTAGGGCTTTAAAGGTAATAACCAACACCTTGAATTGTAACCTAAGCAGAAGGTTTGTAGAATTCCAATTATATTTTAAATATCCCAATTAAAATAGAAATTGGAAGCATGCACTTACATCAACTTTATCTTCTTCAACAAGGATGTATTGGAAACCACATTTCTTCATAAAGGAAATATAGAGGCTGGGCAAGGCATCTGGATCGATGGGAGAATAAGCAGCAGGTACCTGTAGAAGTCTAGCAAAATGAAGCAAGCTACTTTCAGGCACCCAAACTTACAAAGGGTTCTTACCAGCAGAGAAGCTTATGGCTTTCTATGTAGTTCTGTAATATTTTACAGGATATTGGACAAAGATTAATATATGAGTGCCATATATTGGCATATATTGAGTGCCAATATATAAAGGCCAAAGTTTTAAAAATAAAGAGGGTTTATTTCTGTATGTCTCACTCCATCTAGTGGCTTAAGTTGTGAAGCAAAAAAAGTTAAGATTCTACAGATATTTGTGCCAATATCATATATCCTATTAAAAATTAATACATTACTATAGTGATATTAAAATTGCAGGAGGCAAATTCAATAGGGCATATTATACAAATAAATACTTTAAAACGATGATAATGAGGTGATAATAGCATGTCCTGCATTTATGTGAACCAATTTATATAACTGTAAAAGCATTAGCATTACCCGAGAATCCAAGAAGGTAAATTTATCCCTGGGTTACAGTAGAGACCTATTTCCAAATTTTCAGTAAGGTTGCAATGTTTCCTCAGGAAGTCTGTAAGTTCTGTAGCAAGGCTCATAACTGTCTTGTACATGTAGGAAACTGGAATCTGATGGTTACATGCATCAAAACACACGGCTCTTCTTTCAGGATATAATCTGGCCGCAGTCTGAACCATCTCATGCAGAGCCATTCTCAATATTTATCCTGCATATGTAAATAAGAAAAAACAACAACCAATCAATTAATTGAGAGTTAGTTTAGTCTAGTGGTTAATAAACCAGACTAGAAACCAGGAGTCAGTGAGTTCTAGTCCTGCCTTAGTCATGGAAGCTGGCTGGGTGACTTTGGGTTCTAAATTTTTTTACTATCGGTTCTGTGGGTGTGGCTTATTTTGTGGGCGTGGCTTAGTGGGGGGGTAATGTGACTGGGTGGGCATGGCCAACTTTTTTTTTTTTTAACTTTTAAAAGCATTTTTTCTACAACCTTAAGAGGTTCAGAAAAAAATGTTTTTAAAAGCCTCTGACAATTAGGCAACTCAGCTGGGATCGCCAGAGGCTTTTAAAGGCATTTTTTTTTCCTACAACCTCTCTGGCCGAAGAGGTTGCAAAAAGAAATGTTTTTAAAAGCCTCTGACGATCTCAGCTGAGCCGCGTGATCATCAGAGGCTTTTTTTTTTTAACTTTTAAAAGCATTTTTTCGGCCGAAGAGATTGTAGAAAAAATGCTTTTAAAAGTTTTTTTTTAAAAAAGCCTCTGATGAGGGTGGGCGGGGTAAGCGAGCGGCGACCAGGGCGGGGACCGGTTCGGGGGCGTGGCCAGCCAATGTTATTACCAGTTCTCCGAACTACTACAAATTTTTACTACCGGTTCTTGCAAACCAGTGCAGACCAGGAGCAACCCACCACTGCTTTGGACCAGTCACTCTCTCAGTCCAACCCACCTCACAGGGTTGTTGTGGGGAAAAAGGGAGGAAGGCGTATTAGTTATGTTCACCTCGAGTTATTTAAAAATAATAAAGGTGAGGTAAAAAATTTAAATAAAAATGTTCTTTTAAAAAAACTTACAAAACATACCCAATAACAGATAATTTTAAACTTGAAAGGAATATATATTTTAATGTACAGAGCTGTGTTCTACAAAATCGGTGGCTATATAAAATAGAATGTTTTCCATAGTATGCGTTACATTTATATTTATAGTTCTGATAATTATTCTGATATTGTGGCATTGAGTACAAAAGGATTTTATTCTATTTTCTATTATTTAAAAGAGAAAGCCCAGATATATACTATAATTCAGACATAGAGTGGGAGAATTACTCATGTTTTCACATGCCCATGTTCCATCGGGCACTACTGTACTATACTGTACTGTATTGCTTAAACATCTGTTAAGATTAAAATAAATAATAATAAAATATAGAAAAGAGATAAAATATCATAAAGAGCTAGTAAATTTGCAAGTTGGTTTTTTTAAACTATTAAGTTATACTCATTTAGCTTTACAGAATTAAAAGAAGCCAGTTTGTAATGTTATGAAGCCAAAGTTGTAGTTAAAGGCAGCATTACTATACCGATAGTTCTTGACTTACAACTATTCCTTTAACAACTGACTCTTCAAAGTTACAACTGAACACCGAAAAAGGGACTTTTGACTGTTCTCACATTTACAACTGTTTCAGGATTCCCAAAGGATCAAAATTGATCATCTGACCATATGAAAGCATGAGCTATAGTAAGATGCAATAATATGAGTAAAGGTGAAGTATAGATAAATGAGATAAAATAGACTACAGATAGTCCTTGACCACTGTAACAGGTAACATGAGTATTTTTCACACTGATGACTGTTGCAACACCCCTATGGTCACATGATCAAAATTCAGATGGCTTGGCAACCGGTTCATATTATACACCTTATACACATTATACCTATACACCTAAGACAAATTCCTTGTGTGTCCAATCACACTTGGCCAATAAAGAATTCTATTCTATTCTATTCTATTCTATATTTATGATGGTTGCAGTGTCCCAGATTCATATGATCACATTTTGTGACCTTCTGAAAGCAAAATCAATGGGGAAGCCAGATTCACTTAACAACCGTTTTACCAACTAACAACTGCAATGACTCACCTAACAACAGTCGCAAGAAAGGTTGTAAAATGGAGCAAAACGTACTTAACAACTATCTTACTTAGCAATAGAAATTTTGGGCTCAACCGTGATCGTAAGTCGAGGACCACCTGTACAGTGAGGTAAAATGAAATATACTTAGATAAAATAAAGATAAAAGAGCTAAGATAAAGTAGAATGCAGGGATATAGAATAAAATTAATATTTAAGTTCCAAAACAGTATGTCTTTAGGTGAATTCATCACCTTTGCACAGATATATGTATGTGATACATACATACATATATATGCACAAAGGTGATGAATTCACCTAAACAGATACTATTTTGAAACTTTAATATTAGTGGTGAAATCCAAATTTTTTTACTACTGGTTCTGTGGGCGTGGCTTGGTGGGCATGTCAGGGGAAGGATATTGCAAAATCGCCATTCCCACCCCACTCTGGGGCCAGCCAGAGGTGGTATTTGCCGGTTCTCCAAACTGCTCAAAATGTCTGCTATCAGTTCTCCAGAACCTGTCAGAACCTGCTGGATTTCACCCCTGGTATGTATGTATGTATATATGTTGTGTGTGCGTATGATTATAGTCAGGCCTGCCCCAACAGACAACACATTTTATACAACATATTGAGGTGCATGCAAAGGTGATGAACTGACCTAAACACATACCGTTTTGGAACTTTAATTTTACACACACATATATATATTTGTGCCCTGAACTCTTAACTTATGAATTTCCTGTAGTTAACTATTTAGCTGATCACCATGGGAACAAATTCCAGGGTCATCTGTTCTGATTCATTTCTCATTTTCCTATGTTAAAAATTAAAAATGGTGGAATAGCATTTCCCCACCCTTTTTATCAGTCTATAACAGGAGTCTCCAACCTTGGCAACTTTTAAGACTTGTGGACTTCAACTCCCAGAATGCAAAGCGAAGCTCGCTGGGGAATTCTGGGAGTTGAAGTCCACAGGTCTTAAAGTTGCCAAGGTTGGAGACCCCTGGTCTATAAGGAGATGCACTGGAATATTTTCCAGCCTGCTTCAGAAGACTCTATCCAGGCCAGGACCAGATCCAGTTTGGAAGCCAAATAGCAGTGTCCGAGACACAGAGGGGCCTTCACCCTTGGCTCGCCAGAGAAGCTCACGCTTTGCTCCTGCACATCCAGAAGATTCAGGTGAGGATGGCCGCTTTATGCTTTGTGGACTTCAACTCCCAGAATTCCCGAGCCAGATATCTTCACTCTCAGGCTGCAGAGAAACAAGATACAGTAGTGGCCAAAATTGTGGAAACCTTTTGGGAAAAGTGTATTTTTGAGGTTTGATGGCCAATAACACTTTTTTTTTGGAGTTTCAAGATAATCATATTCCACTGCTGGAATGGCCTGGGAATAGCCAAGACCTTAACCCAACTGAAAATCTATGGAGCCGACTAAAGACACTTGTTAGTCAGAAGCGACCCAGCAATAAAACCCAGTTAATAGAAGCAACCATTCAATCTTGGTTTCACATTGTAACAGCTGCAGAACTAAAAGACTTGGTTCACTCCATGGGAAGACATTGTAAGACCGTAATCCATGCTAAAGGTTACCCAACTAAGTATTAACTGACTTGGTGATAATTTTTGTACATCTCATTTTTTCTATGTGTTTCACTTTTCTTCTTTATACTGTAATGGCTGTTCTAATAGCAAATTCTTCATAAAAGTTATTGCATTGCATTCCTGATTAAATGATCTTTCCATTGATCTATAATTTTATGCTACTACTCCAAGAAAAAAAAAGTGGTGTTATTAGCTAGTTTTGGAAAATACACTTTTCCCAAAAGGTTTCCACAATGTTTGGCCACTACTGTAGCTGTCTCCAAGTGTCTGATGAAGGAACATTATGTAGAAAGTGAGGCAGAGTCATTGTTCCAGAAAATGGGATAAGAAAAAGTGGGCTTTTTTTTTTAATAAATTTTTATTATAGTTCAAAAAAAACAAAAAAAACAAAAACATATATATATAATAGTTTTTCTATCACGGTGTAACATCACCAAAATATCCATGTATATATACACCAATAATCAGAAAGTAAAAATAGAAATTATTTACATATTCTTATATACAAATTTACATTTCCAATACTTATTGATTACCATAATTATACCATCATCTATAATTATAATCCAACATTAACCTTTATCTCTCTCCCATCGTTTCTGGATCCAATCATACCACATGTTCCAACTACTATAAAAATCTGAATCTCTTTTACCTTTGATCAGTTTTGTAAGTCTGTCGGACTCCGCACATTCCATAATTTTATAAATTATTTTTGAGTCCGTCGGTAAGTCCTCATTCTTCCATTCTTGTGCGAATGCCAGTCTCCCTGCAGTGATTATGTCCCAACAGAAAAGTTTCAGGTTTCAGTTCTATTCTACAGTGTGTAATTTCAAGCAACCATCGCCGTATTTTCATCCAATATTTGGCTGCCAGTGGACATGTCCACCATTGGTGGAAGTAGGTTCCATTGCTATGCCCACATTTCCAGCACTGTGGAGAAAGTGGGCTTTTAATTACAAGGAAGTAGGGTTGTTTTTTTTTGGCTGGCTCGGGAATTCTGGGAATTGAAGCCCACAAGTCATAAAAGGGCCACCGTTTCCCACCCCTGCATTAAAGTCCTCTTGGCAAGAGGGTGGGAGACACACAAATACACACACACACAAACCTTCTTCCAGCATACTTTTCCAACTTCCCACCTAAGGCACCAACCAGGAAAGGTCCTTGGGGAATCGACGCAGGTGCAGCCTTTGGCCTTAATAATAATAATAATAAAGCAACTTCTGCCCCGCTTCTTGCAGGAACGAGGAGCCTCCTGGAGAAAGGAAACGGGCGCAGGATGCGCTTTCCCCCGCGGGGGCCTTCTCGGCACCCGTCGCCTTCGAGCCTTTCCTTTCTACCTACCGCGGGGCGCGCTGCGAAAGGGCGGAAGAAGGGACGGTGAAGCCGAAAGGGGAGGAGGAGGCGAAGGAGGAGCCCGATTGCACGCAACTCCAAAGGGCGTTAGGCTGATTGGCTGGCTGGCTGGTTACCAGAACAGAGTCTGTCTCCCAATAGCAATAGCTTCTAACAGGGGTCTCCAACCTTGGCAGCTTGGAAGACTTGTGGACTTCAATTCCCAGAATTCCTCAGCCAGCAAAGCTTGTGGACTTCAACTCCTCAGAATTCTGGGAGTTGAAGTCCACAAGTCTTCCAAGTGGCCAAGGTTGGAGACCCCGGGCTTCTAAGGCAGGATTTGCCTTGCCCGCTGCATTTTTTGTTTTTGAAGAAATTTTTTATTTATTTTTATTTTTAAACATAGATAAAATACATCTTTTTAGAGCAAGGGTTTGATCCGGTATAAAATTAAGTACAATTGCTCACCCTCCCTTCCAAATTTCATCCATTAACATCTTAAAAAGAAAAAAAGAAAAAGAAAAAGACACAAGGAAATCCAAACCCAAATTTTATCACTCAATCTAACATCTTATTCTAAATATTTGGCATTCTGCTATATCACCCTAAATCTAAGGCAGGATCGGCCTTGCCCGCTGCATTTTGGAAGAGGGTAATAATAGGGATGCAGGATGCAATTTCCGCCTGCGTTTCCTTGCATCGGATGAGAAGAGCACCTCTTTCTATTTGAGGGGCTGCCACAAAGAAGAGGTGGGGGTGGGTGGATGGGTCAAATTATTTTTTTTCCCAAAGCACCAGAGGGGGAAGGAGGGGGGGCAGGACAAGAAACAAGGGGTTGGAAACAAACCAAAGAGAGAAGCACCACCTGGAATTAAGGAGGAATTTCCTAACAGTGAGGACAATTAGGCCGTGGAACCAGCTTGCCTTCAGAAATCATGGGTGCTCCATCACTGGAGTTTTTTTAAAAAAGAGACTGGACAGCCACTTGCCTGAAATGGTATAGGGCCGTGATGGCGAACCTATGGCACGCGTGCCACAGGTGGCACGTGGAACCATATTTGTGGGCACGTGAGCGTTGCCCTAGCTCAGCTCCAGTGCGCATGCGTGCGCCAGCCAGCTGATTTTTGGGCTTTCCGGTCTTACTGGAAGTCGGGAAATGGGCCATTTCTGGCCTCCGGAGGGCCTCTGGGGAGGGGGAGAAGACCATTTTCGTCCTCCCCAGGCTCCAAGAAAGCCTCTGGAGCCTGGGGAGGGTGAAAAATGGGCCTGGGGCGGGGTGCATTGAATTATGGGTGTGGCATGCACATGTGCGACCCCCCCATGTTCCCCCCACTTTTGGCACACAACGGCAAAAAGGTTAGCCATCACTGGTATAGGGTCTCCTGGTTGAACAGGGGGTTGGACTAGAAGACCTCCAAGGTCCCTTCCAGCTTCTATTCCTATTCCTATTCCTATTCCTATTCCTATTCCTATTCCTATTCTATTCTATTCTATTCTATTCTATTCTATTCTATTCTATTCTATTCTATTCTATTCTATTCAGTGGTGGGTTGCTACCAGTTCTGGCGAACTGGTAGCAGTGGTGGCAGGAGGCTCCGCCCACCTGTCCGAACGCTTCTTCGCATGTGCAGAAGCATTGCACAAGCGTGTGAGCATTCACGAGTGAATCGGTAGCAATGGGTTTTGAAACCCGCCCCTGATTCTATTATTCTATTCTTCCCTATCCCTATCCCTATCCCTATTCTATTCCTATTCTCTCTACTCTACTCTACCCTAGCCTAGCCACTTTTTACAGAGGCATGATTGAGAGCGTTTTAACAAACTGCATCATTATTTGGTTTGGTGGCAGCAGTGCCTCCGATAGAAAGTCCATACAGAGAGTGGTAAGGACAGCCGAGAAGATTATAGGAAGCTCACTTCCCGTTGTTCAGGATACTACTTATAAGTGCTATGTACTTAGAACTCAAAGCATCATTAGAGACCCCATACACCCACTTCACAGTCTGTTTCTGATGCTCCCCTCTGGGAAGAGGTTTCGAATTATTTCTAGCAGGACTACCAGATTCTGTAACAGCTTTGTTCCTTTATGCCATCTGGTAAACTTGCCAGATTTGTTTTTCTCTCCATGTGCATGTATACATCCAAACTAGACTGTATTGTTTCTCCGTGTCATACATGTGGGTATATATGCATAATTTTGTATTTATTTATTTAATGTTTACGTAGTGTATATTGGAGGGGGTGACCTTTTGAGAGCTGTATGGAACAAAATTTCATTTTAATGTATTTATTTTATTTATACTTCGATTTATATGCCACCCTTCTCCGGAGACTCAGGGCGGCTTAAAATGCATTAAGTAATAGCCTTCATACTTTTGTATATACCTGCTTAGTAGGGCTTTTTTGCCCCCCCCCCCAAGCAGTGTTCTATTTTTATACAAAGTCAGCTTATTGCCCCCACAAACCGGGTCCTCATTTTACTTACCTCAGAAGGATGGAAGGCTGAGTCAACCTTCAGCCTGGTGAGAATTGAACTCGCAGTAATTGCAGGCAGCTGGCAGCTAAGTACTACTTTAACAGCAGTTTAGTCTGCTGTGCCACCAAGGCTCATTATTGTATGCCGATTAGTGTACTTTTAAAAGTGACAATAAAGGTAGTTTAAGTCTAAATGACCCAAAGGGGATTTTAATTACGACTTTCCACTGTTCTTTTTATAAAAAAAAGAGTTTGATCTTATAATTTTTTTAAAAATTAAAATTTCACACTTTTAGAATTTTTAGAAAATACATTGGGAGTTAATACTAGGAGTCATCCGTCGTAAATAAAACCTTATTCTCTTTATTCAACATGTACTTAATTGAAAGGGGGGGATCTCAGGAGCGTGGCCGTGGCTGACCGGCTCCATCATTCTCTATGGAGAAGCATCTCAACAGTTCTCCCTCTTGTCTTGGCGCAGTCCGTGATTCTCTTCCTTCACTCTAGACCTAGTAAGAAATGGATTAAGGAACCCCGGGGATGTTAAATGATTTCATGGGTTAAATGACTTGTGGGCTGATCAAAAGTGAACCCGCCGGACAGTAAAGCAGAGAGATCACGGCATTGCAAAGTGCAATAAAGGAAACACTGATGAACCCCTTCTATTCTACACCCCGCCAATTAAACAATTTGGCAAGTTTGGCTTATAGGAGGTCCCTTCTCACTGCAGGTCTCGTGCGTTGCTTAAGAGTGCTGGAGTAGCATTAGGAAGGTCAAGATCAAAACTTAAGACAAAAGTGCTTTTGGAAAAAATACTATCCCATCTAAGGATGTTTGTATGTGCAGATAGGGGATTCTAGCACAGCTGAGAGCTTGAAGAAGGATAAAGAGTTTCTGCAATTGCTAATTTAGTGTCAAATAGAAATCCAGGATAACAAACTGATGAGTGGGATTATCAGTTCTTATGGGATACTGCTTATCTTACTGCTGACACAGCAAAGAAACTCGAGACGAGCTGCTTTATGTTGGATGAACAATGCTGTACGAGGCTGGATGTTTCAAGCAATACCCAAAGGTATTGGATGCTTGCATACTTTCTTTGTAGATCGACTTCAGACTGCTTTTCGTATCATAATTTTTTTTTCCTTCCTTCCTTCTTTCCCTCCCTCAGTTCACATAGAGAAGAGCATAGGATAGAAAAAATAAGCCAAGTCCACGAAGGAGTGTGTCAAAGCAAGATGCATTTAATTAAGGTGACCAACTTTTTTACAATGAGGGCACAAATAAATTGAAGAAAAAAAAAAGAAGTGAGTCTAATGCATGTGTGTGCCGTGTCGTGTTTTGGTAAGAAGTAAACACAGCCACCTGCGCAGGGCGCACTCTCTCAAAACAATACTCCTGTGCGGAGCGCATGCGTCTCATAATTGTGTCTCGCTGCAGTGTACCGAGGCTTGACAAATCGTCATGTCAAATACAAATTCGTCACATCACACGCAACGGATCGGATTGGCATCGATCGAATACGGAGATTTACAGTCTTCAAATATCAAAAAGGAGGACATGTAGGACACTTTTCGAGAAAGGACAGAACTTACAAAAGAAGGACTGTCCTCCCTAAAGGACTATTGGTCACCTTAATTTAATTAAATGTGTTATTTAATATTTCTGTCGTGGCTGTTTGCTAAGAACTGATTAATGGTTTCATGTAGTCCTCCATTTGTTTAGTGATTGTTTGAAGTTACAACAGCAATAAAAAGTGACTTTGGATGGCTTTTCACACAACAGTTGTAGCATTCCCATGGTCATCTGATCAAAATTCAGACTTTGGCAATTGGCTCATATTTATGATGGTTGCATTGTCCTGGGGTCATGTCATCATTTTTTGCAACTTTCTGACAAAGTCAATGGGGAAGCCAGATTCAATTAACAAACCATGTTAGTAACTTAACAACTGCAGTGATTAATTTAACAACTATGGCAAGAAAGGTCATGAAATGGGGCAAAATTCACTTAACAACTGTCTTGCTACCAATAGAAAATTTGGGCTCAATTGTGGTCCTAAATTGAGGAGTAACTGTATTAGCATGTAACACAGAAAATCTAAATTGGAGAATTAGTTTTATGTCAGACTTCTAGTTATGGAATCTCGGAAGCTTAGAAATAAATCTCTGCAGTGCTCCACAGTTTACCATATGACTTTAGATAGAAACTTTTTTGTGAGTAAAAATAAACAAAAAGCTTTGTTTTATTCTTTATTAAAACTAATCCTCAATTTCTTAAGGGGTGATGGAAGCAAGTCAGGTATAAGCCCTGAAAAATTAAATAATCTCTTATTACATTAAAAGCCCATAAAAGAATAATTTTCTCAAGTATTTGGATTTCATTTTACCCTTCCTCAAGTCACTTTACTTTTTTCTAAAAGATACGATAAACCAAACCAATCTTTAGCTGAATACTATTGGAAAGCCAAGGTAAAACATGTTGCATGCTTGTTACTAATACTATATGGTTATTTGCATGAGTTAATTTATTAATTTGGCACTTAAGCATTTCTTAAGGAACCATGGGCATTTTTCAGAAGGATAAAAATAGGTAAAACAATATTGCTAATATTATATTGCTAATACTGCTTTGGTACAATCAGTACCGAGTAGGAATCACAATAGACTTAATGCATTCAAATACTGTAATCCATATGGCTTAAAAGTATTTGTTAAAAAACAACAACACACAGTTATACTGAGAGATTTTTAAAAATTCATTTATTTTTTTTTAAAGATAACACATTTAAATGGATAGCATTTCAAGTGCACTTCCCTTGTTGTTGATGGCAGTCTTATAATTTAAAAGGTAGCAGTTATAGAATGTAAGATCTTTTGTGCTTTTGCTGCCTCTTTTCTTCATGAATACCCATATCTTTACCACTTACATAAATGTTTGAAAATCAAATAAAAGTGAAAGCAAAGCTTCCCAGCTCAAACCGTTATTGCACTAAAAACCATTCGTAAGCACACTGTGGGAAAAAGTTGGTGTCTTTTTCCTCACTATCATCTCCTGTACAGACCTGGGAAAGAAATTAATTGCTAAGATACATCATGTATATTTGCAATTCATCATCATATATATATAGCACTGCAACATCCAATAAGTTTCTCTGTGCCCTTTTCCATATAGGAACTAAGGGTTTGTTTTTTAAAAAAGAAAAATTAGATCTTCCAACCATTCTTAGCTCTTCTCATTTCTTTCCCCTGTTCATATATTTTAAATGGTTGCATTTAAAATTGGAAAAAAATTTTTTTAACAATGCCTTCCTCTGCCTTGATTTGGTGTTTCATATTAAGGCATACTATTTTTATACGTAACTTCTAATAATTGCACCAATAGTTGTCTTAATGCACACCATTCCTGATTATGCATACTGACTCTCTCTAGCCAATAAAGGACCTTCTCTATATATTGAAGAAGGCAAATACTGTGGTATTAAAAATCTGCAGGGTCGTAGAAGCTGTGATATTATTACATAATATTACAGCCTTATGAAGCTGTAATATTCCAGAAGGAGCAGACAGAAACACACAGGCAGTAAAGCTTGATCCTACAATACTAAATTATACATCACATTCATCAAAAGAGGTTGACAACAGAAATGGAGTTTGTTGCATCTCCCCCACTGCTTCAGAATTAACTGACTGGAATCCCCAGAGGGAGAATGTTTTGGCATATGACCATCTCTGAATTTTTTAAAAAAAAGGTTAGCTACAAGTATTAGGTATGTTTTTTTGATAGCGTGACCTTAAGAGTTTGCCCCTAGTATTTATTTTCTATATGTAAGCAAACTAGCGTCATGTTATGATCGACCCCTAACCATTATCGCCTGTATTTTTATTTAATTTATATGGCTGTTCAGATCAGACATTGTGTCATACAATATATAAAAAAAGAAAACAACAGTTTAAGGCATTTATATTTAAATTGTTTTTCAATGGGAGATATTTTCAAGTCATGTTATTGGAATGGCTTTCTAATTTTTGTCTTCCTTGCCACTAAATTTTTTTAAATGTAAACTACAGAAAGCCAAAAAGGTATTTTTGCAGTTTTTTTTCCCTTCCTTAATTTTATTTATCATTTGTGAAATTGATCCACCTCCCAAAGCGAAAAACAAGAAAGTCATTTGTTAGAAAAGCAATAGAGATTGTTGGAGCCCCCCCCCCAATATCCAATCAAATTAGAGGAAAGATGCTTTAAAGGTAAAGTGTCCCATACAGGTGGTAACAAGAGTAGCCATGTTTAAATACCAAAGCAGTAGGCAGAGATCAGGTATGTAGATTTAGGTCCATGCACTGGATAATGTTACCCTGGCCTGGTAATGACACATCTGCAGAAGCAACGCACAGGGTATGCCAAGAACCCAACCAAGATTCACAAAAATTTGGGGAGAGGAGTTTTGAGACTTCCGATGTGTTACCCAATCATCTCAGCCACAATGAGAAAAGTTCTCTATATCCTAAATCAGCAATCTGACCTGACTGTATGACAGTCCTACAGAATAGTTGTTAAGTCTTTCGTCAATTACACAGGAAACATTTGGAGTTAGTTTTTGTGCTGACAAACATTATCCAAAATGTGTGGAAATTAATATTTGGAAATGATGGCTGTTTTATTCCCATGCAGAAGACTGTTCAGATGTTAGTGACTATAAGCAGGGTGATAACAGGATAGCCCAACATTTGCTACTGGGCGTGGGTATCTTCTATTGATGTGGAAATGAAATACAGAATGAACAGGAAGGGTAAACATAGTTTATGTTTTCAAGAGACTAAGCATAGCAAGAAGTCCTTCATGTCATTTCTCCAGCAATTAAAAAAAGAACAGTAGCCTGGTGTGAATCATATCTCTGGTAGCTGGACCTTGAGTGTCAGACTGAGTTTTCTCCTAACAAAAAAATACGTTTGGAAAGAAACTTTATCAGTTTGGAAAGTTATAACTACCTCTGATCAGTCACCAAATCCCTTTGTTAGATTATTTAGAGGTTAGAACTTTGGAGTAGGAACACACTTATTTTCTACTTGAAATCAGAAGTGTCATCTGAATTATATAAATGAATTGGCTTTCATTCCAAATACCACCCTCCCAACTATTGTTAAATAGAATAATAATCTGAATGAATACAATGAATTTTTAAATGTAAAATGAAAATGATTAAAACAGCAATATATATTAAATTATTATCATTAAATTTGTTCTAATTGAAATAAAGTTGTGTGTTAATTTTTCAGTGTTTGGAGTCTTCTTTGAAGGCTACCGTGTTTCCCCGAAAATAAGACCCTGTTTTATATTTTTTTTGAACCCTGAAATAAGCACTTAGCCTTATTTTCAGGGAGGTCTTATTATTTTGGGGCGCGGGTAGCAAGATGGGGTTCCTCTTGCAGTCTTACCTGATTTCCAGCTCTGTCTCCCTAACCCTAACTGGAAATGATGGGGACCGGCTGCACATGTGGTTAAATATTTTCGGGGGAGGGTTTATTTTAGTGCTCAAAAGCCCGACTGGGTTTATTATCCGGGGAGGTCTTATTTTCAGGGAAACAGGGTAGTTGCAGCAAAAGAAGTCAACATTTAAGTATTGAATCTGACAGAAGATACTGAGGAAAATAAGCCCTTATATTTAGTGATGATCAACCGATGATTTTTTTCCTGGCACACCTCTTTAATAAGCAACTTTTATAAGGTAAATTTTCCAGACTTTAAAAAAAAAAATTAAGGCTGAAGGTATTAGTTGCTATTTGTTTAGCAGTTCCCTGAGGCTCCTTGTCTCAGCCAAGCACTATATAAAAATAATATTCAGTCTTTGGCGGCAGATTACAGCTCAAAGTTGCAGCTTTAAAAAAGTACACTCCATCTATACAGACGAAGGATCCCATATTTCCGGATAAAACCAGTGACAAGAGTAGTGAAATTTAAAAGATCTGTTTGTTGATTTAAGATCAAATTCACATTTTTAAAAAAATGACTGAACACAGCTTAAAATGTGAGATGGCTTAATGGCTCACAACCTCTCACAATGTAATTGTTAAGAAACATACATTATTGTGAGTGAAAGCCTTAGAAGATCACCTTCAAAGTTTCTTGGCAAGATTAGTCCAACAATGGAATCAAGAGATTTTTGCCAGGTCTTTTACTCATTCACACTCCCCTCCTACCATTTCCCCCACTATAGCATTATTGCATGATTGTTTTAAAATTTATTCTTTTTTTGCTCCTTTTTTACCCTCTCCAAATAAGGTTTAAGCAAACGTGAGTGGTTTGATTACTTGCTTAGCAGCAACACAACATTTCATCAGTTCCAAACTTTAAGCCTTTGGTGATAACATTCACAAAATTCACCACTCTAGCTCTACTGGATATACTCCAACCAGGCAAGCTGTACAATGGCCGATTTTCCCGCTTTTGAACTTGTTCGTTTTTAGGTTATTTTCATGGTCTTGTCTTGCTTTTATGCTTTCTTGAACAGACGAAACCAATCCTTCTACTGAGAGGTAAACAACGCTGTCAGCTCCTGAAGAGAAGGAAAAACGTATCATTGAAAATTGTACTATCTTACGCTGTCTAAATTGCTTAACTCGAAGATTTTCTATAGTTGGATCTTTAATAAAATATAGTGATTGGTAATTGCACCATTAGAACTACTGATTTAACATGTCGGGTAAATTTGTACAGGTACAAAACCTTCATTTACATTGTAGATTTCAATTTTTTATATATTTTTGGTATCTTTTTTTTAGATACCAAAGATCTCTGCATCTTGGGCTTCTGTTAATTTAGTTACTTGATAATGCTTGTTAATCATAGTTCAATCAAAAGAATGAAAAATGTGTTAAAATGTGTTAAAATATGATATTAATGTTTTATTTTCCAATGACATTCCAACTGTAAAAAGTTCTGTTTTCAGGAAGAGAAATTCCAAATATAGAACTAGCAAGGACCTGACATTTTAATTAGATGAATCAATTAACATTAGCTAATCTTGATTCTTCGGATTTAAAAACTTGTTGAGCATTGTTTAGACCTACCTAAGGCAAAGATTTTGGTTTTATATACATCAGCTGTCAGATTGTATTTCCAATTATATAAGGCAAAATCTGCTGTGCCTTTTATTTAGATGAATGAAATATTGACCAAATATATGTTAGCCACTCTAAACATTCCATATTAATTCTAATCTAATCTTGCAAATTATTTAATGATGTAAGTCTGCAGCACATTAATATATGCTTATTTCATTAAGCAAAGGCATTAATATATGCAGAAAAATCAATGCATTAAATGGATAGTAGAAACAAATTCATGTAAACAATCCTCCTTTAACTAACTACAAACATCTCTGTTTGTGTGTGGAGATAAAACATTGAAAAACAGGGACTTCCAAACCCCTGCTCAGGAGATCCTGTACCAGAGGTGGTATTCTGTTGGTTCGCACCGCTTCGGGTGAACTGGTAGCAGAGATTGCGGGTAAGCCCGCCCACCCAACCCGGCTCAAGTCGTGCTATTTAGAGGCACGTTTTCGAGGCCGGGCGCATGAACAGAAGGTGTGGGAGCAAACAAAGCGAAGAGAATGTGCGCATGGCGAACCGGTGGTAAAGGTAAGTGAAACCCACCAGGGATAGGTTCTACTTACCTTTACTACCGGTTCGCAATGGAAGCACACGCTTTTCTGTGCATGCTCAGATCACTGGTGATGACGTCGTGGCAGGTGGGCGGAGCCTCCTGCCAATTTTACTACCGGTTCTATAGAACCGGACCGAACCAGGGGCAACCCGCCACTGAAACCCACCTCTGCCCTATACCATTCCGGACAAATGACGGTCCAGTGTTTCTTTAAAATCTTCAGTGATGCAGCACCCACAAATTTTGGAGGCAAACCGTTCCACTGATTGTTCTTACTATATCAGGAAATTTCTCCTTAGATCTAGGTTGGATGTTTCTTTAATGATCTTCCACCCATTACTTCTTCTCCTGCCTTCAGGTACTTTTTGGAAAAGTCGAACCCTCATATCTGTGACAGCTTCTCAAGTACTGGAAGACTGCTAGAAGAGTTCACTTTAAACTTCCATGTCCCCAGACACTGCCTCTTTTATACAAAATAAAGTATCTTTTGCACATTCCAGTACTTGAAGAAATTATGAGGAAAAAAATAAACCCCATTCCCACATAGATCCTGAATATGCAAGACTCTGTACATGCAAAGGTCTTTGGTTATATCATAGTTTTTCTCCATTCAAGAAATAACATTGTCTATTCAAAATTAAGCAACTGATTCCTATTGGGCTTGTTCTAATTCCAATAAATGAGAAGAGCATTGAAGTTCAATACGTCTGGAAAATTTAACCCATCATTTCAAAAGAGGATCATGTCAGCTTTTACATGATATAAAGAGACACAGGTGAAAGGCTAATATTCTATGAATTTCTGCAATGCTATAACCACCAACACAACCTGATTAATTATAACTGTAACAATCTCTGCTGTAATAACTCAATTTGTCTTCAAGATTAACCTGGCTACTCTTCTAAAACTTTTGCTTGAATGAAAAATAAAATATTTTTTACCTATGTACCCCGCTAGGTCTTTAAATTCAGGCCTGTTTGCAATAAGTTCTTCTTTTGTTGGAATGTTTATTCCCATGTAACATGGAAATTTTATTGGAGGTGAAGCCACACGGATGTGCACCTGTGAGAGGAAATGCTATTATGATACTGGCAGGTTTTAATTACGTCATAATTTGCAACGGGCAACTTGAGTCAACTTCAGATGCTACCATGTTTCCCCGAAAATAAGACCCTGTCTTCAGGGGTGAAATCCAGCAGGTTCTGGAGAGCCGGTAGCGGAAACTTTGAGCAGTTTGGAGAATCGGTAGCGGAAATTTTGAGTAGTTCGGAGAACTGGCGAATACCACCTCTGGCTGGCCCCTGAATGGGGTGAGAATGGAGATTTTGCGATATTCTTCCCCAGGAGTGGGGAGGGAATGGGGATTTTGCAGTATCCTTCCCCTGCCACGCCCACCAAGCCACACCCACAGAACCAGTAGTAAAAAAATTTGGATTTCACCACTGCCTGTCTTATATTTTTTTGAACCCCGAAATAAGCGGTTGGCCTTATTTTTGGGGAGGTATTATTTTGGGGCATGTGGAGCAAGATGGGGATCTTCTTGCCGTCTTACCTGATTTCCAGCTCTGTCTCCCTAACCCTAACCAGAGGAAATGGCAGGGACCGGTTGCGCATGCGTTTAAACATTTTCGGGGAGGGCTTATTTTCAGGGGAGGTCTTATTTTCAGGGAAACACGGTACAAGGATAAGGGTAAGAACAGAAGACACTGTTGAAGAATTGACTGGGTTTGTCTTAGTAGCAAGAAGAGTAGTAGTTAGAAGCAGAAGAGCATTGAAAGAGAAACAAGTTAGTCATGAAACATCTCTTCCCCTTCGTTTCCCTCTACTCTGATATGCACACTTACCTCCTTAGCACCAGATTCTCTCAATAGTTTAATTATTGGGGAAATAGTGTTGCCTCGCACGATCGAATCATCAATAAGGACAACTCGCTTTCCCTTGAAGTTGTCCGACAAGACTCCAAATTTTTTGGCCACTCCCAGCTGTCTTAACCTCATGTTTGGCTGGATGAAAGTTCTTCCTACATATCTGTTTTTGCAAAGCACTTCAACGTACGGTAAGCCACACTGAAAACAAGCAAAACAACAAAGATCTAGTACATTTCTGGTGCAGTGATTAAAATAATTTCCATTATCAAATTGGTTTGCAATGAACTGACTTTTTAATTCATCGCTTTGAACTGCACAAAGAAAAGACCAAATGGCTCAAAATCTGTATTAGTACAATTCCCTCTTTTTCTTTGTAACATGATTTATTCATTTGGTATTCTAATTCAGAGTAAAAGTAACAGACAAAGTATTTTTTTTATCAATGTTTTCCTGATGTTTTGTTTTGTATCGGGCTCAAGTGGATTATAAATTATAATTTAAAAAAACAATTAAAAACAAGGGTATAAAGAAATACCTTCTGTGCATAGCCAAGGGCTGCAGGAGTTGCAGATTCTGGGACTGTGCTAACCAAATCTGCTTCCACTGGAGCCTCAATAGCAAGCTGTTGACCGCATCTCCTTCTTACAGAATATACCATTTGACCTATGTGAAGAATGAAAACGTTGGGTGTGTTTTTATGCCGAATTAGCCATAAATCTCTCTTCTGATTTTAAAATTACACATCTAATAGAAGTGCCACTTTAATTTAGCTTTCTGAGAAGCACCTAAGTTTCAACTATGATGGTCAGGTCTCATGAAAACTTGACCTAATAAATTCAGATTCTTTTAAATTTACATAGCAATTTCCATATTATGCATCCAAGAGCCTGTAATATCAATAATACTTAAGACTTATAGACTGCTTCACAGCGCTTTTACAGCCCTCTCTAAGCAGTTTACAGAGTCAGCATATTGCCTCCGACAATTTGGGTCCTCATTTTACCCACCTCGGAAGGATGGAAGGCTGAATCCACCTTGAGCCTGGTGAGATTCGAACTGCCAAACTGCAGGCAGCCAACAGTCAGCAGAAGTAACCTGCAGAACTTCATTCTAAGTATTGTGCCACCACGGATTTGCTGTAAGAGCCAATCCAGGAAGCCAGAACTATACAATTAGTCCTTGAATTACAACCATTCGTTTAGTGACCATTCAAAGTTACAACGGGACTGAAAAATGTGATTGTTTTTCACCATTGCAGTATCCCCAAGATCACATGATCAAAATTGGGACACTTGGCAACTGGTTCATATTTTATAATCGTTGCAGTGTCCCGAGATCATGTGATTACCTTTTGCAACCGTCTGATGAGCAAAGTCAACGGGGAAGCCAGATTCACTTAACAACTGTGTTACTAACTTAACAATTGCAGTGATTCACTTAACAGCTGTGGCAAAATTATGTTGAGCTTCATGGAAGAGTTTGAAATGCTGCTTCTCCAAATATTTCCCCCACCTGTGCTAAATTGCGCCTTACAAGATAAGCTGTTAACTGATTTGCCTGCTATTGCTTACTTGTTTATGTCTGTTTTCTTCTATTTCTTTCTGAAACCACCTCCCAATTTCTATTAATTCTTCACAATACAAATTTTCACCCATCAATACTATAATCCCACCCCTTATGAAAAGAAAGCAATGGAATTTACAAAGAACTGAAATGCCTTTCATGCTAACGATGTCGTATTGTTAAATAATCCTATCTAATTCTGCACACATAATGGAAACCTTCCTCTTGATTCTACAACAGGATCAACACTGATAAAATTTGTTTTGTAACATTTCTCTAAAGCACCCGGTAAAATGTTAAGATTTGTTTAGAATAACTTTGTAATTTTTAAAATCTAAAATAATGTATCCCAAGTCAAAGATGATTTGGGGATAGGTTACCTTCAAAGATGCTATCTGGCCTCGCAAAGTATACATATTCAAAAATGCAGAATGCTGCTGGATCTCCTTGAGGTCTCGGTACAATATCTAAAGTTTGGACATCATATCTGGATATTTTCACAATCTCTCCAGGCATGACTTCCCGATAGTATCTTGAAAATATAGTTGTACATGTTAAACATCCCAGCAGCTTTCCTTAGAAACACTGGTATTTGGTTATAGAGAAATATCGTTTTCAGATCGGAAAGACAATAACATGTTTTTTCTAAACAGCAAGGGTATCTACAGAAATCTATATTTATTCTTTATTTTGTCAGATGTTTTTGATCATTATTCTGCGCTTATTATTTATTCAATTTATACCTATTTATAACAAGAGGGCAGTTTTTTAAAAAAATTATCTTCTCAACTTCTAAAAGAACTTACTTCTTCCTTGAAAGTGAAAAATGGAACGAGTTAAAAAGAAAAAAAAATCAATTTTTCTTTGAGGATGCAAATGAAGCAGTCAATTTCAAGACCAAATAAAATATTTTCTTATTCTATATGCATAAACAAAAGCACGATACTTAGAGCTTAATAGTTTATTCATAATTAGTTTTCACAGATGAATTATTTCATTATTTAACTTTTAAGACAGGAGCGTCAAACTGGCGGCCCACGGGCCAGATGCGTCACACACAAGTTATGTCTACCCCTGCTCGGCGAAGGAAAAAACGGTTGGGATATGTCACGTGATATCAACGTGACACAGCGAGTTTGACACCTGTGTTTTAGGAAGTGCCCTAATTCCAACATTGCAAAATGATTCAGTGCAATATTGACTTTCAGGTCAAATGCTTTATTGTTTTAAAACTAAATATTGCTGTACTCCAATATGGTAGAAGCAGTACCCAGTTAAACAGTGAAGAAATTATTGATTTGATTTTGATTGCTTTTAAATAAATGAATGATGGACTTACTCTGCACCAATAGATAAAAAGCTACAGGATTCTGAAGATACTACCCAGCCTTCAGTTGCAGCATTATTTTTCCCTGTAATAAATTCAACAATAATTAAAGAAATGTCTTAACAATTCTAAGAACCTCATTTCTGTCCGTTTAACTTTACATACTACATTTGCTGTGGCTGCAATTGCTGTTTTCTACAATAACATTGAAGAGGGGTGAAGAAACCTATTTAAACAGGCAATAGTCACTTGTAGGATGTAATAAGTACACTGGAATTTTTCAATACACAACAAAATGCCAGTTCACTAACAAAATACATTATTTATGCTTTGCTGTGATAGCAGTATGAAAAATTTATCTCTCTACAGCAAATATACAGTGAAAAGTGTGAAAATAACTAATGCCACATTAGTTAGTCTAGATGCCAAAGATTCTTTTCCAAAATTTAAACCTAGTTCAAATAATTCTAAAAATATTTCTGGAAATCGATTGATGTATTTAAATTAAAATTTACATTGATACATTTGAACATGTTCTTATTCTCTGTCATGATTACCAAAAATAGTTAGTTTCAAATATTATAGATGTCACAGACTAATCATAAACATACCCACTGCATGTTTTACTTTACAGTTTAATTTAATATAGCACATAAGTGCACGTTCATTGGAGAATAGGTCAGAAACTTATAAAGATAGGTGATCTTCCCTTAACAATGTGCAGCAATTACATTTTTAAGGTGAAAGGTAGGTGGTTCACTGATTTAAAAAAAAAAAGAATTTGAGAAAGGCAACAGTATTTTTTAAATAACGTACTTTCAACCGTAGTTCTCAAAGGAGTGTATTCAGGGGTGGGCTTCAGATCCTTTAGCAACGGGTTGGCTGCCCTGTTGCTGGGTGGGCGTGGCCATGGTGGGTGTGGCCTAGTTAGCCGCTTGCACCACGGCGAGTGTCTGTGTGTCTTTTTCGCCCTCCCCAGGCTCCAGAGGCTTTCGAGCCTCCAGGAGGGCGAAAACAGCTTCCCCCGGGATCCGGAGCCCCTCCAGAGGCTAGAAACAGGCCTGTTTCCAGACTTCCAGAACCTCCAGTAGGCCCGGCTTTTGTCCTCTCAGACCCTCCATGCGGCCCCTGCACTTACCTGGAATGATGAACGGGCCGTGTGGAGACTCCTGGGTGGGGCGGAGTGGGCGCAGCCAGCCAGGGGTGGCGTTTGGGGGTTCATTGAACCCCGGTGATCCTTGGCTAGAGGATCAGCCAAACCCTGCCGAACTCCCAGGAGCTCACATAGGGAAATCATACCTTTTCCATTGATATCACCTACTGGAACAAGGCGGCCAATACAGAGAGGACGGTTCCCATAGGGATCACGAACTGCATAAATAATGTCTTTATGCATCATCAGAAGTGAATATGAAGTGGGTGTTTCATTCATCAAATTTTTAATCCTGAAATAGAAAAGCTAGTTTAATACACTTCTTATTACAAGAATTCCAACAAGGGGGGTGGGGACGTTGGCCTTGCGTAAATGAAGGTCTCTTTTATTGATTTTAATTTTTTTCTCATGAGGCACAAGATTTACCTTGCCACCCAGTCTGGTGTATCATCTTGCTCTAAAGGAGGGGTGAATGCCAACAGCTGAGTGATCAGTTCGCTATCAGAACTGGTAGACAGTCCCACTCCATGACGCATTAGCTGCATAACAAAAGACAAAGGATTATTATAGATCAGTGATGGCTAACCCTTTGCTCTTCCAGTGCCAAAAGCACGTGTGTGTGGTGGCACCCATAATGCAATGTGTGCCCCTCGCGCATGTGTACACGACCGCCCCACCCCACCGCGCATGCGCACATGACCCCCCATGCCTACTTGGTCTCCTGCACCATGGTGGTGGTGGGTGTTTTCGCTCCCCCAGGCTCTGGAGGCTTTCCTTGAGCCTTTGGGAGAAAATGGCCTCCCCCAGGTTCTGGATGCCCTCCGGAGGCCAGAAACGGGCCTGTTTCCGGACTTCCAGAAGGCCTGTTTTTCTCCCTCTCCAGGCACTGCGCGGGTCCTGCACTTACCTGGCATCCAAAATGGGCAGTGTGGAGCCTCCTGGGCCCAAATACGGGCTGTGGGGAGGGGTGCATTGCTCCCTCCCACACTCTGCCCCCCACGGATGTGCAGGCGAACCCCCGCATGCGCATGCATCTCCCGCATGCGCCTCGCTCCCTGCGCATCCTGAAAATCAGCTGGCCGGCAGGAGGCATGCGTGCGTATGCGCAGTGGAGCTGAGCTGAGCTGGACAACGGCTCGCATGCCCGCAGAAAAGGCTCTGCGTGCCAGCTGTGGCACACGTGCCATAGGTTCGCCATCATGGTTATAGATAATTATAGTGCGTGCTCTCTCTCTCTTTCTCCCCCCCTCCGTGTGTGTGTGTGTGTGTGTGTGTGTGTGTGTGTGTGTGTGTGTGAAGTTGGCAGCGTGCCAATGGGGACAGCTAAATAAATGCAGTTGACCATGCAATTAATTTAGCACTCTGTGAGGATGGTAAACTTTTTATTCAGCATGCAAAAATGATGCAAAAGTTGACGTTATGGTTACATTGATTGTTGCCAATATAACAGATTAACCACATAGCATAGCACTGTGTTAAATTATATACTGCATTCTAACGCGCACTGAAACATTTCTTTCTATGCATAATAATAAATATGCTTTGATCAAAGATACAGAGATTAAATCAGGAAGCAGCTGCCTTTTCCAGTCGTAACTAAGATGCCCCCACCCCCAAACTTAAAACATTTTGATTGTGAAGCCTGCATTACTGGGGAAACAACACAGAGGGTTTTGGCAACTTTAACAAAAGAAAGGAGACTTCCATTTTTCAGAGAACGGGTAAGCAGCCTGAGCTGCCCAGATACACTCAGCATGTCAGCTGTCTCACTAGAGGCATTGGCGTATTGGATCACTGCTACGTCACCTTAAAAGGTGCTTGCCGCTCTCTCCCAAGAGCAGGTGTCTTTCTGATCATTTGTATGATCCATCTCCTCCCTCCCTACAGGCAGAAACTTAAAACTGCAAAGCCTATGGCCAAAAACAGCGAAGTCTTGCATTGAGGAATCAAAGTTAGAGCTTCAGGCTTCCTTTAAGTACGCAAACTGAAGTTGTTTTTGAAGCTGTTTCAGAGGGCTCGGATAAATTCACGGATACTGTGACATACGGCTTGCTTCTGTGAGGAGATGTGTGTGCCTACCAAGAGCTTGCGTATACATACATACATACATACATACATACATACATACATACATACATATACACACACACACATATATATATATATTCTTACTTCTTCGTAGGGTTTATGTGTGTCTTTCCTCTAGCCAGGTTTTCCCTACGTAACCAAGGTTTTTCTGCAGCCCCAGCTCAGAAGAAGAGTCGATGTGATTCTACTGAGCTGGGGCTGCAGAAAAACCTTGGTTACATAGGGAAAACCTGGCTAGAGGAAAAACACACACACACACACACACACACACACACAAAATAACAAGCCTTGGTTCACAGCTATGTTTAAGCAGCTACGTTGTGCCAAAGAGGAGGCCTACACAGGAAAGGAAGACAGGATTTTTTACAATCAGGCCAGGAACGTATTCTCACAAGGGAGATCAGAGTGGCAAAGAAAATCTACTCCGAAAAGGGGAATGGGACAACTTGCCACAGCCGACTCACTGCAAGACAACCCGTTGCGGGACAATTTAACAATTCTATTTAATTATTTAAAATAAGTAACAATGATTTTAATTTTTGCCGTTCACAATGCATTCTGTCCCCCCTTTAATGATTCTGTTCCACCCTTCCTTTGAGATTAGTGTAACTCTTGTCCTGCAGTGTCTTGTCCTGCCCATGGCAAAATGGGCATGGCGAGTTGTCCTGCAGTGAGTTGGCCATGGCGAGTTGTCATAGACCCTCCAAAAAAATTGAGAAACCAGTTCTCAGCTATTGAACCAGCAACTGTGAGGAGAAGCCTGAAGAATATCATTGTAAGGGACCTCCCTTCCTTTACTGAGAAGAATTGGCAACTGGCAGATGACCTGAATGCGTTCCACTGTAGGTTTGAGAAGATGTCAGTGTAATCTATCGCTATCTTCCCCATCTCAGATACATATAACACACAGATACATACAACAGCCACCAAATTTAGGGGGCGTGCATAAGCACACCAGCGTGCCTACCGTCCCTGTCCTACTGTCCCCATTTATATGTAATCATTCTATGTGTTTATGGCTATGTTTTGCCTATTTATATCCTTTTATTTGTGCCAATTTTTTTCATGTGTCCATGTCTATGTCTATACTGTTACTTGTTTCCTTGTACTTGTTGACAAATAAATCAATCAATAAATCAATCAATAAATCAATAAATCTCCTACACCTATCTCATCACCAGGCCCAGGTGGAATAACTCCTTGCTTGAAAGCTCATGCTGAACAACAGCCCCCATATTCACCCACATCATTAATAAGTCACTGGAGATGTGTCATGTCCCTTCTTGCTTCAAATGCCCTATTATCATCTCGGTTCCTAAGAAACCCTCCATCAGTAAGCTAAATGACGACAGCTCTGACATTTGTAGTTATAAAGACCTTTGAGACGTTAGTGCTAACTCCGAATCCCTTGGACTGCAAGGCGATCAAATCGGTCAGTCCTAGAGGAGATCAACCCTGACTGCTCTTTAGAAGGCCAGATCCTGAAGATGAAACTCAAATACTTTGGCCACCTAATGAGAAGGAAGGACTCGCTGGAGAAGAGCCTAATGCTGGGAACGATGGAGGGCAAAAGAAGATGGGGACGGCAGAGTCAAAATGTTTTAAGTTGGGGGGGGGGGGGCATCTTAGTTACGACTGGAAAAGGCTGTTACTACTGCTACTGCTGTTCTGTTCTATCCTAATGCAATTGACCGAAATAAACCAGTGTGCTTGAATGGAACAAGGAAAAAAAAAAAAAACTTGGATCAAAAGATAGAACCAAATAGATTTTGTATTCCATATTTCTCATTCACAGAATGTCTACAAAAAAAACCCTTGTGAGTCTGTAAGGGTAGGATTTCTCATTTTAAATTTAATATCACTGTCTTAATTAGTATAGTGCAGCAGTTGAAGGCATCGGACTAAGACAGAGATAATCAGGTTTGAGAGTCTCTTTAGGTATGGGAATCAATTTGGTGATTTTGGGTTAGGCAGTTTCCCCCAGTCCTAGACTGGGAAGTTGAAAAACATCTATCTACCAATTTGCACTGGATCAGCATAGTAAATAATGATATCTAGCCTTCAACGTATCGATTTATTTTTAATATGTTGACCCAATTCAGAACAAACCAATGAAGAAATCTTCACACTGCAGTGGATTGATTCAGGTTGTTGGTAATTATATACTAATTATAGAAGAATAGCCACAGTTGATTAAGTCACCACTTTTGTGTGCAAATTCTCTCATTTCTACCAATGGGATGTTAAATGTACATCTTCTCAGTCATATTCAGAAGCTGCACAGAGTAAATTTCCAGAAGTAATTTACTTCTTTGGCAATTTGTTTCATTCACAACTACAGATATGGTAGTGAACTGAACTGCACTCAAAACAATCAATTATCAGATTTACGTTGTGTGTGTGGGAATGCGGTGGCCATAGTACATGTATAGACCAGTCTAACTGGTTGGACACTGTATGGAGCTTGGCACCGAAATAATCTGACTATGAAAAGCGGGTTCATATGGATACTCTCTAAAGGGCCCTATTCGTTCTCTCTTTGTTCATAACATAGACTGTATTTGCAAAGCCAGAGACATCTCCTTCTGCTACATTCCTGAGGGCTGAGATAATCTCTGATAACGGGAGACGGGGAGATGGGCCTCTCTGCTAGCAGAAGGCAGAAGCTGGGAGAATTGAGTTTAGTTTTTCCTTAACTTTCGCTTTCCTAGAATTCACGTGATTTACTGTAATTGGTAAGAATGTGAAACTTATATGGAGAATATATGGATGCTTTTCTATTTCTTGTATGTAATATGAGATGTGTAGCCATAATAACGCCTTCTGATGACGCTGTATTTTGATAACTAATAAAAGAGATGGTAGCCTTTTGTTCGCTGCTCTCTCACCACGAGAAACACCTGCGTTTGTGCTTTCTCTAATCTGGACTACTCGTGAGAAGCCCACCAGGATGAATGCAACAGTGTGTGGTAGAGAATGAATTAAAGGTGAACATGATGCTGATTGGCACTCTTCTCTTCTCACCAGACTTCCTGCTTGTAAGAGAACAAGGGGCCAGAGAATAAGCAGACCATATCTATAGGCCTTAAACCTATGGGGCTGTTAACCATCACCTAGGCCAGTGGTCGGCAAACCACGGCTCGCGAGCCACATGCGGCTCTTTGGCCCCTTGAGTGTGGCTCTTCCACACTCATGATGCCCTGGCCGGCTGTGGCTGAGCCGGGAGCGGGCGCACGCGCAGGGAGATCCTCCTCAAGCGAGCGCCGAAGCTCAGGAAAGGTGCGCGCAGGGTGGGCAGCAGCTTGCTTAAGGAGGGTCTCCCCACGTGTGCGCATACTCCCGGCTCAGCCACAGCCGGCCAGGGCATCACGAGAGTGGGAGGAGGAGGACAGTGCAGGAGAGAAGCTGCCCTGTACCTACCTTCGCGCCACATTTGCACGTAAGGCAGCCTTTGCTTCCTGCCGCTTCAGGCTGGAGTTCGCACCCTCCGCACTCAGCCGAAGAGCTGCTGGGGGTGGGGGATGAAACAGCAAGGCGATGGCCAGAGCATTAGTGCAGGAAAGAAGCCCCATCCTGTTAAGACCCTCCTAATTGAGCAGCTGCTCACCCCGCGGGTGCCTTTGCTGTGCTTTGGTGCTCGTTTGGGGAGGGTCTCTCCACCCATACACATGCTCCTGGCTCAGCCACAGCTGTCCAGGACATCACAAAAGGAGGGGGGAGGAGGACGGTCACCCGAAGGGAGGGGGAGAGACACAGAGAGAGAGAGAGATGGGAGAGAGAGAGAGAGACATAGAGACACATACAGAGTGATACATAGAGAGGGGTGAGAGAGGGGAAGAAAGGGAGAGATACAGAGGGAGAGAGACATGGGGGGAGAGAGGGGGACATAGGAAGAGGGGGGGAGAGAGACAGAATGGTTTTGTGGCTGGGTAGGCGTGGCTGGGGGGTCATGTGACTGGGTGAGTGAGTGACATCGAGTTGGCCACGCCCACCCAGGTTTTGTGGCTCCGGTGTGTTTTTTTTCTGTGGGAAACGGGACCAAGTAGCTCTTTGAGTGTTTAAGTTTGCCGACCCCTGACCTAGGCAGATGTGGTACGCCTAAAGAGCATGCATTTCAGGCATCCATATGGAAGAGTCTTCTGAGGGAGAATGACTGAATATTTGAATGCATGAGAGATTATAAACTGATTTAGAGGGGACAGGATGGAAAAGATTTCAGAATAACAGAGTTGGAGTCCAACCCTCTGCTCAGGCAGGAAGCCCTATAGTATTTCAGACAAACTCCCTTCTTAAAAACATCCAGTGATGAAGCATTCACAACTTCTGGAGGTAAGTTGTTTCACTGATCAATTGTTCTGTCAGGAAATTTCTCCTTAGTTCTAGGTTGCTTCTCTCCTTGATTAGTTTCCACCCACTGCTTCTTGTCTTGCTTTCAGGTGCTTTGGAGAATAAGAAGACTCTCTCTTTTTTGTGGCAACCACTTAAATATTGGAACACTGCTACCATGTCACCCCTAGTCCTTCTTTTCATTAAACTAGACATACTCAATTCCAGCAGCCATTCTTTATATCTTTTAGCCTCCAGGCCCCTTTATTGCTCTTCTCTGAACTCTTTCTAGAGCCTCAATATCTTTTTTACATTGTGGTGGCCAAAGTTGCATGCAGTATTCCAAGATGAGCTTCATACAAGCTCAGATTGCTGCTGTGCATTAGGGCTGGGTTTAGGATTCAGGTTTCCTTCCACCTGACCTCAATTGCTACAACCTATACATACAGTCTAATGAATTTGGACTGTACTCTTAAAATGATCTTTGCATCCTATTGTTACTAAATGGATATAAACCTTCTCTATTATGAGTGAATTTACTATCCTTTTCCGCTTTCTCATCTTAGGAAAACAGATCCCTACCTTTCTCCTCAGCCGCATTGCATTTGTTAGCTCTCCATTGTGGGCAACTGCAATCTTCCCGTGCAAAGTTTCCACCACGAACGGTTGACAATTATCAAGGACGGACACCCCAGAGGTAGAGTATCTTGTATGGCCGATTCCAAGATTTGAAACGTAGAGCTTCTTCAGGCTATCTTCGCTGAACACGTGATTGACAAGACCCATTCCCTGCGAAGAAAAAGGAAAGGGGAGGGATGAACTAAAACAGAGTTTCCAGGATTGCTTACAGAGGAAAGCAGTGTAAAACTAATGAGCTAATTCAGAAGCTCTACTTATTTGACATTTATTTACAAAACTTATAAGACTGCCTGTCTCATACAATGAGTCTAGACCAGAGGTCTCCAACCTTGGCAACTTTAAGACTTGGGGACTTCAGCTCCCATAATTCCTCAGCCAGCTGAGGTGAGGAATTCTGGGAGTTGAAGTCCACAAGTCTTAAAGTTGCCAAGGTTGGAGACCCCTGGTCTAGACAACTCAAACAATCCAAAAAACCATGGTTAAAAACAAAAGTGCCATTCCTCCTCCTCCTAGATCAAATATCTGCTCAGCTCAACCCCCATCCTAGCCCAATGGCTGGATGAAAAGGCAGGTCTTTGTAGCTCTATGGAAGAATAAAAAGGTAGGAATCCCTCAGATCTCAGGTGGGACAAAGTTCTAAAGAGCTTGCCTTCCAAGACCTATCAGGTGGCAACATTTAAGGAAGGACACCTTGGGCCCACCAACCCTATCTAGCTTAGTATGATGGGAAGATACCTTGGGGGAGACTGCCTGCAAGTAACCTAGAGCAGGGGTCAGCAACCTGCGGCTCTGGAGCCGCATGTGGCTCTTTCATCCCTCTGCTGCAACTCCCTGTCGCCAGTCCGCTCCACAATTGATAGGGCTTTCGGTTAGGACTGGTAGAGGAAAAAGGATGCCACACTAGGAGGAGACTCTATGGTGTGGGAACCGGACTTCCGGTTGGCTCCAGAATTGAACAGGGGGTTTCCAATTAGGATCTTTATGGCTCTTTGAGTGTTTAAGGTTGCCGACCCCCGACCTAGACCTTTGCCATTTGGTGTTTTAACCAGCACCTTGAATTGCACTGGTAAAGCAACTGGAAGTCAATGTAGCCCACACAGCACTGGTTTACTGAAGTGAACCAGAAGGCAAGCAATCCATGCCACTGTATTCTGAAGCTATTCAGTTGTAGCTTCCAGATGGTTTCAAGGCAGCCCCATGGCGCGTAATCCACCAGGGAGGTGATTAAGACATCCCTTAACTAAATCCATTAAATCAATTTACAACACACACAAATACATTATCCTTTTCTAAATATTTTTTCACCTTCCTCTTGTGACAAAGTTACATTCATTACTTTATAATGCTCTTTATAAGATTTTGATGGTTAGATTTATGAGTGTTACAAATTACAAGTTTGAGTGTCAAAATCCTGCACAGACGACCTTCTTTACGTCATTCATACATATGTACATACATACATACATACACAGTATGTTACAGAAGTGAGTACACCCCCTCACATTTTATAAATATTTAAGTATATCTTTTCATGTGACAACATAAAGTAGTGAGTATACAGCTTGTATAACAGTGTAAATGTGCTGTCCCCTCAAAATAACGCAAGAGAGAGAGAGAGAGAGAGAAAGAAAGAGAGAGAGAGAGAAAGAGAGAGAGAGAGAGAGACGGGGGAAGAGAGAGAGAGAGAGAGAGAGAGAGAGAGAGAGAGAGAGAGAGAGAGAGAGAGACAGAGATGGAGAGGGAGACGGGACAGAGAGGGAGAGGGAGATATGGAGAGGGAAATATCTTGAGTTCTTCCAGCATTCATATTTAAAGAGAGAGAACAAATTAGAGTAATCTCCACATCTTCTTCTTTTACCCCAAGGACTAGGCTGGGCACAGCTCCTTCTAGAGAAAATCTATTTATGAGGCAGCTAAAGTTAACACCAGTTTAATGGCTCATCAACATAATCTAAATCATCTTCTCCTCCCTTCCCCCCTCAGGAATGCCAGATAATATTACCTTGTGCACTTTGAAAGAATGGGCTGATTCTCCATCACTTGTCACAATCCCCGCACTCTCTTGGCCTCTACGAGAAAAGGAAGAGTAGGTAAGGAATCTGTATTTCTGAGACTGGATCTTTATGTCACCCAAAAGGTGCCATTCATGGTTGAGGGATTTTTACAAGTGTTGTGAAGACCCCAAGATCTGCAAAACGTTTTCTAAACTGTAAGAAAATAATTCTTCCTCCTAAAGCAAAAAACCACACACGAAGAACAATAAATAAAAACAATTGTGGGTATGGGGAGATGGAAAGAAACATTCTGTAAAAAGAGACGGTTGATTGAAATTTTAAAGAAAAGTTCTCACACTGCAATATTTAATTGGGGAGATCATTTTTCCTGGTAAATTCTAACGCTGAATTGTGAAAGTGGCGTTCAATGATCCGAAAAGCGGATCCTGTACCTGCAGTAATAAGCTAGGAAGAAAAAGAAGTTCTAATGCTGAATATATGATCTCGGTCCACATACACCCTTTAACTTTGATTCTGCAGACCTCATAGTTATTAGACAAGGATAGGTTTTCATGAGAAGAAAATATATTCCAGAATCCCAAGATCTGAACATTCTAGAGTCATAACTAAAAACAAAAGCATTTTCTCACGGGAAGGATTCTTATAATTAATTCCAAAACAACCTGGACATACAACTTCCCAAAATCAAACTTCTCATTACCTTTTTGCCACTTATCCCCCACCCCATTTCTTTAAAAAATCCTTAAAAATTGTATTTCAAACTACTTTTATTAAGGTTTGAAAGAAACTCAACGACCGTTTTTAAATGTATTGCTCCAAAGATTCCTAAAACCTAAAAAGTTAACATGCATTTTCTGAAAGTGATTTGAAAAGAATGTATGTGTACCCAATTTTATTTTATTTTGACCGTGGTTTGTGGAAAAAGAATATTCCCTTGGGTCCCAAAGCTCTAATTCTAGAGACTGCTGTCTTGCTGTATTCTCATGAGGAGCAACCGTCTGGAGCACTTCTGGGCAATCTCAAGTCTTTTTGTTGTCCAGAGAGCAATTAAAAAAGAGGTGATTTATTTACTGACTCTTCATTCCAGCATGGTTGTTGGCTCTGCTTTTAGTAGAGTCAGTCTTCAGTTGCCATTTCCCACCACCACCACCAGAAATCGCTTTCTCTACTATATTAGAGGTATGGCTTGCAATAGTACATAAGAGTGCTTACAGCACCATTTCCCAGTTTGATGCCTTCCATATCAAATTGGACCACAATTCCCAGAATTCCATTAAGCATTGCCGTAGTTCCCATTATATTTGAAGAACCTCAGGTTCGCTGGGATGCCAGGCTCAAAGCATCCCATCAAAAAACCTAGATTAAAGAATCTTTAGTGGGGGAAGAGGGAAAAAAAAGGCATTCCCTTTCCCCTTTTCCTTCTTAGAATCCTTCTGTAATATGAACCTGTTGGCTAGTTATTTAGCTGCCATGGCAACATCTTCCAAGTATTATGGAATACCAAAGGTCCTTTGTTGGCAAGTATGGCATTACTCAGGGGGACCTCAATTAGCACCTGAGATAGTTGCAGAACCCAGATTTGGGGGGGAGAGGAGACACTTAAAAAGAAACATTTATATAGAAGAAATATATCTACACAATATATGTGATTCTTTCCAAAATATCTTCCAAATTCAAATAATGTTTTATTTGAGTATATAAAACAGAAAATGCAAATTTAATTGTAATAATTTGCAAACCAACTGAATTAGTATTGCAGTGTTTCATCTCATTTTCTATTAAGATGAATCTTGCATTTGTAAAGGATGTCATGGATTTGCTCTAGACAATACAAAAAGAATATAGATGTGTTTTCCACACAATCTTGAACTTAATTTCCTTGGTTTGCTTTTAGCATATTATACTTGATTCACTCAGAAGACTACTGAAGTGGAACTATTACTGAACATCACTGAATTTGCTCAGAATTCAAATTACAGTGACTCCATTAGTTAAGAATCACAAAAGGTTCTGCGAATGCAAATCAAGCATTTAGGAAAAGGATAAGTATGTGTATGTGTGAAATTATGATTTACAGTTTTGAGAGAGATTCTAAACCATGTGAACAAACAAGTATTTTACAAAACCGAAGGCATTATTTGCTAGCGAATCTGACGAGAATCAAGATGCAAATGTTTTCATTCCAAACAAAATCATAGCCTATAGTTGTGTGTGTGAGTGTGTGTGTGTGTGTGTGTGTGTGTGTGTGTGTGTGTGTGTTTGTGTATAGAATAGAATAGAATAGAATAGAATAGAATAGAATAGAATAGAATAGAATTCTTTATTGGCGAAGTGTGATTGGACACACAAGGAATTTGTCTTTGGTGCATATGCTCCCAGTGTACATAAAGAAAAATAAAATGCATCCATCAAGAATCATAAGATACAATACTTGATGGTAGTCATAGGTTATTAATAAGCAATCAAATGATACTAGGAAACAAACAGAACAATATAAATCGTAAAAATACAAGCAATACGGTTATAGTCATGAGTGGGAGGAGATAGGTAATCATAAGATACAACACTTAGTGATAGTCATAGGTTACTAATAAGCAATCAAATCATACTAGGAAACAAACAGAACGATATAAATCTGACACATAAGTCAGATTTATATGCTGACATAGACGTTGGACAACAGCTCCCATCATCCTCAGCCACCAGCTAGGCTTGTGATCCAATGCCTCTGGAGGGGGCCAGATGGAGGGAAGCTTATTTAGAGCTCTCATGTACATTAAGAGCAGAGATTATATTTAAAGCCCATTGCATAACAAAGGTTACAGAATGCATTCCATCTCTGGAATTGTGCTTCATTTTTATTTTTATTTATTTTTTTTGCAAAGCAGAAAACAGCTTATTTGGGGGGTGCCAATGATTAACAGACTTTGCAATCATTTCTGCCCGAGCTGCTTTATTTTCCTGCCTCTTAAGACGGAACCTGCTTATTTGGCAGTTTCTCAAGTTACTCCCCTCAGGCAGCTTGAGCCAGTAAAACTGGATCCTTTCATCTCTGTGGAGCTTACTGACAATCAGCCGTCTGGTTTCCTAGGAAACGCAATCTTGGCTAGAAATAGTGAATCATTTCCAGGTCACTTTCAACATGGAGAGTGGAGCAGGAAGGCATTGGACTGAGGAGGAGGTTAAAGCCTTGCTAAGCGTCTGGTCAGAAAAAAATATCAGAAAGCAACTCCATGGGACCTTACGGAATAAAGGGATATTTATTTACATTGCAAAAAGGCTTCAGGAGTTGGGGATCTGCAGAGACTGGAAACAGTGTCGGGCAAAGTATAAAAACCTGAAATATGAATATAGGACAGTTAAATATGCCCACAACTCAGGAGATGCTACCAAGACTATGAAGTTCTTTCATGAGCTGGATGCCATATTGCAACATAAACCTGTCACCCAGTTAACAGAGGAGGAGAACGGCAGGTGTTCATCCAATGACATCATAAATGCCACCAAGGAGAACAATGAAGGTAAAAAAAACAACCACCCCAAACTCTTCTTTTTTTTCTCTCTCTCTCTCTTTTATTGTTGCTATCTAAAATACATACAAGGCTTGTAAAACTCAGACCCATGCAAGGCACTGCAGATTGACATAGTTGGTAGAACAAACCGGCTTAATGCGCTCCCTTATCTGTGTGTCTGTTGGGGAAGGGAGGGGGTGGAAGAGGAGGAGGAGGAGGAGGAGGGTGTCCGCTGCTGAATGTTTCTATAAATACATAAACTTAAGTTAAACCAGCTGCTGGAGCTAGCTAGTTTCCTAAGCCGAATTCCTCTAGAGAAAAACAAAATCAAAACAAAGAAAAAAGAAGAAGAAAAAAAAAAAAGACTAAGGGCCTGCAAACTTCTGCTGGTTTTATTGCTGCTTTATCCGTGCAACATTTTGTGCTGTTTTATAGTTGTGTTGCTAGGTTTGAAGAGAAAATGCTGGGCCACAAGCAATATATATAAATTTCTGTAACTCCCAGTGATATGTTTATGCCCTGCTAGAATTTAAGCAAAAGGACCAAAAAATGTAAATCACCTGCTAAGCAGTGATGGAAACATGTTGTTCCTTTTGAAATTTTATTTTTCCAAGACATTTATCTCTGGACTATACATTATAAACATTTAAAACACATTGAAGTTCTTTTAAATGGTGAATCAACTGCTGAGATGGCAACCTTCTAAAAACTATATTCACAGGAGTTTTTGCATATTTGTAGGTGATGTATTTTGCTTGCCTGCCGGAAATCGGAAAATATATTATTTGAGAAAGCAAAAAAAAAAAAAACCAAAACAAAACCCATATACAAAATCAAGCCACTTGACGAAAATATTTCTTGATAATAAATAAGAGCATGTGTAAATTATTATTCCATGAAGCTTTCAAGTATCAATTTATAATCACAGGAAGAATTTTTTCTTTAAAACATGATCAGGGAAGTAATTGAAAATGTTTCATTTTCTTTAGAGAACTCTCGGTTAAATATCCGATTTTAACAAGAAGAAAGAAAAAAGTCTGCAGAAACCTTGCAATGCATATTAATTTGTTTAAAATTAATAACATAAGCCACTGGATTTTTTTTTAAAAAATAACCATCTTTAAATAAGGCAAAACAATGCAGCAAAAGAGAGGAAAAACCCAAAAGTTGAATCCTCTGTCTAGATAAATAGTCTAGCTGTTTGGTCCAGGTTTTGAGGATGAGGATTGGGGATGATTTTCTGTTTCTGTTTTCACGGTTTATCAGTTCCAATTTACATATACAAATTATATTTATTTATTTATTTAGAGATCTACAAAGAAAAGCTAAACCTTTCCCCTTTCTATAAGGACTTTATGCATGTGGATCATATCTATAGATGTTTGCTGGAAAAACAGCAATGTACCAAGAATACTACATACCTATTATTCTTAAAAATCTCTAAAAGATATTAATTATGTTACAGCAGCCTAGAGGGAATTTTTCCCTAATCCAAATCAAAGAGTTGAATCTAATTGCTTGCAACTAAGTGAAGGAAAGCATTTTTCCCTCCCACACCCCTTCCCTAAAGTACTGTCTAGTGGTACATAAAGGAGTGAAGGACTCTGTTTGAGGAAGTAGACTGCTAGACAGAAGGAAAGGTGGTATTTGCAAAAATCAGTACTGTAATGGCACTTTCAGATGATCTCCAGAAATGCTTCCTCCCTCGTTGTTAATAACTCTGTGGTAAAAATGACCCACACTTTCATGAGGTAAAGGGGCAGATGGAACCTATCCATCGCCCACACTTCGGAACAACTTCCATGGAGTAATTGAACCCAATCTTCCATAAACTATTAAGAATGCCGAGTCCTTTCTTACACCCTTCAGATGGATGAGCTGGAGCCATCAGACTGATTATATGATGATGATGATTTCTCTGTCTTTATATTCTAAAACCTAGAGAGGTTTTATTGTACTGTTATTTCTATTGATGTAGAAGACGTACAAGCTTTGTCACATTGATAGAATAGTAATCATATCAAATCAATCCCATCCATGAATCAGTCATATGTTTTGAAAATAGAAAGCCTCATGACATGTGGTGCTTCCTAAGCAGTCAAGGGCTGCTGAGTAAAATGAATTTTGTGCAAATGCTTATGCAATTAATTTACTAGCTATTGTTTCACAGATTATTATCAGCCCATGGGGAGAGTGTTAGTGCTCAAATTGATTAGCCTTGTTTAACCAGTCTGGACAGACACAATTCCTTTCAAGATGCAAACTACAGGCCCTGTTTAGGTTCTCCATATCTCATAAAATGTTGGTTTACAGAATAAATAAAAACTATTATGGTTTATCATGAAGTAGGAAACTAGCTATTATGCAGCCATGGGATTAACTATTTAGCCAAAGTGTTTCTTGATTGGGGAAAAACTCAACAACTGCAGAGAAGAATCAGAATTCTCCTTGCACAAAACAAAGACTAAGATATGGTCGCTTTGGATAGTGAAATGGGCAGCAAATAAATTTAATGAATAAATAATATGGTATTTGTAAATAAAAAAGAATTGTAGCTTGGATTTGGATTCAGAGAATATTCAGAGCTCCAATTTTGGAATTGATAAGAGTCTTAAATTGTTGTGGTAGAGTTCTTAGATGGAAAAATATCAATATTGGTGATGGAAGCACTCAGGTTTCCAGTTTTGTTCTGTCTATACATTTGTAAATAAATGTTAAGTCTATGGAATTGAATAGGAACCTAAAAGGTATGGCAATAGCACTGCTGGGACATCCTGTAATTCAGAGAAGTCAGATCTGCTTAGAATAACCAGTTTATAGTTTAAATCAAGGATGAGAAATATTTTTTTTGGCTATGTAGCATGTGGGAACCATCACCCCAAAGTAATTGAGTGATGTCATAAAAGCTAGGCTTTACTTCATCACATTTCTGTTTAATTAAAAGCTGAAATAATAGGATTACTCCTCAGGCATGAATTGAATGATTTCTCACCTTGTAACATATAACAAATATAAAGTTATTACAAGTCCGATCTGCAGAAAGAGCTAATGGGTATACCTATTCTAATGACAGTTCCTTGGATATAATCCTTACCTGAGGCTAACTTTAAGCAATTTTAAAATGTTTATAGACTGGGAACCAAATGCTGTAGTTCCAAATCACTTCAATTAAAAGCTGGACCTATTCAAGCAATTAATTTAAAACTTAATTTGTTTATAGTGCAGAAGGATAGTTAAGTAAGGAGATGCTATCTTTTATTTAGAGCAACTTGTCTGGCAATGTCTCTCTAACAGTCTGTTGTATGAGTAGAGTTTTGTTCATGCTTCCATCTTATTTTCGCACTGTACGCACAAATGTACATAAATAATGTACTTTTTTATTTTCAATTCTGAGTGGCTTAAACATGATTTATTCTGGCTGAGTTTATCGAATGTACTCCTTGACATAATGAGAGACATTTTATGGCTATGTTCAATTTTGTGACTTTATCAAGCCTTTTGCATTCCCAAGATGGATATGTACTAGCATAGATTCATGTGTTTTGCAATATAATACTCTATATCCTCCCTACCTACACATATTTTCTTCTTTATAATTCCAGGTGAAGTCTCAGTTACATTGGAAGAAGAAGAAGAAGAAGAGGAAGTTTCTACCAATCCATTGCTTTTTATTTCCCATTGCAGGCCTATTGAACTAGGTAATGAAAGGCAGCGTATGAGAGGGATGAAATGGATTGTTTTCCTTTTTACTATTTTAGCGGCATGTATTCTTAGGCTGGAGGTTGTTGGAGGGAGCAAGTAGAGGACTCAACCCCACCCCCCCAATATGACAGTTTTGAGTGCATGGTTGTGCGTACCATTTGTCATAACCTTCTCCACAAATAAACTTGTATACATCACATCAGGGGTGAAATGCTCCCAGTTTGGATCGGATTGCCCGATCCGGTAGCGATGATGGCGGGTGGTTCGGAGAACCGGTAGCAAAAATCCCTGCCCCCAGCCATGCCCAGCTAAGCCGCGCGATCATCAGAGGCTTTTTTTTTTTAAAACTTTTAAAAGCATTTTTTCTTTGGCTGAAAAAATGCTTTTAAAAGTAAAAAAGAAAAAAGCCTCTGATGATCGCGCGGCTCAGCTGGGATCGTCAGAGCCTTTTAAAAGGGTTGTAGAAAAAATGCTTTTAAAAGTTAAAGAAAAAGAAAGTTAAAAAGAAAGTCAAAAAAAAAGAAAGTTGGCCACGCCCACTCAGTCACATTACCCCACCACCACCAAGCCACGCCCACAGAACCGGTAATAACAAATTTTACATTTCACCACTGGGTCACATGCATACTGCAAAGGTTTGTTAGGAAATATAAAATGCAAGATAATTAGCACCTATTTCTTAATTATTGCCTTCAGAGAAAATACATTGGAAAATGTTTTGTGCGTCCCTGCCCAACTGAGAAGCCCAAGTTTAGAGACAACAGAGCAAAATCCAATCAAGTTCAATCCTTTAATTGCTTACACTTAATGGACAGAATCTTGCCGAATTAAAGCTATCAACTTCCAACCTGCTGGACATAGTCTGAGAGGTTAGGTGTGTGGCTATCCTGAACCTCTTCTCCCTTCCCCCATCCTGGAACGTCCAGTCTCTTAATCTGGGCCTCCCTTGGAAAACTGTGTTGCAAAACTGTCCCCCACTGCTTCTCCAGTTGCATGTTCCATCACACCAACATGTGGCTGAATATACCAATAGAGGAGAATATTTGTAGCTCAGGATTGAAATGAGAGGTCTTTGGTGCTCTCTAAACTTGTTTTCTTGCAGAAATTTCATTACCCAAACTAGGCAACATCATCAGTGTTGGTAAGGAATGTGGTTTGCTTTCAGTTTATATTCTAGTGCCGTGATGGCGAACTTATGGCATACGTACCCGAGATGGCACGTAGAGCCATCTTCCCGGGTACGCGGGCTGTCGCCCAATTCACCTGTAGCTGTGCATGGGTGCATGCACCAGCTAGTGTTCGGGCCTCCGGTGCGCATGCATGCAATCCAGGGGACCCAGCTGGTCTTTGCAGTTCTCCTGTGCATGTGCACATGCTTCTGCATGCATGTGAGAGTACTTGCGTGCAGCGCGCGCATGGCGTTCTAGCACATGCATTGCACGAAACCCACGTGCATATGGTGCGACTGCATGCGCAGCGCATGGGGGAGCCCCGCTAAGTTTGTGCACATGTGCAGACAGTGCGACTGTGCGTACAACGCATGGGAGCCGCGTGAAAGCCGTCCGCATGTGCAGATGGTACGGTTGTGTGCGCAGTGCAAGGGGAGGAGCTGCACATTAACATGGATGGCACTCACGTGCACAAAGTGCGCAAAGTGCATACCTGTTTGGCACTCGGTGAGTAAAAGGTTCGCCACACTGTTCTACTGGTTTGCCCCGTCAGTATTAGTGGGGCTGGTCTTAAAAGATATGGTTGGGCTGTTTACTGTTGGCTTCTTTGGCAGCTTCGATTGGGGTATTGTTTACTCCAATATTGATTGTTGGCCTGATGTTAATTTTGGAGTTAGTCTATGCTGATCTTGGTCCTGATTGCTGGTAGAGTGGTGCTTGGGTCTTTTTGTTCCTTTTTGGGCTGGGTGATACTCTCTTTTGCATAGTCTATAGAGGTGGATGAATAAAAGCTGATATAACACTGTGGTAATCAAAAACGGAGGAATCAAGAAACTTAAGTTGAGACAATTCAGGCACTTGAGGCTATGAAAACTGATGTCACTGGCTGAGATATTGATTGGCTTAAGTGTGCATGATACCGGTATAACTAGCAGCCCGTGTTAATACTTCAGGTTTATAGGGGAAAAACATGTATAATACAGAAGTAGAATTACTTTGTTTTCCTGAGATGGGTAACAACATTACAGATTTAAGGAGGTCACTCAGGGAGATGCGAGACTTGCTCTCTGCCCCGAGACACCGGCCTGGCCCGGCCTGGCCGACACTGCTGCTATTGCCACCTCCATACCCTGCCCGCTGCTCTCGCAGCACCTTGTGTAGCGGTTAAATTTAGCGTGCTTCAGAATGGGGGAAACAGCGTCCCCTCCTCCTCCTGGAGCCCATTACGATGCGGAGCATTGGCAGCAGCCGGGTCAGGCCAGTGTCTCAGGGCGGAGAGCAAGTTGCACGTCTCCCTGAGCAACTGAGGTATGCACAGCACCAACAAGGGCCAGGAGAAGCGCCTGCAAGAGGAGGCAAGTACAGAGGCACTTTGCTCCCACTCTGGAATATAGAGCGAGTCTCCATCCCCTGCCATCCCCCTTACCTTCTCAGGCCAGGCGAGGAGTGACTGGGGGGGGGCAGCCTGTGGTGGATTCAGCCAACAGGGAGCCACAGCAGGGGGATGAAAGAGCCGCATGCTGCTCCGGAGCCACAGGTTGCCGACACCCATCCCATCCCATTCCAGTTTAGAAATAAGAGTCGCTCAATATACTTCTAGTTGACATTCACAAAAGAACTGCTTATATGCAAGTGTGAGTCTACTCATATGGGAAGTAAAATGCTGAAGTGGGGAGACGCAGCAAAATTAATTTTTGAAAAATGCTGAAGTTGGCTAGGTCCTAGCAAATTTCCCTAACAACAGGGACAAAGTAGGATGAGTTAACAGTTCTGAGACTCTACACAAGAAATTAAGGCCCACATGTAAGGTTTTAATTTTAATAACAAAAGTCAGTTGTTAATGCATTTTTGGAACCAACTCGAACGAAAAGCTGATTCCAAAAGAATCAGATTCCATCTAAGGCAAAGTGAGTATAATTTCTCTATTTAAAGATCATTGTACCTGTAACATGTGAAGTGGATATGTCTATATATCACCTATGAAACTATGGACAGCCCATACATAACAGTAATTTCAAGAAAATGTTTCAGAGTGTCACAATTATGATTCCAGTGGTTTTAGCAGCGTTGAAATGCTACCGGTTCGGGCAAACCGGTAGTGATAAAAACTATCGATTCAGGTTAACCGGTAGTAAAAAAAAGCTATCGGTTCTTCCAAACCGGTATTTCTGACGATTAGCTGTGCCGTGCAATTTAAAATCGCTAGAAAGCAGGAAATCCTACTTTCTAGTGAATCTAAATCACGCGGCACAGTTGTTTCCCCCCATCTCTATTCTACTTACCTTCCTAAGCCTCCTTTTTCCGTGCGAAGTGCGGGCAGCGAACCGGTGGCAAACAGGGGAGGATTTCACCACTGGATTTTAGACACTAATTAATTATACATTTTAATGGTATTGCAATAAATAATGGCCCAGAAAAGCCATTGCAATGACATCACAAAAGGGAGCAAGTTCCACCCCCTCCTTTTTGGATAGAGAGTTTTTTCCCCCTTTCATTCAATAGTGTCTGATTTTTCCAGAGACTGCCAGGATAAATCCCTGCAGTTTTTTGGTGAGGTTTTTCAAAAGCGGTTTTGTATTGTATCCTTTCTTGGGCTGAAAGTGACACGGTCACCCAGCTGGCTTTGTGCCCAAGCTGGGACTAGAACTTATGGTCTCCCAATTTTTAGTTGGGATGCCTTAACCACTACAGCAAGCTTGTTTCCTGTTGGGTTTTAGGTTGATTTAAAAAAAAAAATAGAATCCCCAAACTTAACAGAGACTGAACACAACTATTTTGGTTGCTGTTATAATTTTAAATTTCCAGAAAAAAATGCCCAGCCAAACTTTTGCCATTTTCCATTGAATTGTGCTGTATGGCTTTGGAGAAAAGCAAATAAAGGCTGAGAGGCTTAAAACAGAGTTTTCTGTGGATTGGCCAGTCTAATATACAATTCTGACTCATGAATCATCCAGAAGAATTAATGCAATAGTGATAATCAGATCTCAATATTATGGATTCTCTTTCAGATTTCTCCCCTCCCTCCCCCCAAATTGTTGCCTGACATAATAACTTTCCAAGAGAACCAGGGGTGTTATTCAGCAGATTCTGACAGGTTCTGGAAAACTGGTAGCGGAAATTTTGAGCAGTTCAGAGAACCGGCAAATACCACCTCTGGCTGGCCCCAGAGTGGGGTGGGAATGGAGATTTTGCAATATCCTTCCCCCAGGAGTGGGGATTTTGCAGTATCCTTCCCCTGGAGTGGGGTGGGAATGGAGATTTTGCAGTATCATTCCCCTGCCATGCCCACCAAGCCACGCCCACAGAATCAGTAGTAAAAAAAAAATTGAATTCCACTACTGAAGAGAACGTATAAAAGCAATTTTATATTTTACTGGCACTATCCAGCTTGAATTAATTTCGATATTTTCCTAGATGTTCCTGGAGAAGAAAAATAGTTAACCACACATTCTCTCTCTTACTATCTCTACCTGATCCTGACCCCCACCCTACCCAATGCAGGTAATACATATCTGTGTCTTTCTCCTATCCTACCTGATGCAGGTAATCCAGCCACAGTATTAGATGCTTCCAAAAATCTCCCCTTCATTCCTTCTGTAGCAAACGAAGGAGGAAAGCATTGGACTGTTAATGAAGTAAGAGCTCTAATACGAATCTGGTCAGAGAAGAGCATTCAGCAACAACTGGAAGGAACAGTCAGAAACAAAAGGATATTTGAACACGTTGCTGCTAGACTACAAAAATTTGGAATTGACCGGGACTGGAAGCAATGCAGAACGAAATATAAAAATCTAAAGCACGAATACAAGAGTGTTAAAGATGCCCAGCACTCGGGCAACACAAGCAAAACTATGAAGTTTTTCAGAGAATTGGATGCTATTTTGGGACACAATGCAGATAAACCAAGCAGATGCCATAATGGCTATGGTGAGAAACCAACAGAATGGATAAAGACCACAATAGAAAAAAAATTAAGAGGTAAAATTTATGTTACCTTTTAAAGTCAATTTTGCAGCAAAATTCGCATATAAAGATTTTCAGTAAAATGTTACAATCTCTGCTTAATTCGAACTATCAAAAGGGGAGAAAGAAAACTAGAAAAATAATTAATGTAGAAAGATTGATATGGGATCCGGTTGGTCAGGCGCTTTAATTAAGATGACATTCAGTGAATAAAGCCAAGTGTTTGAAAGGGTTGAAAATAATAGCTGCCATAAAATACCGTGAGGTAGTGAGGAAATCAGGGATATCTGTGGGTGTTTAAAAACAAAACAAACCAAGATGGAAGCCACAGCTTTATAATCAAAGATGGTCCCTTACTATGATGCAAGTGAAAAGGGGTAGGGCTCTGAAAGCACAGTTACAACTCCTTGTAATTAGGAGTAATTAGGAGCTGTGGTGACATAGTAGTTAGAATGCAGTATTGCAGACTGCCTGCAGCCTGGAGTTCGATCCCGACTGGCTCAAGGCTGACTCATCCTTCCGAGGTCAGTAAAATGAGGACACACATCATTGGGGATCAATATATTGATTCTGCTTAGAGAGGTCTGTAAAGCACTACGAAGCAGTCTAAGTGCTATTGCTACCCTGTTTCCCCAAAAATAAGATCCAACCGGAAAATAAGTCCTAGCATGATTTTTCAGGATGCTCGTAATAAAAGCCCTACCCCCAAAATAAGCCCCAGTTAAGATTGTCAGCCAGATGGATGCATTTAGTACCGTATTTCCCCCAAAATAAGACCTAACCAGAAAATAAGCCCTAGTGCGTCTTTTGGAGCAAAAAATAATATAAGACCCGGTCTTATTTTTGAGGAAACATGGTATTATTCAGCATTTCCTAACTGGATGCCCTGCAGACCATATCATCTCTAGCCAGCACAGCTGCTGATTTGCTGCCCAGGGATGACATGAGCTGTCCACACTGCTAGGAAGACACTTACATAGGATTCTAAGAAGGCTAAGCTATCTCTATTACATTGTCACTTAAGATTTGCAAAGATATTCGCTGTAATAAATGCAATCCACAGAATATTATGGATTTCTGGGTGATATGATTAATGTATTATGTTTGTTCCCTGTCTGGAATTGTTTAAAGGGCATGTATAGACTTCTTGAGCACTCAAGCAAAATACAATTTAAGGCTGATGGACTGAGTTTGGCTTCGCTGGTTAAGGACTGAGCATCATTGACAGGAAATAGAATTTTACAGCTGTAAGACTGTAATCCGTAACATTTTATGCAGAATTGCTTTGAATTACAGGTGAAGAGGACTTTATTAGTAACACATCTGGAGACGCTAATACAAGGAAAATGCCAAATGCAGGTGACTATGAGAAAATTGGTGGTCAATTTTTTGACTAAACTATTAAAATTCCAAACACTACAATATGATTCCAGCATTTACATAATGTTCCTTTTTGTTGTTTTAGTGATACGCAGCACAGCAGAGAGAGATAATTCTGGGCACTTGGGAAAACCAAATTCCACACTTAGGAGGGAACATATAAAAGAAGAAATCATTGATTCAGGTAAATTTCATTTTATCCTTTTGTACATTATTACGTGTATAAGGCATCATGCAAAAATCCAAACAAAAGCATATAGCTTTCCAGTAAAAGGGTATTTTTCTGGAAAACTGGATTTGATGTAGAACTGCTATTATTACTACTATTATTATTATTATTATCATCATCATTATCTTTATTCATTAAATATGAAACTCAGTCGACTGAACATTCAAAAATGCATCACAAATACCATTGACTGGTGCTAATGGTTGATACGTGTTGCTACCAGCGTCCTAGGTATCAACCAAGTACCTTCTTAAGATGTTTGATGTTCCAAGTAGCACAATTTTTTGCAGTTCCGCTGGTGTTATTGCAGGAAGCTGCAATTTGCTGATGTATGTTATAAAATTCTTGGACATGGTACCAAGTGCCCCAATGACAATGGGTATCACTATTACATGTTATTATGGAATAATTTTCTAACATTAAACTGCAATCTACTTCCCTGAAATGTAAATCCATTATTCAGTGTATTAGGATTATATCGTTTTCCCGAAAATAAGACCTAACCAGAAAACAAGCCATAATGCGTCTTTTGGAGCAAAAATTAATATCAGACCCAGTCTTATTTTGGGGGAAACATGGCAGAAAACGGGTCCTGCTCTTCTGTGACATTCTTTCAAGTACCTAAGGATTCATATTATGTTCAGCGTCTGTTCTGATTAAGACTATGAGGCAAACAATAAAATGAGAAAATCAGGAGCTATAATGAATGCATTAACTAGGAAATATACAACTTAAATGTGGAGAGAGTCCAAAGTCATAGTTCCAGTAAATCCAATAACCCAAGAATTTAGGGGTGAGAAACTGTCCAGGTGTATTATTATTACCCAAAAGTCTGTTAATTTATCTTAAATATAATTCTAACTCCTGCTACTCTTCTGCTAATGAAACTTAAAACCACATTTACGTTTTCTTTAGCGGCATCTTGCTGCTGGATGATAATTCAGTTTATAATCAGGCAGGACCTAATCTTGGGGCATCCAAGTACATATTAGAGGAAGATGAGAAACAGACAGAATATAGTACTTTCAAACCAGCAGCAATTCCTTGCAACAAGCATGTCATTTACTCTATACTTTGAAATCAAGATCAATTATCCTTGTAGCATTTCCCAGTCTACTAAGGATGTAAAAACAAGGCAAGATTAGCCCAGTAAATTCTACTTTTAACAATTACACTCTGGGCTCTAATGATTGTATTGCATTGTTTAATGATCTGCCCCAGAATCTTTTCAAGAATTGATGCTAAAGTGCTTAGTGTAGTTCTCTGGATCTTTATTACTTTTTGAAATTGGGGGCAACACTAGCTCTCCATTATCCACTTAGCAATTCACCAGTTCTCAAGGATTTATTAAAGGTAATGAACTGTGTTTCAGCCAGACTATCATCAAATTGTTTTCAGTATCATAGGATGCAATATCATCCAAAGCTAGAGACGTATATTCAGCTTACAGTAAATAGATTTTTCCGAACATATCCATCAGTCTTAACCTTCCACTTGGCTTCATTTTGTTCTTCACAACCACCTTGTGCCATGATGGCAAACCTATGGCACGCATGCCACAGGTGGCACGCGAAGCCATATCGGTGGGCACGCGAGTGTTGCCCTAGCTCAGCTCCGGCACACGCATCTGATTTTCGGGCCTTCCGGGCCCCCTGGAAATTGGCAAATGGGCCATTTCTGGCCTCTAGAGGCTTTCTTGGAGCCTGGGGAGGGCGAAAAACGGGCCTACTGGGCCCACCGTGTGCCAAAAGCGGGGGGGAGTCATGCACGCATGCGTGGGGTGCATTGAATTATGGGTATGGGCACATGCACACATGACCCCCCCATGCTCCCCCGCTTTTGGCACGCGATGGCAAAAAGGTTAGCCATCACTGACCTAGTGGAACAGATATCCACACACCAGAAAAGGCTGAGCCGAAACAGACACAGATCATCCTCGACTTACCACATTTTGGCTACTGTTCGAAGTTATGACGCTGAAAAAAAAGTAAATTACAAGCGATCCTGGCACTTATGATCACTTCAGCATTACCATGGTCATGTAATCAAAATTTGGGTGCTTGGCAACTGGTATTTACAATGACATCCCAGGTCATGTGTGACCTTCTCAGCTGGCCTCTAACATGCAAAGTCAATGGGGAAGCCAGATTCCTTAATGACTATATGATTCACTTAAGAACTACAGTGATTTGTTTAACAACCATGGCAAAAAGGTTGTAAAATTCTGGTCCCAACTGTGCTCTTAAGTTGAGGAATAACCTGTCTGAGGTAATTCTGCCTTCCCTCCATTACCAATGAGAATTTTGCCATCTTTATTGTGTAGTTAGTATTTTTTTTTCTGAGGAAACTTCAGTTCATTGTAATCTTTGACGCCTTTTCTACATCTCTAGGTTCTCTCCGTGTACTTGTTTAATTTGATAAATAAAGTACAAATCTTTCACAACAAATAATCATAGTGGTAATGGATAAAGACCTTGACAAATGATATCAAGTGACAAATGCTTGCGAAAAGTCTTCTCTGTCTGTGACAGAAGCTCATTTTACAATTTTGCTGAGGTCTGGTGTTAAAAAAAACTGGCAGTTTTTTTTCTTGTGCATGAAGTGATAATCAACAGTTTTACAACAATCATTCATTGAACCTGTCAACCATACTCCAATTTTAGTGCCTAGTTTATTCTGCTCAACATGGAGATGCATCTATTTTATTATGTAATAACTAAAATATCATAAAGTGAAGCCACCTTCACTCCCAAAACCTAAATAAGAGAGGAAGGAGGGAGATGTTGGAATATAGGTAATGCTCACATTAGCCTAATACAGATAGTCCTTGACTTTTGACCGGTTGCCTAATAACCAAAATTCCAACAGACCATGAAAATGGGACGTATGACCTGGATTTCAAGTTTGTTGATTTCAAGACTGTTTACAGCACCTTGTGCTCATGTCACCGTAATTTATGTTTTTGCTGGAAATGTTTCCTAAAGAATAGATTTGCTTAATAATTGTGAAGCTCATTTAATGTAAAAAAGATGGTAAAATTAGGTGCAGTTGCTTGCTTTGTGACCATCATAACTTACGACCAAAATTGTGGTCTCAACTATGGCCATATGTCGAGGACTACTTATATTCCTTTTTCCACTTCGATATGATGAATTCTAGACATTACTAAGTCATTACTAAGACATTAATTCATATATGAATCCATTGGTTACAACAGGGCTGTCAAACTTCCGGCCCGTGGGCAGGGTGCGTCACGTGCTGGACACGCCCATGCCCGGTTTAGCGAAGGGGGGGGAAAGTCCCGATATGTCACGGGATGCCGCCATGAGTTTGACACCCCTGGGTTAAGAGGCTTTCTCACTCTATTGAAAACCAAAGTAATATTTCAAAATTAAGAAAATCCTGTATCAGTGATGGCAAACCTTTTAGCCACTGAGTGCCCGAAGTGTGTGTGCGCGCCCAAACTGCAAGCCTCACGCATGCGTCTGCGCCCACTCACGGCAGAGGCCTGAAATAGAGCTCTGGCAATGTCACACGTGCCCACAGAGAGAGCGCTGCGTGCCACCTCTGGCACGCATGTCAAAGGTCAAATCAGATTTTTTAAAATTTTTATTGAATTTATTTTAATAAAAAACTTTGGGGGTAAAAATCTATCGTAAGATAGTTTTCTATTTAAGATACAGAAATAATTTAGTTTATTCAGCATGAAATGGAGCTTAGTTATGTAGCATGAGGCTGTATATTCTGCAACACTGGGACTATCGGTGAGTCAACAGTGGGTCAGAGGAGTAGCAGAGATGATAGTTGCTCTTTAAAAATTATGATTTAAATCCAGTTGATTTAAATCAAGCCTTTTTACTAGTGATTTAAAGAGCCTTGGTAGTACAGTGGTCTAAGGCATCCTGTTATTAAGCTGGTTATTAAGACCAGCTGCCTGCAATTACTGCAGGTTCGAATCTCGCCAAGGCTCAAGGTTGACTCAGCCTTCCATCCTTTCTAAGGTAGGTAAATTGAGGACCCAGTTTGTGGGGGCAATAAGCTGACTTTGTATAAATATACAAAAAGGATGAAGGCTATTGCTTAACGCATTGTAAGCCGCCCTAAGTCTCCGGAGAAGGGCGGCATATAAATCAAATTAAAAAAATAAATAAATCATGATTTAAATTGTGATTTAAATCAACTCAATTTAAATCAAATCCACCCTGCTACCACCACATGCTATTACCGTAGCTTGGCCAGTAGAGGGCGCCAAATTATTACAGAGAATTCTCTAGAACTTATTCCTCCAACACTCCCCTCCCCCCCCCTGTCAAAGCATGAGCTTTATGGTTTGTTCTGTCTGAATGGTCATTTAATCGATAACAGCAAACAGGGGCTAAAATTTCAAAAGCTGAAAAAGCATGTACAGTACACAATCAGTATTACTTTCCTAAGATAAGAAAATAACCTAAGGGATGCCTTTTAAACAGATATGAAAATCAGCATGAATAAAAATCAATAAACCAATATTGAATGTAGACTGGAATGTTACCATTAGATTTTCTTGCTTAATATTTGCCAATTATCCAACAGCTTAGAACGCAGTTGCAGTCAGATAACAAAGTCACTGACCCCCCAGCACAAACTTGGACTTTTACCCTTTGGTTGGATCTGTATTGGATTCTTCTGTAATTGATTGTATTATCTATCACAAGGATCCACATCGCCAAACAGCAAGAAACCAATTATATTAAAGGTCAGACCTCCTCCCCCCTTTGTTGGGATAAAACCCAGTAGTGTGCAAAGTAAAATGAATAATTACATTATTTTGCAGAAAAAAGGGAGACCCTTCACTTCCTTGACTTCAGTTCTTAAGAGAATTCTTAATGCCATCATAATGACAAAAAAACAAAACAAAACCCAAATGTGGTTATGGGAGATAAGAGGAACAATGCATTCACTGTTCTTTATGTTAATGCCTGCAAACTTGCTTGAGTTAGTAACCTCAAAATAAATGTCAGGGTACGAATCCGTAAACCAATCCTATTGTGTGGGCACATTTTAATATGCATACGAATATCGCACAATGCAGGTTGCCCTCAACTTACAACCATTTGCTGGTGGTTCAAAATAACAGCCTCAGAAAGGATGTTTTATGGTTGGTAAAGGTAAAGGTTCCCCTTGCACATATGTGCTAGTCGTTCCCGACTCTAGGGGGCAGTGCTCATCTCCATTTCAAAGCCGAAGAGCCAGCGCTGTCTGAAGACGTCTCCGTGGTCATGTGGCCAGCATGACTAAACACTAAAGGCGCACGGAACGCTGTTACCTTCCCACCAAAGGTGGTCCCTATTTTTTCTACTTGCATTTTTTATGTGCTTTTGAATTGCTAGGTTGGCAGAAGCTGGGACAAGTAATGGAAGCTTACCCCATTACTAGGGATTCGAACAGCTGAACTGCCAACCTTTCGATCGACAATCTCAGCTTCTTAGCTACTGAGCCACTGTGTCCCGCAAGCCACCATGTATAGTTTGTAAAGTACTTTCAAATGTTGCACATGTGCTCCCTACCCAAGTGATGTGATCTGGGTGCTCGGCAACCTGTTTGCATTTAGGATTGTTGCTGAGCTCCCTGAGGATCGGGAGATCACCATTTGCAATCTTTTCTGCAGGCAAACCCAGAAAGTCAATGGCAAAATGGGCAGGGAAAGTTGCAAGCTGCTTACCGCCTGCTGGGAGGAGTCCCTCTCGTGTCTGAGTGAAAGAGCTGCCTGCTGAAGGAGTTCAGCTCCCCACAGGCTGCTCCCTCCCCCAGGGGTTGTTGGGTGAGGGGCAGACCCTGGCCACCCAGGCATGGCCGGTGTCCACATGCCAATGGGCCATATAGCCTGCACTGAGCTTCCCCTGCCTTCGCTCTACTTAATGTCCTGTAAAATTGCTTAACAACCACAACTGGCAATGCTGGGATTGAGGTCACTGAGCAAAGCAGTCATGTAGATGTGGATGTCTCATTTAAGAGACACTTCACTCAATGACCGAGAGTCAAGTCCCAACTGTGGTTCTAAGTCAAGGACTACCCGTTTCAGAAAGCAACATTTTCCACATCCTCTGATAAAATTTCTTCAGCCAATACACCAGATTGTTAAATCTAATTATGCATATTTCCTACATATTTAAAGGACAGAAATGGAATGTGGGAAACAAGCAAGACTTTATGTGCTTTTTAGCAATATGGGATTCATAATTGTGGCAGCATCTAAGTGATCTTGAACTTAAAAAAAAACCTAAAGACAGTCAATCTGGCTAGCATAGGAATGGGTAACTATCAAGGATATAGACTGGAAAGGATAAAAAAATCTCAGAAGAAAACAACGACAGACCATTTCTATATTATTGCCAAGATGATCAGGTGCATATGTAAATGTTGTTAACAGGAATCTTATACACCTCAGAAATGTTTTTACCTTATTAATCATGTGACACACCATGCTTACCCCCAGTAGCAATAGCACTTAGATTTATATACCGCTTCATAGTGCTTTACAGCCCTCTCTAAGCGGTTTACAGAGTCGGCCTATTGCCCTCAACAATCTGGGTCCTCATTTTACCGACCTCGGAAGGATGGAAGGCTGAGTCAATCTTGAGCCTGGTGAGATTCTATCTGCCAAACTGCTGGCAGCCAGTGATCAGAATTAGCCTGCAGTACTGTACTCTAACACTGCGCCACCACAATGTCTACAAAAAAGTAAAATAGGCATTAAGAAGTCACACCTGAACCATTTAGTTTTGATGTGGAAAAACAGGTGAAGTATTTCATATTGTTTCCTGGATCTATTTGTCCATTCTTCAAATGCACAAATAATTGTTATCTTGCGGTCTAAAATAACAGATGGTATCAATTTAGGAGAGTTTTATTTGTAAAATGTAAATTGCATGGATAACAGTAGGGTTAATCCCGTAGAAAGAAATCTTGGAAGTCTCAAACCTGCTAACTCTGCTTCCCATTTTGGTATAGCATCTTAATGCTGCCTATTATTCTTCACTACAGAATATAGCATTCAGCATATAAATATAAACAACTCATTCCCATAACATTGTCAAACTATCTAGTAAGGTTATATTACTATTATTCTTCTCATCTTTCCTATTACCTATCTCCTTATCTTCTTATGACTATAGCTTTGTTGCTTGTATCTTATGATTTATATTGTTTTATTTAGTATGCTAGTATGATTTATGTTGATTGCTTATTAATATCCTATAACTATCACTAATGTTGTATTCTATGATTTAGGATTAATGTATTTTTATGAGGACTATAAACATGATTTATCACTTTGTTGTTTGTATGCACATGAGAACTTATGCCCCAGAGACAAATTACTTGTGTGTCCAATCATACTTGGCCAATAAAGCTATTCCATTCCATTCGTTTATAATAAAAATCTTTGAATACAATTGTTTAGAACAATCACAGGAAAATACTAGAGAATATTTTAGCTCCAAACTAACTTTTTAAATTGAAATATGTGTATTAAACATGAAATTCAGTCATATGTCAATTACGTTTTCTAAAAAATTACTTTAAATTTTTACAGTAATTCAGGAAGACAACAATTCCATCAATATGATTCCAGAGTTCTCACACATAAAGCAAGAACCAATTGACATAGGTAAGTCAATCAATGAGGGTACGTGTATATAACAATTTTTAAAAAGAAAATATTTTAAAAAATATTCTTTGTTTACCTCTGTGTCTGTTCTTTCGCTAAAATCTTGGAATAGTCAAAATTAATTTCAAACAAAAACTATGGAAATTTAATTGTAGCCTAGAGACACATATCTTAATTGACAATATATGAGCTTCATAAATTTAAAGCTTTGGGGGAGGATAAGCTTTTTAAGACATAGCACTAGTGACAGGTATATATTGCACAAAAAATTATGGTTGAGATTATTATCTAAACTGATAAGAGAATTCAGAGATTCCTCTAAATTTCAATACCAATATTTCAAGATGTTATCCTTTGTGGCAACTGCAGTCATGATAACAGATAATTTGAAAAGCCATTTTCCATGAGAAATGAAGGCTTTGCTAACATGAACACTGGCCATATCTGACGCCTTTATCTTCATTTTAAACACTCTTGTTTGGTGTAAGCTTCACCCAGATAAAGCATGGGTGAAATATAAGCAGAGAATTATGTGCTAATTCAATGCAAGCAATATGGGTTTTCATTACCTGTGCTTAAAGTCTCTTTTGCTTTTTAAACCCGTGGTCTGGAGAAAACTGAAAGAACACGAAAGGCTGTATTTTTCTCCTGGAGAATAGCATTATTTTTCCCCCTTAATTTTATTGGCCAAATTCAGAAAGAATGGCAAATCAATGCAATCTAGAAAAGTCTGGTAGTTTTAAATTCCATTTGATCCTGGCATCACATTCCTTTATTCTAATCCATCCCTTGTTTTGCTCGATCTGCACATGAGTCTAGTGAGGAATCTCCTCTAAAGGCCATTGAGAAAGGGGTTTAGCTTAGAACAGGGTTTTCCAAACTTGGCAAGTTTAAGACTTGTGGACTTCAACTCCCAGAATTCTTCAGCTAACCATGCTGGCTGGGGAATTCTGGGAGTTGAAGTCCAGAGGTCTTATACTTGCCAAGTTTGGAGACTCCTGTCTTAGAGGGAAGGAAATGCAAAAAGGACCCTATTTCCAGACTCGGGGCTTCATGTAATGGTTTGTAGGCAGTGGTGGTATTCAGCTGGCCTGGCGGTATGCCATCCTATTTAGCCATGTTTTCTAAGGCGCACACATGCATGGAAGGCTGCACACATGCATGGAAGGCGCGCACACATGCTCACATTTTCAGTTTACGGCGAAGCGGTTGTAAAATTATGTTAAACCCATCTCTGTTTGTATGATCTTTTCATCACAATGGTTTTAGACACCAGTATTAACCTACACAGTATTTCAGCAGCCCTGTTGATTAAAAATCCTTGAGTGAATTAATGTCCTTTACCTTAGTCCTCCACATGTACAAAATGAGAGTCACAATCACTTGTCATGGGGGATTGATGAGATTTATTTATTTTTTTGCTAATGAAGCTCTTTGATGTAACAGAGACTGAATGCACTAAGCTTAACCATTTTCCATACTTGCACATTTCTCTCTCTCTCTCCCTTCCTTCCTTTCTTTGGTGGAAAAAACCGTGGAAGCTTCTGATTCCAAAATGTATATGAAACAAGTCATAAGACACATTAATCAGCTTTACAAGTGCTGAATAACAGCAAATGATGGTTAATCAAAAGCAAACGCTTCTAAACTTGGGAAGCATGGAAGAAAAGGGAAGAATGGAAGCATGGAAGAAAAGCCTTTTCATGTCTCCATACACCAAGCAATTATCATTGCAGAAAAATCATAATCTCAGCATTTATGAACGGGTCCACTTTTTAGGGACAAGAATCTAAGCACTCCAAATAATTCATATTAAGTATGACAAAAAGCTCTATAAAGAGTAGGTAGATTTGCTTCCGTAGATGGAATACAGAGCAGAGAGTCCGTGAAAGATCAAAGATATGGGTATTTGTTAATATGATTTATTGGGTTAGGGATTTTCTGTTTCCACTGTGAGTTGTATTGTGTTGGGGGGTGCACTGAGGGAGTTCCACCAATCTTTTTGGACGTATGTTGTGCGGTGACAATAAAGGTTATTATTATTATCACCATCAGATCACATGGATGGAATGAAATATTCTGATACAAGATACCACGAATAGTAAAGTATCACGTTAATGTTGCAATTGAATCTCTTTCTGTAAAATGGCGGTATTATTCGTGGAATATAAAATTTATCTGAAAACTGACTAATTGCATAAAAAAGCAATTTAACACATTCCGTTTGCTTGAAAAGAGCTTAAGAAGCATTTCAGGAAAAAAAGGGAACAAGAAAGTGGAAAAATTACTGAAATACCAACAATTTTAGGCCAAGCCTATTATATCTTCCTTATTAGAGCAATGCTGGATAAAGCCCATGGATCTGAAGAGTTATCTTACATGAATAGTTTTTATCCTTCAAAAAAAAGTTTGAATTGGGAACTGCCTCTTTGTCTAATACAGGTAGTCCTCGAATTACGACCACAACTGAGCCCAACATTTATGTTGTTAAGTGAGACATTTATTGAGTTTTGTCCCATTTGACAAGCTTTCTGGCCACAGTTGTTAAGTGAACAATTTAGCAGTTGTTCAGTTAGCAATGCAGCTGTTAAGTGAATCTGGCTTCCCCACTGATTTTGCTCATCAGGAGGTCTCAAAAGGACATGATCCGCAGACACTGCACTCATCATAAATATGAGTCACTTGCCAAGCATATGAAATTTATTTATTTATTTATTTATTTATTTATTTATTATATTTCTATACCGCCTTTCTCCCGTAGGACTCAAGGCGGTGTACAGTCAAGAAAAATATAGATACACAAACATCATAAAATTGCTAATTAAAATTATTATTATAACATAGTTTGGCCCAATTAAATAGAACCTAAAATTAGATAACATTTTAAAAACATTCACATGTTCATATGTTTAGCCCTGCTTGTTGGAACATCAAGGTTTTGAGGGCACGGCGGAAAGCACGGAGATCAGGGATATTTCATATCTCCGGGGGCAGTTCATTCCAAAGGGTTGGAGCCCTCACAGAGAAGGCCCTCCCCCTGGGAGTCACCAATCGCCATAATTTGACTGACGGTACCCTGAGTAGTCCCTCCCTGTGAGAACGAACTGGTCGGTGGGAGGCTATTGGTGGCAAAAGACAGTCTCGTAGGTACCCAGGTCCTAAGCCATGGAGCACTTTAAAGGTGATAACTAACACCTTGAATTTTAATCATGTGACCATGGGGACTATGGCTGCAATGGTTGAAAGTGTGAAAAATGGTCATAAGTTGGCTTTTTTCAGTGCTGTTGTAACTTTGAATGGTCACTATATGAATTGTTGTTAAGTTGAGGACTACCTGTATAATAATGTCGCTGATTCAGAGTCAAGATTCTGGCATAAAAGCCTATGTCACAGCATTGCTGATATCGAAAGAACTGTAACCAAAGTAGGGTGAAAGCACTTGAGAACTCTTATCTCAAATTTCATCATGGAAAAAGAATAGGATCGAGCATGTAGCAAAAATTTAATACGCATTACACAAGAATGAGAAATGCCAGGGACCGGACTATTCCTCTTCTGACGCGAGACCACTGCGCCCTTTGGAACATTTAAGTTGCATCATTGGCAAGGGATGAAGGAGGTCAGGAGGAGATCACATCAGAACTTTAGTTTGATTTTTTAACTTATTACTGTTTCCCCTTTAAAAATAAAATAAAATAAAATATCTGGAAGTAAAATGCTGACCCAAGAGGGGTTCGCAAAGCACTTTCTACCTAAAGCAGTGATGGCTAACCATTTTTTCTTCGGGTGCCAAAAATGAATGCACATACGCGATATTGCACGCGTGCGTGCCCGCACCCATAATGAAATGCCCCCATGCATGCCCCGCCCCAGCACAGGCGTGCACGACCCCCCCCGCATGTGTGCACCCCCCCACGATCCGTTTTGGGCCTAGCAAGCCTCCCTGAACTCTCCGGAGGCAGGAAACGTTTCAGACTTCTGGTAGGCCCATTTTTTACCGCCACAGGCTCCAGAGGCTTTCCTAGAGCCTCCAGGAGGGCGAAAATGGCCTCCCCCGGCCCTCCGGAGGCAGGAAACAGCCTGTTTCCGGACTTCCGGTACTTCCTGTGGCACGCATGCCATAGGTTCGCCATCACAGACCTACAGCATACTGTATGCTAGTTTTAAACTCCATTAATCTTCAAGCCTGGATAGATAAACAGCTCACCTGAATTCACAAACCCAATTGACTGGTTTATGCATTAATGCACCTGAATCTGATTCGGTGTGGCCCTGGAGTCTGCAGAGATGTATCAGTTGGCCTGCTGGAGTCTTTTCATGTTCACTGGCTAGACCCTGTTTAACACCTAAGCCTCCACCTCTTTGTAGTCAATGATAGTTAGCTGGATGAACGAGAAATATTGATCTGTTGATCTGAAAAATAGTACACTGAATGGCACAAGTGATAATTTAAGCAGCCATATGGCTAACCATTCAGAAAAATGACAACAACGTAATCCCCTGCTGATGTCTACTTAGGTAATCATGTCTTCACACCACACACTGTCTGACATCTCAACGAAATGTTTATTCTAAAATTCTGAAAGCTCTAATATGTGCGTGCTACAATTCTTCACAAGCTGCGGCTTGGGAAGGGGAAATTATGTATTTAGTGGTCCACAACAGCTGAAAGTGACATCTAGAATTAAAGGTGGATAACAAAAGACTCTTTTCTTGGAAGTTCACTGCCCAGCATTCGTAGCCATACTGGCAGTGAGTGGTTTAGCAATCTTTGGAGAGTCCTAGGTTAGCCCTCCGCTCTCTCTCTAGGCCAGGGGTGTCAAAACTTGCAGCCCGTGGGCCAGATGTGTCATGCACTGGTCACGCCCACCCTGTTTTAGCAAAGGGGGGAAAGTTGCGATATGTCATGTGACAACGGGATGCTGCGAGAGTTACACCCCTGCTCTAGGCAGAAGGAAGCATTGGCCACATAGAATGATATCCTAAACTGATCCTCCTATCCAGGGGTGGATTGTCCTTACCTTTACTCCCGGTTCACAACTGGGCCGCTTGCCTTTCTACGCATGCGCAGAAGCTTCCTGATGACGTCGGGATTGGTGGGCAGAGCTTCCCGCCGGTTTTACTACCGGTTCTTGCGAACCGGTCTGAACCGGGGGCAACCCACCACTGCTCCTATCTATACCATGACTACATCAAGCACTGACACAACCACCAGGCTTCGTATTATTCAAGGAGATCTGATGTGTTATAAAAGAACAATATTAAGGGGTGTATCCCAGGTCAAAAACATCTGAAATCAATTATGCAATGTAGAAGGCTGTTTACATAAGTGTTGTGCAACTTGGAATAGTTTGTTCCAAGCTGTAATGTTTGCAATTTGGCAACATTTGGAAATTTTGCATGGAAAAGGAATGATAGCAAGGAAAGTTAAGCCACTGTCAAGAAAGAACAAGAGAATTGTGTCTTCCAAAGACAAGTGATATTTTTTTCCCATGGGCATTTTCTAGCTCTGAGGCTCAGACGCACATTGCCCTTGAGTTTTCAACTACAGTATCAATATAGTCTGGGGGGGTGGGGGGAAGCCAAATCAAGTATCAGCCTTCAAGCCTCTACATGATCTATTTGAAACTGCAGGCTTCAGCCTAGTTGCTAGATACTAGAGAAACTGCCAAGATAAATTTACTGTTGCTAAGACATTTCCACTTGTTGGCACAACTCCCATTTCTTCCACAGCCAACTTGCATTCCTTGCCTTCCATCGCCAACAATGGAATTTACTTCCACAAGATCAGTTTCTAAAATATACTAACTGCTTATAATTCACATTACAACCTTCGTTTTACTGACAATTCCATGGACCTCAGTATCCTGTTCTGTGGATGATTTTGGAGAAAAGAATTAAATGTACAATATCAAATAAATAAAAAACAGAATTGTTTATTTGGAAAAAAAAGGGGGGGGGTACTGGATAGCATATATAAAAACAGGTAAATTATTTCCAGGTGCTGACCGCTTGCAAATTTACTAAATTTGCAAATATAACACTATAATAAACACTCCCCACCAGCTGAAATAAATAAGTTTTGTTGGATGCCCTTGACAATGACTCTCAACTTGTATTTAAGAATTGTAGTTAGTGTGAGATAAACATCAACAGCAGATCTGGGGACATAACCTTAGAAAGTGTCTGCCTTTCCTGCATATCATGTTGCCAGTTGCGGAAACAGGATGTTAACTGATTTTTCTTTTGTCTGATCTGGCTCTATAAAATAGTGTTTCCACTTACTCCACATATTTACAATCTGCAGATAGTTCTCAACTTACAACCGCAATAGAAGCCAGACTATCGAACGAAAGCCATTTCAGTTGCAAATCAAGACACCAAATGACCAGATGAGATTATATGTCCATATTTATGATTGCCCCTCAGTGAGTTACAGCAGTGGTTAAGCAAATCACGTGGTTATTAAATGAATCCAGCATATCCAATAGGCTGTTTTTTGCTGGAAACCGGCAAAATACTCAAATTGTAGTCATGTGACTATAAGACACTGCAAGTGGTTGCAAATGCAAGCTGGTTACCAAGATCCCAGAATGCAATCATGTGATTGGGGAGACAATAGCTGTAACTTTATGGAAGGGTTGTAAGTAGCTTTTTTGAAATCTGTGGTAACTTTAAATGTCCTTTAAGTTACCGATCAATTTGCCCGGGTTGTTATTCTCCAGTTGCTATTTTCTTCTTTTTGTGTCCAAAATCCTTTCAAAATTAGAAAAAAGTTATGAAGTATTATGCAATCCGTCTGAATTCAGCTGTAGACAAAAAATGAGTTTGCTTTGATTTCCCCAAATGCAGTTTTTTTCTCCCCCTTCAGCTATTTTTGACTAGTAGCAGTTTCAAACAAAGGGCTTCCAAGGCCTTATTTAAAAGCCATTTGAACAGCAGCACAAGTTTTCACCAATTTAATTGGCCAGAAGTGTCAAATTGAAAAGCAATTTTTATCCGTACCAACTTATACCTTTCATTCCTCAAATGAAACTTCAGCCATTCTGTCCTTTTAAAAAAATAAACAGCAGCCTCAATATATTTCAATTATAAAACAGAAGAACAGGGTTTGTGTGTGTAGAGACAGAGAAAGAGAGAGGGCTGTTTAACTATTTCCATTAAACCACCTTTTCCAGTTACAATCCTTCCTACAGGGTTTCATATGGAAAATATGAACCTGTCCCTGGTTAAAACAATTGAAGGCCACTGATTTAAGACAACGTTTTACACATGGACAGGCCCTGTAAGTGCAGAGGAAGGATTTGAAACTTCAATAGGTCCCAAGTCTCTTGATGTCAGTATGTGATCTGAGAACCTGCAAATGTGGAGCCCTGGCCTTAATGTAAGAACATGGTTAGGCAGTTCAGTGGTCCACAATTGCAATGGCAATAGCACTTAGATTTATATATCGCTTTACAGCCCTATCTAAGCGGTTTACAGAGTCAGCATATTGCCCCCAACAATTTGGGTCCTCATTTTACCCACCTTGGAAGGATGGAGGCAACCTTAAGCCTGGTGAGATTTGAACTGCCAAATTGCAGTCAGCAGAAGTAGCCTGCAATACTGCACTCTAACCACTGTTGCTCAAGCCACTATGGGCCCCCTAGACCTGTGTCGCCCCCCCCCCCCATTTGGTTCCATGGAGGGTGGTTTTTCCACGGACAGGGGAACATGGTTTTGTGTGCTGCCTGGATCTTGCACATGCGCAGATGGGGCTTCACTCGCTTGTGCAGCCCAGTGCCAGTCCATGGCCCGGGGGTTGGGGACCCCTGCCCTAGACAACACATCCCTCCAACCCAGGGGTGGGCAACTATGGCCATTTTATGTCCTGTGGACTTCAACTCCCAGAATTCCTGAGCTCAGGAATTCTGGGAGTTGAAGTCCATAAATCGTAAGGGGCCATTGTTGCCCACTTCTGCTCCAACCTCTCTGAATGTTAATACAAAACTATTCTACTGCCTTCTCAGTAGCAGCGTACTTTACCAAACTGCTTTCTAATTAGCAATTAGTAAGTGAACTTGTGGAACATTTACTCATTTAGAATGCCTGAAGAGACAAGAAAATCAGAACTGCAAATCTTCCTATACTTAACTAAGCAGACTTCCAAGTATATATCACAGGAACACAACATATAAATGACTTTGGATGCATCCTGGATTAGAAACTATAACAACAGGAGGAATAAATGAAAATATGTTAAACCATAAAATGGAATAGTTTTCACAATGTGGAACCTTTCAGCTGTGTTGGATCTGCAAACCCCAGAATTCCCAGTCAGCAGAACTAAAAGAAGATACCAAGTTCAGGAAAACAGTAAACAACTATTTTGTATTTATTACAAAATAATAAACCTCACTAACTATTGTGAGGGAAGTTAATTTTGCTTACCAGAGAAAGAATAGTAGATTCCTCTAGTGTTATGGACTATAGCCATGATAGCGAACCTATGGCACACATGCCCAAAGTGGCACGTGGAGCCATGTCACCTGGCATGCGTGGCGGCGCCTGTTCCTTTTCCGGGTTTATGGCATGCATGCGCACGCAACAATCAGCTGGCCTTTGTGCTTGTCTTCCATTTTCTGGCGTGAGCATGTGTGCTGGTCAGCTGATCAGCATGTGCGCATGCGTGGCAGTAACCTGAAGACTTGCCGGCAGTAAAGAAGAAGAAACCTGAAGAAACCGCGAGTACATTCTCCGGCACGCGCACGCCCCTGGGCAACTCCTATTCCTGGTCTCGGCCCAGACAAACCCGCGCACACGAAATGCTCCCTTTTCGGCACTCAGTGCCGAAAAGGTTCACCATCAATGGACTATAGTCATACTATCAGTCTTTTTTTAATAATATACCAGTATTCAGAGTGAGGCTTGCTGTTTCTCCCAATTTAAGGTTATAACTTTTTGGCGACGTTGTGACATTTTAGGCAGTGGTGGAATTCAATTTTTTTTACTACCGGTTCTGTGGGTGTGGCAGGGGAAGGATACTGCAAAATTCCCATTCCGTCCCGACTCCTGGGGGAAGGATACTGCAAAATCCCCATTCCCACCCCACTCTGGAGCCAGCCAGAGGTGGTATTTGCCGGTTTCTCCGAACTGCTCAAAATTTTTGCTACTGCTTCTACAGAACCTGTCAGAACCTGCTGAATAGCACCCCTGATTTTAGGTATGAAAATGTTGTGAGGATGCAATAATTCATCTAAGCTGCCCAATGCAATCAAGCCTTTTAAGAATTTACTATTTACCAATGCTATAAAAATTGGAGAAAAAGGTATAGGTGTAAGCATAACTAAAGCTTAGTATAACATATACTTGCTTGGATCTTCTATTTTGGTCAATTCTTGAAACAGGCAGAACAATCTTATAACAGGCAGACTCTTCTCAACTCTCTCAGGATAAATATTAATTTATTAGGGTTATTATTACCACCAAATTACAAAGGCCCAAGGCAGTTGAAGTCTACATGCCAAGAAACACCTCATATGAAGGTGCAGCATTAAAGAACATAGCAATGGGAGGAGCAGTTTTCTATATTGCTTTAGTAAATTTAATTAGAGGTAAATATATAAGACATGTAACATCATAATGAACAACTGGGTTATTTTGACAGATGATGATTCAGTCAGCACAATCTCAGAGGATACATCTGGATTCTCAGTGTATAAACAGGCACCTGGGACAGGTAAGCTTTTTCTTTGCTTCTGGTCAACAATGGGAGAAAATATAGAAAAATATTTGATGAACTCTGGCTCTAAATGGGGCTGCCTAAATCTCTGCAGGAGGAGATTTAGTATTTGATGGTCCTCTGAGACTTAGAGCTCCTGCTTGAATGGCAAATGAAAGCCACAAGCTAGGAGGTAATAGGGATTCATGCTCTTATTACATCATATTCTAACTGTGACACGTGACATGTTCTACAGCAGTGATGGCAAACATTTTTGGCACCGAGTGCCCAAACCGGAACGAATGTGCATGTGCGCGCTCTGGAGAACGGGAAACCCGAAGATCAACTGGCTGGTGCACGCATGCCTGTTTTTTGGCCATTTTCAGGCTGTTTTTTGGCCATTTTCAGGGCCATTTTCCAGGCTCAAAAATGGCCCCAAAATGGCCTGAAAATGGCCCAAAAAACAGCCTGAAAAATGGCCTGGCTTTGGCCACTTTCTGGCGCTCTGGTGCCCATGAAAACCAGCTGATCCACCTGCATGTGTGCGCTGAAAACCGGAACAGCAGCTGGTGACGGCGCGCGTGTCCAGAGAGAGGGCTTTGTGTGCCACCTCTGGCACGCGTGCTCTCTGTGGCACGCGTGCCATAGGTCCACCATCACGGTTCTACAGTATACCGACCTGTCTTTTGAAGATGACTTGGAAACCATCATTGGTACATGTCAATGGAGATTCTCAGTCATCCAAGTCATGGTTCTCTCCCAAAGGTGCTTTTTCATGAGGCAACTGGACTTTCTGGTTTTTCTTTGAAGACGTTTCGCTTCTTATCCAAGCGTTGTGGTCCGCCAGCAGCCTGCAGAGCTGGCAGCGGAGTCGGACAGCGATGAGGCTGAGGAAGAACATGGGCCAGTCCTGGAGGCTGGGGAAGGCCCGGATGAGGGCTCTGCGTCAGAGGCAGAGATGGGGCCAGGGCCATCGGGGAGTGAGGTGCGGAGTCCGGAGCCTACAGAGGCTGATAGGAGTGAGGCAGAGGAACAGGAGGAACCTGTTCCTAATGCACGCATGAGAAGAGCTGCCAGAAGGCAAGAGCAGCTCAAGCAAAGAGGACAACTCGGGGGTAGGGGCAAGAGATGATTGGCCCCTCCCATAAGACTTAAAACAGACCAGCAACGGCGTTTGGGCTTTGCCGGAAAACAACATTGGTAGCTTCGTCTTGTATTTATTTTTGTATCTGTGACTTCTGAACGTTTGCCAAGGAAGGTCTTTGGCAGTTTGCCTAATTGGACCAAGGTTTGAGATAGGACTGAGGAATTTCTGTTTGGAGGAATTTGCTTTAATTTAGTTGAATGACACTGGGAATGAAGTAATTCTCAGCTGTTCGAATGAAGTTGGTTTTTTCACTGACTGATTTTCCTACTACTTACTTGGGCCTGGGTCACAACATCTTGGATGAAAAATGAAACGTCTTCAAAGAAAAACCAGAAAGTCTAGTACCTCATGAAAAAGCACCCTTGGAACATCATTGGTACAAAATGAAGAGGTCATGAATTGGCCACTATTGTCATTCTCTATTTGCTGCAAATGTAGGGTTTCAACAGGGAAAGGGTTAGGGATTTCCAGATATCAGAAGCACATAGACAAAGTAGCCATCTTTCTCTGTAGCAGTCCCCGTTTTGGGAAACTTTTACCTTCAGGCTTTCCACAGAGCCATCAAACCTGTTTCAACAAGCCTTTGATGAACAAGGATTCACTCCTCTTACCTTCCAAATTTATTTTATTTTATTTATAAAATTTATAATAGCTATAAAATTGCAATTTTTCTTACATGAATATTAGATGAGACCAGAGATATTGACTTTTTCCACCTGCCTTAGATTTGGTTAGTTGAGGCTTTTTAGTAAGAGAGTGTAGTAGATTGGGTTAATAACCTTAGTTACGATATTTTTCGGAGTATAAGACGCACCTTTTTCCCCCCTAAAAGGGGGTGAAAATTTAGGTGCGTCTTATACACTGAATGTAGCCCTGCCCACCCACTGGCCCCCACCCTTTGGCTTCTGCCTCCCAGCAATTTACTTCCTTGCAGCAAGCAGCAAGAAGAAACAGCCCATTTCAGCTTCAGCACAGCCTAATTAGCATAAATTGATTGTCCCTTGGATCAGCCTCCCGACTCTCAGCTGTTTCAGGCTGCAGGGATTGCCTAATGCTGTGTGGGCCTCTGCTGCTTGCTGCAAGGAGGTAAATTGCTGGGAGCAGATTTTTTTTTTCTTGTATTAATCAAACTATGCTGAAAATGAAAATGAAAGTAAAGCAGGCTATTTGCTGTTTGCTGTAACAAGGAAAAATTGCTGGGAGGCAGAGGCAGATTTCTTTTTCTTGTTTTCCTCACCAAAAAAGGTAGGTGCGTCTTACAGTCCGGAGCGTCTTATATTCCAAAAAATATGGTATATCAGTGCCACCTATAGCACCTTCTGCAGCAGTCACTTTCGGCACATTTTATTTACTGTATTTATACAATTCGGAAACTGGTCCTACTGAAGGGTCTACAAAATGAACTTCAATAATACTGTATCAATGCAAAGACCCTAACAGCACAATAAAAATTATCCATGAACATCAAATGATCTGTTGACAAAAAAAATCCACCTTTAATGAGTCTCCCAAGGCTTTTCAAAAAAGCCAAATTTTAATCAGTTTTCAGAAGACCATGCAAGCCACAAATACAATGCTATCCTATGCAAAGCACAATCTCCAATTTAGATGCTTTCTCATAAACTACCAAGTAGGAGGCATATGAAGTATGCTGGCCTACAGTCAGGACAGTGTGATGCATTAACATGACTTGAAATGTTTCCAAATCTATCACCAAAATATTACTAAATGAAAATGTATCTAGTCTAATGTAAGTTATTAAACCCTGTAGTAGTTTTAAGAAGTTACAACTAAGAGCTACATACAGAACCATATGCAAATTTTGGAGACTGTATCTGAAGTGGCACACAGCCCTAATTTCTTTATATAATGTTCCATTTTTTTTTGTTCAGATCTTTTCCTAATTAAATACCCACTGAATCTTTTTATCTAATAGCTTTGGGGAGGGATGCAATAATCTGCTTTTATTTTGTGACACACTTTCAGTTCTTTTAATTTTGAATCTTCAGACAATCAGATGACCTTGGATGAAGCCCAAAATCACTTTAGAGTTATTACAGTCAATGACACAGGAGCAGGAAAGCATTGGTGTGACAATGAAGTCAGAGCTCTAATAAATATATGGTCAGATGAGGAAATACAACAAATGCTTGAAGGAGCAACAAGAAATAAAGAAATATTTGAGGAGATTGCCAGAAGGCTAATGAAAGTTGGAATAGACAGAGACTGGAAACAGTGTCGTACAAAATACAAGAACTTAAAATACGAGTATCGAGCGGTGCAGAAGGAAAACAATCAGCTTGGTAGCCCAAGCAGGAAGATGAGATTTTACGATGAAATTGACTGCATTTTGAGGAACCAGCCCTCAGGTATGTTTACATGCAGGGACGGAACCAATTTGATATTAAATACGAATAATATCACAGAAGCAAGAATAGTTTAAATATTAGAGGAAATGCCTTATCAAAGCTATGGTTATATCAGGATGGTAACAAGTTTCATCTAAGCCTTGGAATTCAGAGTTAATAATCCGTAGCCCAAAAGAAAATCAGAGGAAGGGTGTTGCACATGGAACAAGCAACTTATTTATGTGTTAGTAATCAGGAGTAGGTCACAAGATTATATTTCCTCCTGCTCTCTACCTCCTCTCTGCTGAGCATGACTCCCCATTAGACCCCACCCTTGTCCTAACAGAGACCTATAGATCAACATGGCTGATAAACTCCTAACCACAATTAACTTGATTGCAGTTGAAAATTAAGTTTGGATTTTATGTTATAAATAAGCCTACATAAAGTCTTGGCTTGCAGATTACTTTTTGTTCTTGTTGCCAGGCAGTTAAGACACATAACATCTATTCTTATGTAAAAGAGGCCCCATCTATGGAAGGCAGCTGGTTAAACCCTTGAGATTATCTTCTATTGATCAGATAATAACAGAGTTGGAAGGTATCTTGGAGATCTTCTAGTTCAACGCCCTGTACAAGCAGGAGACCCTATAGTATATCGTGTTTCCCTGAAAATAAGACCCTGACTTATATTTTTCTGAACCCCAAAATAAGCGCTTGGCCTTATTTTTGGGGAGGTTTTATTATTTTGGGGCGCATGGAACAAGATGGGGCTCCTCTTGCGGTCTTTAAATATTTTCGGGGAGGGCTTATTTTAGCACATGCGCTCAAAGGCCCGATTGGGCTTATTATCAGGGGATGTCTTATTTTCGGGGAAACAGGGTACCATTCCAGACAAGTGGCTGTCCAGTCTCTTCCTAAAAGCCTCCAATGATGGAGTGCCCATAACTTCTGAAGACAAGCCATTCCACTGGTTAATTGTTCTTACTGTTGGAAATTTCACCTTAGTTCTAGGTTGCTTCTCTCCTTGATTAGTTTCCACCCATTGCTTCTTGTCCTGCCCTCAGGTGCTTTAGAGAATAGGTTGATCCCCTCTTCTTTGTGGCAGCTCTTCAAATATTGGACCACTGCAGTCAGGTTACCTAGTCTGTCTTTTCACTAGACAAACCTAATTCCTGCAACCGTTCATGTGTTTTAGCCTCCAGCCCCCTAATCGTCTTTTTTGCTCTTTTCTGCACTATTCCCAGAGTATCTATATCTTTTTTTATAATATAGTGACCAAAACTGGATGCAGTATTCTAAGTGTAGTCTTATTAAGGCTTTATAAAGTGGTACTAATATTTCACATGATCTTGATTCTATCACTTTGTTAATGCAACCTAGAATTGCATTGGCTTTATTAATTGCTGCCACACACTGCTAGCTCATATTTAAGTGACTGTCCACCAGGACTCCAAAATCCCTCTCTCAGTTACTGCTATTGAGCCAGGTTTCACCTAATCTATACCTGTACATTTGACTTTTCTTGCCTAATATAAAACTTTACTTTTTTCTACACTGAATTTCATTTTGTTAGATAGGGCCTATCTGGATCTTGAGCCTATCTTCTGGAATATTGGCTATTCCTGCCAGTTTAGTGTCGTTTGCAAATTTGATTTGAATTCCCCTTCAATTCCCTCATCTTTTTTTTTTTTTTAATTTGATTTATATGCCGCCCTTCTCCGGAGACTCAGGGCGGCTTACAATGTGCTCAGCAATAGCCTTCATCCTTTTGTATATTTATACAAAGTCAGCTTATTGCCCCCACAAACTGGGTCCTTAATTTACCTACCTTAGAAAGGATGGAAGGCTGAGTCAACCTTGAGCCTTGGCGAGATTCGAACCTGCAGTAATTGCAGGCAGCTGGTCTTAATAACCAGCTTAATAACAGGGTGCCTTAGACCAGTGGTCCCCAACCCCCGGTCCGCGGACCGGTGCCGGGCCGTGGAGTACCTGGCACCGGGCCGCGCAGCGGCCGGGGGACATGAACGCTGCAGCGCAAAGGCTCCTGGGCCGTGCGCAATGGGCCGTGCGCAAAAGCTCCTGGGCCGTGCCCCCACCCCTGCGCGCGCTCAGCGGGCCGCGGCGATAAAAAGGTTGGGGACCACTGCCTTAGACCACTGTGCTACCAAGGCTCTTCTAAATTGTTTATGAAGATGTTGAAGAGTACTGGGTCTAAAACAAAACCTTGGGGTATCCCACAGTTTACTTCCCTCCATGCAGATGTAATTCCATTAAGGACTACACTTTGAGTGCAGTTTGTCAGCCAGTTACAAATCCATCTGATGGTGATGCTGTGTATCCCACCTTCTTTTTTAGCTTACCAAGAAGTTGTGTCTACTTTGTCAAATGCTCTGCTGAAATCTAAGTATATATTGTGTCCACTGCATTTCACTAATCCACTAATTGTGACACTTTGTCAAAGAATGAAATAAGATTCGTTTGGCAGGATCTGATCCATGCCACTTTTTCATGAGCACTGTCTAGAATTGCCACGGATTGCACGCGGCCATCTTTTTGAGGGATGCAACATGCCCTTCCCAAGTTCCCTACACATTGTAAGGACATTGAGGTTTTTTTTCATGCCAAATGAAATTCCGTATATGCCTCTTGAGCATATAATTCCAATTTTCAATTGCTCGGAGAAGCTGCTTAGAGAAACTCATGGAAACCCAATCACAGACTGAGAGGTTAAAAGATGACAGCATTCATTCACCACTGAAATAGTGTTTATCACACATTGATGAATGAATATTGGGGTGGTGGTGGTGGTATTTTATTAGCAGGATCATTTGGAAAGGTATCCAGGCAGTGGTGGGTTTCCAATATTCTTACCACCGGTTCGCTGAGTGTGCGCATCATTCACGCATGTGCATTCCGCGAATGCACCCAGCCTCAAAAATGTCCCTAAATAGGACAGCATAGAGCCGGGGTGGGTGGGTGAGTGGGCCGACCCGCAATCTCCACTACCGGTTCACCTGAACTGGTACGAACCGGCTGAATACCACCTGTGTATCCAGGGTATATTACATAAACTTTCATTGAAAGAAGAAAAGATTTAACCAACGGTATCTAAAACTCTGCATGCAGCTCTGTATCTATATTGATGACCAGCAATTATCACTGAAGAAATTTAGAGAAATGTAAAACAAACAAACAAAATGTAGCTGTGTTTCTGCTTATTTTAGTTCCAGAAGTGTAAATTAAGTCAGTTACCATATTTTTTGGAGTATGACACACTTTTTTCCCTCCTAAAAGAGGCTGAAAATTTGGATGCGTCTTATACTCCGAATGTAACCCTGCCCACCCACCAGCCCCCACCCTTCGGCCTCCGCGGATCCTTTTCCTGGCTGCAGATATTGCCACCAACAATGGCTTGCGTTTTCAGCTTCCAAATGCTAGGGATCGCCAAAGCACATCACTGCCGATCGTCACCCGAATGTGATGGGTTTGGAGGCTGAAAATGCGATGCGCGGTGCCCAAAATGACTACCCGAAACAGCTGCTGCCTTTTCTTACGTCTTCTGCGCTTTGCCTGCTTTAGTCACTGGAGCTCCCTCTGACAATCAGCTGTGCTTTTGAAGCTCTTTTTCAGCCCCAACGCGAGCAAAGCAGTCTTCCGTGCTTTGCCTGCTTTTCTAATTGCTGCTTCCTCCGACAATCAGCTATGCTTTAGAAGCTCTTTTTCAGCCCCAACGTGAGCGAAGCCGTCTTCCGTGCTTTGCCTGCTTTTCTAATTGCTGCTCCCTTCGACAATCAGCTGTGCTTTAGAAGCACAGCCTCAACCTCAAAACCGATGAGTGAACTAATGTGCTGAAGCTGACGCCCCAACCAGCCCCAACCTCAAAACCAGCGAGCAAACTAATGTGCTGGGACTAGCCAGTTGAATACCTGGTAAGCAGAATTTTCCTCCCCTATTTTCCTCCCCAAAAACTAAGGTGCATCTTATACTCCAAAAAATATGGTAAATTAACCTATGAACAAATTTATCCATCTTGCACCCCAAATTTTAATAGCACATTGCCAATAACTATTTACTGTCTTTTTTAAAGAGATGCTTACAGAAGTTATCACAGACCCAATACCACTGAGGGTCAAGAGGAAATTCTCTGAAGAAGGTAATGATTTTTCACCGTATCACTGAGTAGATGTACAAGAGATATAAGATAATAACAAATTGCTGAGGCAATCCATTCATTTGTACTGTATTTGTTGTTTTGAATTTATGGGAACTGAAAAGAGCCTCTGCATTCTGTGTGTGAAGGTTCCATGAAAGCTATTGTGAAGAGATAAGCAACCCAATGTGCGTTTCCAAATACAAGTAATCCTTGATTTATGACCACAATTGAGAACAGAATTTCTGTTGCCGAGCAAGGTGGTCATTAAGTGAGTTGTTCCTGATTTTTGGTCATGGTTGTTAAGTAAATTCCTGTGTTTGTTAAATGAATCTTGCAGCCATTAAGTAAATTGGCATCTATCATTGACTTTGGAAGCTGTCTGAGAAGGTCACAAATGACAATCACACGAGTTTTAGACGCTATAACCATTGTTAACTACATACTGGTTGCCAAGTGTCCAAATTTTGACCTTGTGACCCTGGGGATGCTGTTGTGGCAATCCTTAAGAGGACCATGTTTAAGTCATTTTTTTTCAGTGGTGTTACAACTTTCACCATCGGTAAATGAATTGTTGTTAGCTCAAGGACTACCTGGAAGAAACTGTTGTGTGTTTACTTGCCCAAACTGCATAAAATAACACTAATGTCCACTACTTCTCTACAGAGATTATGGAGGCAGAACTCATGCAATTATATTTGGATGGATTCATGAGTATAAACAAGCATTTTTTCAGGGATTATTCCTGGTTCACTAGCAGGGATCTGACTTAGTACCAGTAGGCAGGTCTTCCTTTCCTCCAGGAGGGAGGGAGGGAGGGAGGGAGGGAGGGAGGGAGGAAAGAAAGAAAGAAAGAAAGAAAGAAAGAAAGAAAGAAAGAAAGAAAGAAAGAAAGAAGGAAGGAAGGAAGGAAGGAAGGAAGGAAGGAAAAAAGACTACTCCAGGGTACAATATCTCTTTGGGAATTCCACTAGTATCCGCCAGACACCTTGTATCTTTTTTAATGGATATTGTAATGAAAAAAACCCCACTGGAATCAATGCAGCCTTTAGCAGTCTATATTTTTTTAAAAAATATCTGAACCCAATAGTATTACCCTATAATCCAGTGTGCTTTGAAAGAAGCCTCCCTATTCAGTTAAAAGACATACACATAAATTGCAAGGAGAAACTTTAGCAGTTTGCCTTCTCCTGACTTGGTTCTTTCATCATGACAATTTACAATATGTTCCCAAAATTTTGAATGTGCTCCAGCTCTCTGTTGTTCAGAGAGATCGCTTTTTGTTTGCAGAGATATAAAAAATTTCTTTAGGGCAAAAAATCCAAAGATTGGATGAATGCTCCAAGCAAACCAGTGCAGTCTGTATGGGTAGGTAGGTAGGTAGGTAGGTAGGTAGGTAGGTAGGTAGATAGATAGATAGATAGATAGATAGATAGATAGATAGACAGACAGACAGACAGATAGATAGATAGATAGATAGAAGATACATAGCTAGATAGCAGGAGATGGAGACCGACAGACAGATAGATAGCAGGAGGTGATAGATGATATATAGATAGACATTAGAATAAATCAGTGTATTAATTTATTGACAAAGCTAAATAAATAATCTCTGAAACTACTTTTCTCCCACAGAACCGTTACCTATTCAATTTAAGAAAAGCATGTCAGAGAATACAACAGTGCAATCACAAATATGTGTACCTGAGGGCTTGCAGTCTGTTATCAAAAACCGAACAACATTTTTAGAGAGATTTTACAAGCAGGAAGAGATGCAGGATGTCAGAAGGAAACCACTGGACACTGCCCTTCCCCCTCTGCAACAGGTTTGTTTAATATTTTTACTTTATTAAGGGTGTTGGGCAAAGAGGGCAAATAAATGAATTGCTGAAATGTCCAATAGAATAGAGTTAAGTTCAACTTTCAGTAACTTCAAAGACCTGCTATGAAACAGACAGTAAAATGTGCCCCAAGATATAAATATGTAATCTTATACTTACAGGGCAATAAAGACCCACTGACTCAAAGTGGCTTATGTGTTAAGTGGAAATATAATCAGACAAAGAAATGACGTATAAAAATATTCATTGCTCATTTAATTCTCCTAGAAATAGAACTGTTTTAGTCTGCTAAGCAAAAGAAACTAGCAAATAACTCAGTCACAGAGTCTATATGAATCAGGAACCACAAGACATGTGGTCTAATAAAAGAAGATGCTATGATAGCCCAGCCATTATTTTAGGAAAAAAACAACAACATAGGACCGAATTATGTAAGCTATTTTTCACTGGAGAAAATTTTTATTGTTTTCAAATCTGAAAATGTCCTCTCCTCTCAATTTTGCAGCAAGTTTTCATTTTAAAAGTTGTTTTTTAACTACAAAGCTATTTAACTACATTTTATTTGTTCTAAATGCTTTTTAAAAATGGATTTCCTGACTCCCTCTCCCAATGTTGTGCTTTAGTATTATTGGTTACAAAACAACATACTATTTTTTAAGAACAATGGATGTTGCTAATAAGAATTAGAGACATTTATCCAAGCAATTTAAGTACTGAATTGACAATGAATCTGCCCACTTTTTTTCCTCCTCAAATAAATTATTTAAAACAGGGGTGCCAAAAATGTGACATGGGACATCCCTTCAGATACTTAAAGTAGTCCTTGGTGCTCTCTGAGCTTCCTTGTTTTCTTGTGCACATTTCATTACCCTAACTAGCACTGATGATTTACTTACTGGTAGTTAGGGTAATAAAATGTCTGCAAGAAAACAGGGAAGATAGGAGTCTATGAGCTATGGTTAGCTCATGTTAGTATGTTTGTTGAATGCTATACCCTGTATTTTGCTTTGGGAAGTGGGGGGGGAGGGTTGGGGAGGGAGGGGGGATGGGAAAATATTTGTAAAATTCTTTAAAACTTTTTAATAAAAAAAATGTCTGCAAGAAAACAAACAAGCTCAGAGAACATCAAGGATCCTGCACCGAGGTGGCGCAGTAGTTAGGGTGCAGTACTGCAGCTACTTTAGCTGACTGCTAGTTCAGCAGATCAGCGGGTCAAATCTCACTGGCTCAAGGTTGACTCAGCCTTCCATTTTTCCGAGGTGGGTAAAATGAGGACCCAGATTGTTGGGGGCAATATGCTATTTAGTATACTGTCTTTGGTGTAAGCTGCCCAGAGTCCTCGGAGAGTGGGCAGCATAGAAATATGAAAAATAAATAAATAAATAAATAAATAAATAAATAAATTTCAACCCTGAGCTATAAATCTTCTTTCTTTCTTTCCTTCCTTCCTTCCTTCCTTCCTTCCTTACTTATTTGTCCAATTTATATGCCGCCCTTCTCCGTAGACTCAGGGCGGCTTACAGTGCATTATAGCAATAGCCTGCATACTTGTATGTATATACCTGCTTATTAGGGCTTGCGCCCCCCCCCAATTGTGTTGTTCTATACAAAGCTGGCTTATTGCCCCCACAATCCGGGTCCTCGATTTACCTACCTCGAAAGGATGGAAGGCTGAGTCAACCTTGAGCCTGGTGAGATTTGAACTCGCACTAATTGCAGGCAGCTGGCAGCTAAGTGCTAGCACTTAACAGCACTTAGTCTGCTGCACCACGGAGGCTCTTAAAAGTACTCATTTTACCTGTTAACCTAATTAACACACCCAGTTGGTTGGGATTGGGGGCTAGCTAAGCGTGGTTTTCTTCTCGGAAATGTCTCACAGCCAAACTAGGTAACATCACCAGTTTACCATATGTTTGGTAATGAAATACTTTCCAGGAAAAAAATACCACCCTCAGCAAACACCAAGATCTAACATTTCAAACCCTGAGCTATGCATGTTCTCCAGTGGTGGGTTGCTACCAGTTCGCGAACCGGTAGCAGTGGTGGCAGAAGGCTATGCCCACCTGCCCAGACATCATCAAATACGCTCTGCACATGCGCAAAAGTGGCGTGCGTGTGAGCGAACCGGTAGGAAAGGTAAATGAAACCCACCACCAGGGTGGATTTGATTTAAATCAAGTTGATTTAAATCACAATTTAAAACATGATTTAAATCACTAATAAAAAGGCTTGATTTAAATCAACTCGATTTAAATCATAATTTTTAAAGAGCAACTGTCATCTCTGCTACTCCTTTGACCCACTGTCGACTCACCGATAGTCCCAGTGTTGCAGAATATACAGCCTCGTGCTACATAACTGAGCTCCATTTCATGCTGAATAAACTAAATTATTTATGTATCTTAAATAGAAAACTATCTTACGATAGATTTTTACCCCAAAAGTTTATTAAATTAAATTCAATAAAAATAAAAAAAATCCTATTTAAATGAAAAAAATCTGTTTTTTTAATTTTTTTTAAAAAAATCATTGATTTTTATCCACCCTGCCCACCACTGATGTTCTCCATTTTTTTTTTTTAATTTGATTTATATGCCGCCCTTCTCCGGAGACTCAGGGCGGCTTACAATGTGTTAAGCAATAGCCTTCATTCTTTTGTATATTTTATACAAAGTCAGCTTATTGCCCCCACAAACTGGGTCCTCATTTCACCTACCTTAGAAAGGATGGAAGGCTGAGTCAACCTTGAGCCTTGGAGAGATTTGAACCAGCAGAAATTGCAGGCAGCTGTGTTAATAACAGGGTGCACATTACTGACACCCCACTAAAAACAGGAAAGGATGTGCATTAAGTTTGTTAAAAGAAGCATGATGTTGCTTATCGAATATGCTTTAAAACCTGAGGTTATTTTCGTTTAACATTATTTTCTGTATACTCCATTTAAGCTTAATCTTCTCCTGCTACATAAATTGAACTGCTAAGCGGTTAACTTAATAATGACAGGTATTCCAGATTTGACTTCCTATTCCAGATAAGAAGTCCTTATTGTATTAGACTTGTAGAGGCTACTTCTGGTTAATTGATAAGCAGACCTTCATTGGGCAAACAAGAGACTTTGATCACCATAAGCAGCCTCAATTCATTAGATCAGTGGCCCCCAACCTTTTGGGCACCAGGGACCGGTTCCATATAGAGGATTTTCCGTAGACCAGAGGGGACATGTTTTCGTGTGCTGCCTGCATTCTGTAGATGGGGGCTTTGCTTCTTTGAGTGGCCCAGTTTCTGGCATGCCATGGACCGGTGCCGGTCCATGGACTGTAGACTGGGGACTCCTGCGGTAGGGTAGGGTAAGGTAGGGTAGGGTAGGGTAGAGTAGACTTAGATACAGTTTACATTCTAAGTACCGTATCCTTAGCCTTTATTTGGTGATACAAAGAAACAAAACAACCTTATTCATTTTCCATACCAAGGGAAACCAACTACTTATTTTGAAATAATGCTGATCCCAGTAGAAAGAAAATTAGGCCTACCAAAATCTTGCACCACTGTCCCAACAGATCCTTTACACAATGGACTTTTCTTAGTCACAATTTTCAGGGCTACAGTAGACTTAATAAGCTAAACAAATGCAAATCAGGCTTGGAAATTATCTTCCATTTCAAGACATTCACAAAGGTCAGATAGGATTACTTTAAATCAGTATTTTAAAATGTTAATGTTACTATTTCTTTTTCTTGTGGAGGTATAATAAACCATGTTGCAAATATTTTTTTTTGAACGAACAAGTTGGGGAACAAATCTCTGTAAGTAACATTAAGTGAACAGAGGGAAAAAATGATTTTTCAAACAGACTAGATACATTTTGTAAAAACATGAGAAATCTTTTGAGAAGATGTTACTTTGTTATTTTTCAACAATGTGAGGAAAGTAAAACATCTGAAGCCATAGCACTAAGGCCATGATTAAAAAAGTATAAACTTTCCCTTTCTTTCTTGTAAAAAAATTATGTCCCGTTCCAAAGAAATCTTAACCATGCTGACTAACTGCTAAACTATTCTGATTGGGAAAATGTAGAATTACATTCAGAACCTCCCACAATCTGTGACCATCCTATTCTTGCCAAAATGCAGTATTTCTCAAAATGAAGTATCTTCTAGAAAAAGATTAACAAACCTAAAACTTGTTCCAAATGTTACAGAACAGTTTGGGTCAAGGACTTCCATGACGTTTTTTCATATATTGATTAACGCAGACTAATTGCCCGAACAAGATTAATAATAATATGGTCTTGCTTATACTTTATTGAGAATTCCAGTTTTAAAACTATTCAAGAGTAATTTGAATAACTATTCAGAGTAGTCCAGAATACCTAAGTGCATTAGAAGAGGAAAGATTCCTGTGAAAAAAATCTCATGATTGTTAATTCAGCTTATAAAAGTTAGAAAAAGGGAAAAAAGTATAGTTCTCAAGAAATTAGTCTCATGACATAGATTTTAAATATATTTAGGGCATAATTTACATAGGACACACATTTTATTTGTTTAGCATCATTCACATTGATGGGAGATTTTGAGGGTTAAAGCACCACATAGGTTAGAGCCATTTTAAATTACCTGAAAAGTACGCTTCAGATAGGGGTGGGCTGCTGGGGGTTCGGCAGGGTTTGGGTAATCCTCTAGTCAAGGATCACCGGGGTTCAAAGAACCCCCAAATGCCACCCCTGGCTGGCCACGCCCACCCCGCCCCTCCCAGGAGTCTCCACGCAGCCCATTCATCATTCCAGGTAAGTGCAGGGGCTGCACGGTCTGGGAAAGCAAAAAATGGGCCTACCGGAGCTTCCGGAAGTTCGGAAACAGGCGTGTTTCCGGCCTCCGGATCCCAGGGGAGGCTGTTTTTGCCCTCCTGGAGGCCTGAGAAAAGCCTCCAGAGCCTGGGGAGGGCAAAAAATGCTCCCCCGCCATGGTGCAGGCGGCTGACTAGGCCACACCCACCAGCAACGGGGCAGCGAACCCGTTACTAAAGGATCTGAAGCCCAGCCCTGCTTCAGATAGAAAATTCCATATACATACACCGGAAGGAATTATTTTATGTATCTATGCAAAATATTCCCTAAGCTTTATCTCCAAATGAATCATATGAAATACTCCCAAATTCTGCTAATAGGCACAATATATATATAGTTAAAATAGTTCTGTGTTTATCTGTATCTCTGTCTGTCTGTCTAGTTTAGTGTTATCCTTCTCTTATAACATGCTATAATTCATGTCAATACACTGTCAAAACTTAGAAATACTAAACATAGGCTTCATTTGTGCCTTGGCTTTTTTTGCCATATAATTTTATAAAGGTAGTTTTTGCTTAACAATGATAATTGGGACTGTCATTTCCATTGCTAAATGATGTGATCATAAAGTTCAATGTCATGTGACATATCCCTTAGTGATGGTAGTTCCAGCTGTCCCCGGTTGCCGTCATTAAGTGAATCATCATGGATTGTTAGTGAGGACCTCATTTGGTTGAGATTTCCAACTTCTTGCCAGCTGTTGCTGTTGCTATGTGACTTCAGGGAAGCTGCAAGGGCCAGGATTTCATAGACTGATTTATTTTTTTTTTTGGCATATATCTTTAATCTAGATTAACAACCAAGTTTTATTGATATATTACATCCTGGTGTATTTTCCCACCTGCATTGTTACAAGAGGCGAAAGTGTTCAGAATTTATATAGTTCTATGTTCAAACTGACTCATCAGGGTGTTTCAAGAGTGATGAGAAAGAAGCCAGAATCATTGTTAAAATTACCTTACTTTCCTCAACTATAGCTAAATATTACCTACTATGAATTTAGCTCTGTGTGTAGTAAGTCTTTATAGTTAGTTGAAAATGGAAAGTTAAAAACAGGAAACCAGTTGCTCTGCTGTCTGTGTCTGCATAGAGCTAAACGAACAATTTTAATGTTAACCCACCAATTTATGTAACATGTACTATGAGCAGGGATAGCTACTCTGTATATAACCTGACAAGTTGATACTTTAAACTGTTACTATCAAAGCAGGAGCAGAACTTTAAAAGTAAGTTAATAATATTGGGGATGAGAGGAAGAAAGTTTCCTGAGATGGAAAATCAGGTCTGTCACTAAAGTGATATGATTTCTTTAGAGTTGCAAATGTAGGGGTGTGATTGAAGAGTGAATGTTTTGTTACTGCAATGTAATATTATTATTTTTTTACCAAGAAGGTGACTGTTATGTCTTAAGTATCTCTGGGAGGGAGTTTTTAAAATATTTATTTAGCGTATGGCAAATATATAGACTTATAGTAGTTCAAAAGTTAATGTCCAGTCCATTCAGCCATTCAAGGACAGGATGGTCTATGTTGAAAAAAAATCAGACATTGGGCCGGTGTAAGCTCTTGATGGACATTGGACACAATGTGGTGGATATTTTGTCAAGGAGCACCACAGTCATTGAGGGGTAGAGACAAGATCTCACTTAAACAATAAGTAAATCCTAGAGACGTGTGCCACATAGTCCTTTGCATCATTATTCAAGAACCCAACTTAGCATGGCTACTTCCCAAGAAATAGCAATAGCACTTAGACTTATATATCTCTTCACCGTGCTTTGCAGCCCTCTCTAAGCAGTTTACAGAGTCAGCATATGGCCCCCAACAATCTGGGCCCTCATTTTACCCACCTCGGAAGGATGGAAGGCCGAGTCAACCTTCAACCTGGTGAGATTCAAACTGCCAAATTTGCAGGCGGCCTGCAGTCAGCAGAAGTTAGCCTGCAGTACTGCATTCTAACCACTGGATGGGCACCAACTTAGAGAAAGCACGTCCTTAGAGCACCTCCTGTTAAAAGGGTTGAGAATTGTGGTTTCTATTTGGCTCAGCAGCCCCAATCCTCTAAGTGAGGAGGAAGAGGTAACCAGAGAGCAAACTGATGCAAGATGAATCTAGAAACGTATCACTCCACGAAGAAACGCATACAGTCGAAGTTTTAGCAGGCAAGAGAAACAAGGATAAAGAGATGTAGACCAGCCTGATGATGCTCTCTACCTATGTTGGATTAAAATTATCAACATCCCCAGCCAGCAGTGTCAAGAAATTTGAAAAAGGCATTGGATTAGATAGAGAAAGCCAATATAAAATAAAGCACAGATACGAAGTAAATAAGATGTGTTTGCAAACAAGGAACTTTCTACTGAGAGGATGGGCAAGTGAGGGTGAGGTTGTATCTTGTTGGAAGTTTCTGGGTAGAGTAGGCAAAACAAACATATTGCAGCAGGAAAGGATTATGGGCAGAGTCTGGAAGGGGTGGCTCTGTTGCCAAACAAACCCATGCAGTGCCTTTACCCAAATTTTGTTTTTATACTTTGCTATAGCTAAGTGCAAGAGTAAACCAGTTTACCAAGACTGATTTGTGTCCAATACTCTACAGCGGGACTCTTAAGATTGCTATATAGACCTATAGCCAAGCAAATGGAAGAGGACTATGGTCTTACTGGGCCATCCCAATTCAGGCACCGAGATACAGAGTTTCAAGCAAGTTTGAGGCTCTCCAAGAAGTAAACTTTGTAAACTTTGAACGGGATGAGCTCTGGAAGTTTGAGGAAGGGTTAAGGATGTTTTGTAACAATCGGAGTTGCCCTTTAATCTTACCTACACGGCATGCTCATTTTTTTTTATTTTTTTTTTATTTTTTTTTGGGAATCAGCAGCCAAACAGGAAGACCTCAGGGTGCCAATTCTGCACAAATTTCCTTGGGAGCAAGGATCTTATGCATGCGCAGAGTGCAGATATGTATATGGAGGGGAGGGGGGGGATTTTACATGCATCCTAAGCACGTGCCTTAGTTGTTATCGGAGCAAGACCGCACCGAACCAACGCCGGCTTCACACTCGTAAATCCCACCGCATTCCTCCCACTTTTCCTCCCCCTTCGCAAGGCCGGAGGGGCTCAGGGCCTTCCCGTCCAAGACGGCCCTTCCCCCCGGGGGGGGTCCTCACCCCCCCACCCCACTCCCCGGATTCCTACCTGTGCTGCAACCCCACCAGCCCCAGCGTGATCACATGGGGCACATCCAGCTCGGTGGGCCACGAGCCGGCGGCGAGGCAGCCGAAGACGCCGCATTCTTCCCCGATGCCCAGCTCCTCGAATTCCATGCTTCGCGAGGCCAACACGTGTGTGCGGTGTGTGTGTGTGCGCGCGCGCGCGGATGCTACCCGCAGAGCTGCTCCCGGTTGCTTGTACGCTTGAGGAGCCGCCGCCGCCTGAGTTTGTGGGAAAGGAGGAGGAGGAGGAGGAGGCGGGCTTGGCGGTTGCAACGCCAGCGCCCCTGATTCCCACCCGCTTTATTTACATACATACACACTCACTCACTCACATGGGGAGGGGGGGGGCGGGCGGCCCGGTTGTTTTTTGGGCGAAGGAAGCGCCGCCTGCGGGGGAGTCGCGCTCCCCGAGTCGGGGGTGGTGGAGGCGGGGTAGAAAGGGACGCAACACGCGCCCTTCTGCCGACCGCTTTCTTTGCAACCTTTGGACGAAACTTCTAACTTGCAACTGAACTTTTCTCCTCCCTCATTCTTTTCATGTGCTCTCACCCGCGTATTAAAATTTGGTGTGTCGTTGTTGTTTTAAACTCTTTGCACTTTGGGGTCGGGTCTCGTGGGGGTGGATAACAGTTCTGGGCTGAGGGCGGCCCTCTTTTTGAGGGAAGCGAAAAGTGGGGAGGGGGCTGAGCCTTTGGCGCCAAACAGCCTCGGGCCTGGGACGCAGAGGGAGCGAAAAATCCTGGGAAACGGCGCGAAGTTGAGGGAGCAACTTTCGCTTCCCACGTTCCTGTGAACAGCGCTGCCCAGAGAGTGGGGCGTGTGTGGTGGTTTGGAGGGGCGGAGGTGGAAGCGCCTCGCAGATTGGAAGGCCGAGGTAGCCGAACCACCTTCCTCGCTCTTCCTTTCCCGCCGCACGCCCTCCCCCCTTCCCCTTCCCCAGGTCGTTGGGAGGAAGAATGCGCTTTGGGGCGCCACCCTAGCGCGGCAGCCGCGGCCATTGGTGGGCTCGGCGGTTTATAATCTCCACCCTCCGCTTCGCCGGCCCCTTCCGCCGCTGCCCCTTCTTCTTCTTCTTACGCGGCCCCGCCGCCAGTTCTTCGGCACCCCCGAGAGTATTCTGAGTCTCTCTCTCTCTCCCCCACCATCCTCCCTCCTTCTCCTCCTTCTTCTTCTCGGAAAGCGCGCGGGGTTTTCCTGGCAGGTGGCGTCGCGCTGCGCTTTCTCCTCTTCACCTGTGTTGGGCTTTTTCTACTTTTTCTTTTTTTTTTCTTTTAGGCGTCCAGGACCTCCGCTCCCTTCGCTGCCATGCCTCCGATACATTCAGGTGAGTGGCTTCGGCTCCGCGGGAAAGGAGAAGCACCGCTGGCCGCTGTGCGCGCCAGGTGGGGCGCCTCAGGGAGCCGCCGCCGCCGCTGCCGCTGCTTCTTCTCCTCCTCCTTCTCCTTCTCCGCCCTTGGAGAGTTTCGCCTTCGGAAGGCTGCCGGAGTTCGAAAGAAGCAACTCTTCTTTTTGTGTGTGTGTGTTTGTGTGGAAAAAGTGAGCTCTGGAGGTTCCCCGTCCTGAGAATGGCGGACAGAGATTGCGTTGCATGCAACCATCTGCCTTCTTTTATGTGGAGTCCTAGATAAAGAGGCGCGGGTCAACAACAACAACAACAACAATAATATAATTATAATATATATTATTATATATAATAATAATTTATTAATATTATTATTATTAATAATAATTAGGATAATAATAATAATAATAATAATAATAATAATAATAATAATAATTAGGATTCCCTTCCTGCCCGTGGTGCAGAGATCTACCTTTATCTCTGCCAGGAAGGGATAGAAGGGAATCCTTTTTTTAAAAAAAAAATTTTGACCTGCATCTCTTATCTAGGACTCCATGAATGGTTCCAATGGGATAACCCTCCAGGTGGCCTCAGCAACCCTTTAAAACAGAGGTCTTCAAACTTGGCAGGTTTTAAGACTTGTGGACTTCAACTCCCAGAATTCTCCAGCCAGCTATGTTGGCTGGAGACAAGTCTTAAAGCTGGCTGGAGAATTCTGGGAGTTGAAGTCCACAAGTCTTAAAGCTGGCTGGAGAATTCTGGGCGTGGAAGTCCACAAGTCTTAAAGCTGCCAAGTTTGAAGACCTCTGCTCTAAAAGGATGCAAATGACCAGCTGTCTGCAGGGTACAAGAACATGGGGAAGTTAAGGGCTTGTTATCTCCTTTGGAAGGAGATATAAATCCTTCCATTCCCCACCATTCAGTCAGGGCTGAAGAAGCTTCTTGGATGAGACTGGAATGACCAAGAAAGAAAGAAAGGCAGGCCAGTTGCCTCCTGAAAAAAGCACCTTTGGGACTTCCAATGTGATTGCATTGCAATGTGGGAGCTTCATTCAAGTGGGAACTTTATCACTTGAGACTTTCAAGAGAAGATTGGACTGCCATTTGTCAGAAATGGTGTAGGGGCTCCTGTTGGGGGTGAGGGTTGGACTAGATGACCTATAAGGTCCCTTCCAACTCTGTTATCTGTGTGCAATGCAGTCTCTGTCTGCCATTCTCAGGTTGGGATCGGTAGGCCTACGCTGCCTGGAGAGGCTGGCAGTTACGGTCTCCTAATTTGGGAGTTTAAGCCATTCTGAAAATTTGGCTGTTGAACACAAAAGACATTTGTATTTTGCTTCAGCTGTTTACTTTCCTGTGTTTGGTCTCAGCTAGAAGGGGATATGAATTAAGCCATCCAAATATTTGAGATGGGAAAGATGTGCTGAATTCCTGATTTGGGTTCTGGATTGAATGTATTAGGCAGATTGGAGGGAAATTGCCATGTGCAGGTAGTCCTCGATTTACAACCGTTCATTGAGTGACCGGAGTTACAACAGAACTGGAAAGTGACTTATGGCCATTTTTCACACTTATGACGGTTGCAGGATCCCCGCGGTCACGTGATTTACATTGGGATGCTTGACAACTGGTTCATATTTATGACGCAGTGTCCTGGTGTCACGTGATTATCTTTTGTGACCTTCTGATAAGCAAAGTCAATGGGGAAGCCAGATTCACTTAACAACTGGGTTACTAATTTAACAACTGCAGTGATTCGCTTAACAGATGTGGAAAGAAAAGTCATAAAGTGGGGCAAAACTCACTTTACAATTTTTTCCCTTAGCATAAATTCTGGGCTCAACTGTGGATGTAAGTCGAGGACTACCTGTATTTTATATTCACTCAAGAGGTGATTGGTGCTTCTGCCTCTACTGTTCATTAGCGTTGTTATACCGTATTCAGGACCCAATAGGCAAAGTTTTTGTTGGACTTTTCCTTTGAAATTCTGAAAATTTTACAGCTTGATAAAGTCTCCCATTAGCAGTATGGTATGCAGCTTTAGCAATCTGAAACTTCAAATTCGGATCACCTGCAATATATATGCGGGATCTATCAGAACAACCGAATTTGGTTCTCTTATGCATATTCTCCCAGTATCAGACTTCGTATGTATCACTTTAAGATTTGGATGGACAGCTTCTCAGAAGACTGGAGAAATCTTTGTGATGATTTCCAACATCTACATTAAAGCAATATCTTAGTCAATTCAAAGTTCACAATATTTTGCAAATCTTTGAGATGTCTAGGTAATATTGTTAAGTAAGCTGCTAAAAAAAGATAAATGGAGTTAGGGAGGAAAAGTTGGATTGACAACATATCAGAAATCTGTCCAGAGATTTAAAATGTAATGAAGAAGGAAATGATGTTCAAGTTAGATTTTTTTCCTTCATACTCATAACTAGTTTTTTACATAAAATCTAGTTATTGCTCATAACTATCACAATCTTTAGTGAAACACATAGATATCTCTAAACCTGTTTATATTTGTTTTCCTAAAATTATCACTGGAAGATTCCATTATATATATAATTGCTATTGTTGCTTTTTAAACTTTTATTTTTCCAGGAAACACTTAGTGGTTGCAGAAATGAGTGATCTATTAAGTATTCTAGATGTACTATCTGGATATAAATCCTCATATATAAAAAAAAATATTTTTTTTTAATGAACCCATTGTTACCTAGCTCTATATGACTAAGGATAATTCTGTAGAAATCCTAAAGGGGACAATGAATGTAAACTTGCAATCAACTTTCACCAAAGCATCAATAATAAGTTCGCATTACAGAGTGGTGTTTTATTTATGAACTACTCTTTTCATCACTTTATGGGCAGTAATAATTTTATGTCTTTATTTTGGAAGGAAGAGTTTTGTTAAGTGTGGCTACTCAAGAAACTAGTTAAATTCAAGTTATCATGCAAAATATTACCCACTTCATCTTGAAATGTTTATATTGTTGCCCTCTTGGGCCTGTCTATTACAAATTATTTGTGCATTTAGAGCTCTATCTTACTGCTGTCTTGCTAGCAAATAAGAGTCATTAAAGGAATAACATTTGAGTCGAGAAAAGGGCGAGGCAAAGATGCTTAAGTTCCCTACTACGCCATTCTCACTCCTTTACTCACAACTGGCAAATTTAGTGCTCCTTAGCATAGGGGGTTATTCTAAGACTCGAGGGCTTTTTGTGATCCCCAGAACTATAGATGATTATGGCTCCTGAAAATTAGTAGCAGTTGCCCAGGACTTTGGGGTGATACTAAAAACTATAGTGTAAACTCTAAACTAGATTTAACTCAGTTTAAGAACAAAACTGAGTTAAGCTTAAGCAAAGCTTAAGAACTCCCTTTTTTCAAGAACAGCTCTATATAAACCCTGAAATGCGAAGAGAGGCCCCACATCAATAAAAGCTTATGGCAGTTCAACATCTTAAGACATGTGAGGTTGAATGTCTTCTTGCCTTAAATCAATCAAGGGTGGCCCCCTAAAATACCCTTGCAAGAAGAGTACAACTTACAGTGATTTCAGCCATGTTTGCTTGGTTCAAAGGAAAAGGAGTTGAGATTTCATGTTGAAGGAAAGAGATAACTGGTATACAGAAGTCACAGTTCAATGGGTGAAGTGCCCTTGTGTAAATAGAAGAAATTTAGCAGATATTCTCATTTTGCCCCGAACCAGGGCAAAAAGTTAAAGATTAATATAGATTTATTTTTCTTCATAAGTGTATGTGGAGAATTAACACAGCTTGGAAAGTGAACAGACAGCACAAGAAAAGTATAGAAGGGTTGCTCTGCATGGCTATCTGGATTATTTAGTAAATTGCATTCAGCAATCCATTTGTTACCATAGGAACTAAAAAGACTTCAACTCTTGTTTCCTTCTCAGCAGGCTTCTTTTAGTGCGCAATGGTTCTCTTTTTCTCTCTCTTTTCCCCCCTCTTATCAGTTAAAAGCAACACCAAAACAAGCTTACAACACTCACAGCTCATGCTAAGACATACTGTGTCTTTTTTGGGGGGGGGGGGATGGCTAAGTTTGACACAAGAACACATTCTGAGAATAAAGACATGGCCAAACGAAACAAGGCATTTGGTGAACAAAATGAATGACTAGTGGTCTTTGATATTCAAACAAAGTGTTAAATTGCAGACAGAAGAATGCTCCCCAAATTTAAGATGCCCTAAATAAAGTAGAAATTTCTTAGTAAACATGCACAAGTTTGTTCTGTAAACTTTTTAAAATTCAGTGCCTTGTTTTCATTTATGTTCATGATGTAAAAATATCTCCCTTCCCCCAATTATTTCTCCAGAACTTAAACTGGGCAAAAAAGTAAATGAGGGAAAAACAAAAGAAGTTTACGAATTGCCAAATTACCCAGGATGTGTCCTGCTGCAATCAAAAGACCAAATAACTGCTGGAAATGCAGCTAGAAAGAACATCATGGAAGGGAAAGCTGCAATCTCAAATACAACAACATCTTGTGTGTTCCAGTTGCTTCAAGAATCTGGTAAGCGGTGGAAAAGTTAAACCCTCGTGCAGGAGAGTAACCCTGTATATAAAGCAATAATGTCCTCATTATATGGAAACTATTTTTGCTATAGGAAACTTGCATGGTAATTTTTCTTGGTTTTATTATAATTAAGAGATCTTGTGACTATATACTGAAGGAGCATGGGACTTTCAAGAACACAACAGTAATACTCTTTTCACATTAAAAAAAATACAAGTTAGTTTCTCCATAGATGAGTCATATTAAATATTTGTCCATTATATCATTAAGTAACATTGACAGCCATTGGAAGAAGATATTGGAGAGTTAAGCAGTGGAATTTAACATATACTTCCAAATGGATTGGTGAGGAAAACATGTTTTAAGTGCTTATTATTGGCTGTTTTAAACTTAAATTGGGTTTTCCAAATTTATAGCCCTAGTCAAATAATAACATTTTGACATAAAACAAATTGGAAGGATCAGGGTATTTAGTAAAAGTGGAGATAATAATTCCTGGCTTGCTACTGCGTAGAGAAGACAATAGAGCATAACATATTCTGTCAGTTCGATTATTCCATCACCGCATGAACACAATTTCTGTTCAAGGGGATTTTTTTCTATCTGTCTTCTGTAACGGCTGTTGGAAGGGCACTGAATCTGGCTAAAGAAGAGGCATTTTTGAATTTTGGGATTGTTACATGGCCGAGATATCTGGCTGGTTGTAGAAGATGTTAGAGGTTTTTTCTGGGTAAGGCCGAGAAGTTGACTTGCAGCTCTAAATCACTGGCCCCTTTTTGAGAGGACATTCGTAGTCCATCAAGCCCATAATTCTCGAAAACAAGACCTGGTTATGTTCCTATGTAGGAATTTTGAAAAAGTGGTTCAGTACCATCTAGTAATATTACATACGCATTTCCCTGACACTGCATCTATTTATTTATTCATTTATTTATATCCCACCTTTATTATTCTCACAGATAACTCAAGGTGGCAAACCTATCCAACATGCCTTCCTGCTCCTATTTTCCCCACAACAAAACTTTGTGAGGCAAATTGGACTGAGAGACAGAAAGACTGGTTTAAGGTCAACCAGCTGGTTTTCATGGCTAACCCAGGACTTGAACTCATGATCTTTTGCTATGATTTCTTACGATCTATGCTGTGATTTTTTCCCCCTCCTATTTACTTTGCACAAGCTTTAATAACTTGGTTTAAAACCCTTAAGGGTGAGTTGTTAGAATTTTTACCTCTTCAGCCATGAAAGTTAACATTTGCTTGAAATTATAATCCTTGCATTGTGTGTCGAAAATTGCATATCAAAGTCTTGCAGGCTACTGATTACCAAAAACAGATTTGCATCAGTTTATTACGTTGTACTTCCAAACCTTGCCTCACATTAGTATGTTATGAAGAAATGTTCCTTTGAGTAAGTTTAAGGATTAAAAATTAACATGATGGAATCCTTTCTTGTGTTCCAACTTTTTCCCCCATTGCAACATTTTATAATATTCTGTGGTAAACCTCTAGCTTACTAGTGCCTTTCTGCCTCATTAACAAATAAAAGTGCAATTAGCACAAAAAGTGAAAAAAATATCTGTGGCCACTGATTTTGGGTATCCATTCATGTCTATTCATTCATCTTTGTATGACTAATATAGTTTTGGTAATAGGATTGCATTTCCTTAAAAAAGTGAAGTTTCCTTTCAGGCATGCTTTCTGCTGATTTCATGAAGCTATTAAAATTGTTTCATTGCATCAGAATGGATGTTACTTGTTTTTAACTTTGTAGTCTAATCTGTACTCCTGTAGTTCTTTGAAGTTCTCTCACAGTCAAATGCCAACCAGACCTGACTCTGCTTAGTTTTGGAGCTTTGACAAGATCATAAAGATACTGCACGATTGGTAGTGAATGAGCAAATAATAGATTTCCCCACAGCATGAAATCAAATACTAACACATAAATAATAATAATTTTTTAAAAAATAGATTAAAAACCAGCAATTATCATATGGAGGAGGCAAATTGAAAAATATAATAGGCTAGATCATTTAAGACATAGAAAAAGTGAGATTTTTCCCAGCTGGACATCTAGAAATTGTCAACACTGTTCTTGGCAAGTTGATTAACATTAGTGTTTATAATAATTGATTAAAATCATGTGGCTGAGGACTGATTTAAACCTTTTTAAAATCCAAGACTAGCTGTGCTATTAGATTGGAAAAACACTTTTTCCTTTCTTAAGCCCACCTAAAGTTAGAAAAGTTCCTCTTTATAGTTTTAAGTTCAGGAAATCATGCCATTAGATCTTTATGGAAGTTTTTAAAATTAAATTATGCTCTACTATGTCTCTAAATCCAAGCTGATATATTTTTAAAAAGTTTTAGTCACTTTGCCACTCTTGGTTTATAAAATCTTCCCAGCCTGATCTAATAAAAGCAATTCCTATTATGTAAGTTTGAAATTAATTGATTGCTTAGATGTAGGTGAAATATCCTGCTTGGGATTTTCATAAAAAGCAGTAAGTTTTTCTGATCTGGAAGAAGATCCCAGATCTCTGTTTTCTGTTTTTGCCCCCAAATGGCTCACTTCTTGTTTTTGTTTTAGAATGTAGGTTGCATATTTTACTTATTAGCAATTGAGATACAGAAGTCTGTTTTGATTATAATTTTTTATTACAGGCATCAAAACTGCTTTTGTGAGAAAATGCAGCGAAACCGCATTTATGGCTGCTCACTGCGAAATGATTCCGATTGAATGGGTTTGTAGGAGAATCGCCACTGGTTCCTTTCTGAAGAGAAATCCTGGTGTTGAAGAGGGCTACAAATTTTATCCACCTAAAATTGAGATGTTTTATAAGGTAGGTTACATGAAACGGAGTTGACAGTTTTGCATAATTTAACAATTATCACCTCCTTGAAAGCTTGAACCTCAAGCTAATTATGTGCTTCAGTTAAACATCCTAATCCAAGCCTTCCAAAATCAATTCCTCTCCCCCCAAATACTGTCACTCAGTACTGATAGAATTTTGCAATATGTACATGATCCAGTGGTGGGATTCAAATAATTTTAACAACTGGTTCTCTGCCCTAATGATTGGCTGGGTGAGTGTGGCCATGGTGGGCATGGCCAGGGTGTGTGACAGGCAGCACTCGGCCTCCTTGCACCCCCCTAGAAGCAAAAACAGGCCATTGGGAGGGCGCTCCGCCCCCCTCCGTGCCCGGTTTTGGGCCTAGGAGGCCTCCCTGAAGCCTCCTGGGCACAAAAACAGGCTGCTGGGATGGTGCACTGTTCCCCGTCCCCCGTAAGTGGCTCCCAGGGCCTAGGACTTACCTGGGAGCCAAAATGGGGCGCGTGGGGACTCCTGGAAGGGGAGGGGTGGGGCCAGCCAGCAATTTTAACTACCGGTTCACCCGACCCGGCTGAATCCCACCACTGATGTGATCCTTAAAAGCAGTTTTGATTCTTAAGACACTATTATATATTTTAAAAAACTATTTTTAATTGTTAAAAAAATCCTTTGTATTCATGCCCAAGATGATAATCATAGATATCATGTCAATTAGAAAAGTCTGTGTTTGGGTACAAGTAGTCCTCAACTTACAAACTATTCATTGAGCAACTGTTTGAAGTTACAACACCACTGAAAAAAAGGACTTGTAACTTGTGCTTATGACTGTCACAGCATCCCCAAACCTGGGAGCTTGGCAATTGGCATGGAGTTACTATGGTTGCAATGTCCTAGAGTCATGTGAAGTCCATTTGCAAACTTCCTAGTCAGATTCTGACCAGCAAAGTCAAGGAGGAAAAAAACTGTGGCAAAAAAACGGTAATATTGGGTGTAATTCACTTAACCGCCTTGTTTAGCAACAAAAATTCTGGTCCTAGTTGTGATCGTAAGTTGAGAACTGCCTGTAATAACTTCAAAAATGTTTTGTTTGTATTGAATGAAAACTCAAGATAGGCAACTTATTTTTCAGTCTGAGAGCATTTTCTCTTTAGACCTCTGGCAGGAATGACCTCTTTCTAGTCTGGCCATCTGCACTATCTGTCAGAGGAGGCCACAAGAGAGCAAGTAGCATCACACATCATATCATTCTGCAAACAATTCTCAGATTACATCATTTGAAACAGCGGCCTCTTGTACCCAAACCTTTTGGGCCCAGGGACCGGTTCTGTGGAGAAATATTTTTCCGTGGGCCAGAGGGGGCGTGGTTTGCATACTGCCTGCATCACGTGGACGGGGCTTTGCTTATTTCCACGGCCTGGTTCTGGCAATGCTGCAACCCGGTGACAGTCCACGGACAGGAGGTTGGGTTCCCCTGATTTTAAAGAAGTTATGCATAGCATTATAGTGGTGTCTACTGGTTATATAAAGCAGGAAAGAAGAGCTATCAGAAAGGCCCATCCACCCAAAACGATTACTTATAGAACTACCCTCAACTAAATGTGCAGTAAAAACTGTTGCTTTCCTCTGTGTGGAATGGAGAAGTTGAACTTTATCGCTAATGAAGATATCAATTATTCCAACAAAATCTCACTTTTCATCACAGGATGATGCAGCAAATGATCCACAATGGTCTGAAGAGCAAATTATTGAAGTTAAGTTTAAGCTTGCTGGCCTTGAAATTGGACAAACAGAAGTAGACATCATGGCTCAGTCCACCCGAGCTATTTTTGAAATACTTGAAAAAGCATGGCAGCCCCAGAATTGTACGCTGGTGGATTTGAAAGTACGTACATTTGTATTTTAGATCTTGGCTTTTAAGATATGGATGAAGTTATTAAATTCAACTAAACTTTCCTTTCCTTTCTTGTGTCATGTTTCCATTTTTAGGTTGAGTTTGGTGTTAATGTAGCCACGAAAGAAATTGTCCTTGCTGATGTCATTGATAATGATTCTTGGAGGCTGTGGCCATCTGGAGATAGAAAACAACAAAAGGACAAACAGGTAATTCTGTTTTCAGTGCACATTCTGAAAATAAGCCAATATTGCAATTTTACAAGGTATATGTATCTGTGCTGTGTGAAACCTGCTTCTGTTCTCCTTAGATTCTGGGTTTGTTTCTTCATGTGAAACAAGATGGGAAAGAAAATGGGGGAAAGCCAAATTCTACAGTTAAAATTGGAAAACTGTTAAGTTATCTTTCCTTCTGCTAATTTGTTTGTTTTGTGATAGACATTTCAAGTATCCAAAAATAAAATCCCTAATTACATTTCAATTAAAATAGTGAAAGATATATATATAAAACATTATGCATGTTTACTTAGACTTTTCTATTTAATTATAGTTCTGGCAATGATAATGCACATTTGTAGATAATAGCTATTAATACCTATATATTCTAACTATAAGAGGAAATGGGTGAATGCAAAATTCATATTCCAAAAATATTGTTTACTTCATAATGAGCTATGAAAAGCCCCCTTCAGATATGCTGTTGAGTCTGGGGCTACTATGTGATATAAACACATATTGATATTATATGTTAAACATTACTTACAGCATAGTGAAGCATGATTTAATTAACCATATAAGCATAAATTACTCTACCTGACTTGATATAGGAGATAAGCATATGGCCTTGCCTCTGAGTGATAGGTAAAACTTTGGAAGTTTCAAGAAACGAATTGGAAAGACATCAACTTCTTATAAATCACTTTATTGGTCCTTACATTGGACTTCTGGATTAAAGCCAGATTATAAATATATGTATGGACTTGTCAGTTAATTATAGTATTGGTAGTTTACATAGGTATGAGGTAGGTCAGGGATGTCAAATTGGTGGCCCGTGGGCCAAATGTGTCACGCGCAGGCCACACCCACCACAGCTCCGTGAAGGGAGAAACATCATGTGACGGCAACGTGACGCGGCGAGTTTGACACCGGTGAGGTAAGTGAATCTTTTGCATTTTATATGTAATCTTTTGTTCTTTTGTGTGTGCTTTTAGTCTTACCGTGACCTCAAAGAAGTGACACCTGAAGCACTGCAAGTGGTGAAAAGAAACTTTGAATGGGTGGCTGAAAGAGTGGAGGTACTGAAATCATCTATGAGATACGGGTATGGCTAATCCATATCATTGTTTTCCGTACTTCTAAATTGTCTTTTGATCTTCTTTTCTATTAGCTGTTATTGAAACCACAAACGACACAAGGCAGAGTAGTTGTCCTCATGGGTTCCACTTCTGATCTTAGTCACTGTGAAAAAATTAAAAAGGCATGTGGCAATTACGGTGTGCCTTGTGAATTACGAGTGACCTCTGCTCACAAAGGACCAGATGAAACACTGAGGATCAAAGCTGAATATGAAGGTACTTAACTCAAATTTGTCTAAATTGTCTATTTTAGTGAACTATTGTTTAAATTCAATCTCAAAATAATTCCCGTTTTAAAAAATGAAAATGAATATAGAATCTGGTTTAGGTGAGCTTGTTTCCATCACATTGATAGGTTTTTGTTTGTGTTTTCAGGGGATGGGGTTCCCACAGTGTTCGTTGCAGTGGCTGGGAGAAGCAATGGCTTGGGACCCGTGTTATCCGGAAACACTGCTTATCCAGTTGTCAATTGTCCTCCTCTCTCAGCTGATTGGGGTGCCCAGGATATATGGTCATCCCTGAGAATGCCTACTGGTAAGATTGATCATTTAACACTTTGAACCAATTATTTTTTGGGAGATAGTACATACTTGAAAATAAAGACATAATCTTACTACCGTGTTTCCCCCAAAATAAGACCCTGACATATATTTTTTTGAACCCTGAAATAAGCGCTTGGCCTTATTGGCATGCGGTCAAAAGCCCGATTGGGCTTATTATCAGGGGATGTCTTATTTGGGGAGAAACGGGGTAGTTTAGCTGTAGTTCTGTTCAAAATAATGATAAAGTTAGAATAAATGAATGCCTTGATTCTAAATTTACTATTTCTATATACATATAGAAATACACACACAGAGGTGTTTATGATCAAAGGCAGTATTTCATAAGATTTGCAGTAGTGAGACATACATACACCCCTTGTGAATAAAATGATTTCATTGCAGTTAAGATTCTGTAAGACATGAATTTACTGTATCTATTTAACCTCCTTCATACTTTCCTGGGTTATTCTTACCTTTGTCAGCATTATGGCTAGACTGATTATTTTTAGCTTTTCTCTCATCACCCAACAAAGATGTTTGCATTAAAGATAAAAGAGAAATGGTGATAACTCACCAACACCTACAGGTAGGATTCAACTTACAACTACGATTGAAACCAGACCTTCCATCGCTGAGTGATGTGGTCATTCAGTGAGCCATGCCTGACTATCTTTTTTGCCCTGGTTGTTAAGCAAATCAGTAAGCAATTCCAGCTTCCCTCATTACACCTTGGATTGTTGGGAGCCTTCCTGTGATCACATGATCCTGGGATGCTGCAAACATAAATTCATGCCAGTTGGCAAGTCCTGAATGTTGATCATTTGACTACAGGCGCGCTGCAATGGGTTGTGATTGTGAGGACAGTCATAAGTTCAGTTTTTGTCATTTTGAATGGTCATTAAATAAATGGTTGTAAGTTGGGGACTACCTGTGTACTCTCAGACTGTCTGAAATGTTGAATCTCCCAGTTACCACAATGGCAAGCAGGGGACTCCACAGGCTTAGTTATTTCTCGGCACTTGGTCCACTGAGGGGGATGCACAGATAAAGAAGTGTTTTGAGCACACTTGCTTGTGCAAGTTTCATGCAGCATGGGGCGGGTGGGGGGGTGTTGCTGCCAAACTTTATCTGGGGTTTGTTCACACTTAGCTCGCACAACCCTGGTGCAGACTTGTCCAAAGAAGGAACATGCTCTGTTAAACCCTGTAAACATTAACTTTCAAAAAAGTTGTGCTTCTTCTGTAACTTGAACAAGTATCAGTTCTGAAGAGAATTTTGGTATCTTGTCTTCCACATTCATCTGAAATGTTCTGTATGAATTGCTAAATATTCTGTATTACATATCGGTTTTTCTTGGCTCACTAAAGATTATCTAGTGGTAATACTATTACAACCACACATTTTAAAAATTAATATTGTCTTGCTTTTTAACAGGTCTTGGATGTTCCACAATTCTTTCACCTGAAGCTGCTGCCCAATTTGCTGCTCAAATTTTTGGGTTGAATGACCACTGTGTATGGGCCAAACTGCGATCCAACATTCTGAATACATGGATCTCCCTAAAACAGGCTGACAAAAAGATGAGAGAATATACTTTATAGATGAATTCTTAAACCACCGTTTCATTTCACCTTCCAGAATTGGATGGCATATCATTCCTAGTATAAGTATTAATGGGAAACTGTTCCTAATCTATTTTATGATAAAGAGTGTACAGGTGCCCTCTTGTGTTCTAAGATATTGTAGACAACTAATCTTGTATTTTCTAGCACAGTGTAACTTGAAAGCAGAGTTATGTGCATTGAGGTAGAATATATCTTACTGATCCCATCATGACTGGTTATTAAAGAGAAATATTACCTGTGTTGACTTGTAACCCTGTACAGAATATGCCCATATGGTGATTCTCCTGAAATTTATATTAAAGCTATCAGTGCCATTAATAAATGGACCAGTTTGCTTTTGTTCTAGAATGTGGCCCACCATGAAATCAAATATAGGACAAGTTATTCAAGATGTTAAAATATTTTTGTGTGTGGAATGTTCTTATAATTAAGAACGTTCTATAATTAACTTTAAATACTTTTTAAATGCTTTTTCTATAATTAACTTTAAATACTTTTTAAATGCTTTTTCTATAATTAACTTTAAATACAAAGCTGATAATATATAAAGCTAATTAACAGTTGCCCTTCAGGTAGCTTTGAGCAGGCCACCTTACCATTGCAGACCGTACAGCTTACCTGGCACACCAGTCAGCTGTTTGATGGCTAGTGGTGATGACAATGAACTTGGCAACTGTGAAGATTCGAGTTCGAAAAATGCCAGCATGCCACATAAGGCTACTTGGTGAACTGTACACAGCCTGGGGTCAATATCTTGTGCAGAACTGTTTTACCATGACCAGCATGTTGACAATGTATTTATCAATTACAAACTGAATACCATGTTATCACTTAAAAACAAATTGAGTTGAAAGTAAGACACACTAAAGGCAGCATTGAATTTTAAGGTTAATTTCAAGACCAGTATACTGAAACATGTACCTATTTGGTTTCTAACACAGCCACCTACCCTCATGCAGAGGCAATATCTATAGGGCTTCTGTCATCCCTGTTATTTTACTTTAGCTTTTCTAAGATTCACTTGTATCGCTATGTAAGATCGGAGTGTTGAAATGAACATTGAAGGCATTCCAGTCTAGTTGTCTGCATGGTGCAGGTATTACACTATTCCAGGCAAATGGCTGCCTTGCTTGAAAAAGCCTGACTAGGTGGCTCAGTGGCTAAGACACTGAGCTTGCCGATCAGAAAGGTTGGCAGTTAGACTCCCTAGTACAGGTCTCCTGCATGAGCAGGGGGTTGGACTAGATGACCTCCAAGGTCCCTTCCAACTCTGTTACTGTTTAAAACATCTAATGATGAAGCACCCATGACTTTCCAAGAGGCATGACTTCATTTTGCATAATAGCACACAGGAAAACTACTGAATGCTTGGCTTATAGCACTAATCATTTTTAGGTAGTTATATGCAGATTACCGTTTGGCCAAACTGAAGTTAGGCATATGACTTTTAAATTTCATTAAGCTTTACCTTATAATGGGAAGATGTATCTTCAAGAGAATACAAAACTTAGTGCAGTATTAGATATTTTATAACCACATATTTTATTCTTAGTAGAATTATATGCTGTTCCACCCATCAACTACACATTAAAAATGAACATCTGTCAATTATTCATAAAAAAGCATTCCTCGCAAAGTTTCGATACAGCAGTTGAGCCGCTGGGCTAAGACAGGGAAGATACGGCAATGTCGAGCCAGCCAGGCAACCTTACAATGCTGCTGTTCCATGTGTAAAAATGAAACTCCTGGTCAAAAAGTGGGAGATGTAGATATTGAGATGTATGTATCTATATAACTTGCCCCTTTTTCATTAGATTTCATCCAGTAATTTATTCTAAAACCATTCATTTTGATGGCATTTATGGTGCTATTAGTGCGTTTAATGTTTTAATAATTCCTAATCTGAAAGAGTTTCCAAAATACATAATTTAGCGTTAGTCAGAAAGTTATTTGAACAGAGACAAACTAAACTGTTTTGTCACTGACATTAAATAATTCAATGCCATGCTGACATAATTGAAAATCCCCAAAATATTTAGAATTCTGATCACAGTTAAAAATATAAATTTTAAGTTTATTGAAAATTAAATATTAGCAAAAGCAAGATTTTTAACAATAACTTTATAAAATGAATCACAATCGAGACAGACATTTGAGAAACTACAAAATGAACCTATTGGCAAGCAGACTGCCATCTTGTGTGTTGCAGTACAATTTGATATGAATAAGGCATGGGAATCTGCATTTTCAAACTTCTGTGTTCCAGAAATTATTTTAAAAAGCATACTTCAGTAGTTCCCAAACATGAACATCTTACATTTAAGAGTACAGTGACACAGCAACAATTTTTTAAAAATTTGTGATTATTTTTCCAAATGCAGACGTACGTAGATTTGATATGTGTGTAAATTTAAAAATAATCTTTGTTACTGCGAACCTAAGGTTTTAAGAGAAGACATATTCCAGAAAGTATTGGATACACTAGATTTTTCCATCCAATGTTGGAGAAAAAGATCCAAACTGAGGAAGAAATCTTGACTCTGAAAATGTCCTCCTGGTACCACCAACCTTAGTTCTTTCTAGCATTAGAAAATATTAAAACGGGGGTTAAGACAGCTCCCTTGACTGTCTCTGATATGCTCCAACTATGGAGGCTTCATCAGACATGAAACAGATGTAGATAAATTATTTCTTACAGAAGTGAGGTCAAGAGAGGTGACCTAGTTCTTCCTCTCAATGGGAGTCCATGAAGCCTGTTAAAAGTTTCATCATCAGGGCCCAACAGTGTTGCTATGTCAGCTTTTTTTGTTATATACTGAATAGATCATTTAATCTTTTAATTAATTCTAAATAACATACACTAGTAGTCATCTATGTCTAATTTTAGTCACACCATATATATAACCCAGTCACAGTGGCAACAGCTTCTTGGAAGTATTTTTCAACTGTTCTTTAACATGGCTCCAAATTCATGTAATAATTTCACAAGAAAATTGTGCCAAATTTACAATTAAATACTTAAAACAGTTTGTAGAACTCTGCTCTACAAATAGACAATACATTTAAATAATTGTGCAAATAGCAACAAGATGCTGCTGTAGCTGAGGCAACTTCTGATTTGCAAGATTTTGAGTTCATCTTTAATACTGTAAACTTGAACTGACAAATTTTGAATCTTGCACTTTCCACCATAGTAGTCAGTGGAAAATTTTGACAATAATATACATTCCATTTGTATATAGTGCAAATAAATATTTTGCTGCTAGATTGTGTACATGCAATATTAATGGCATCCTTCTAATTGAACTATTGATATAGGAAAAAATTTCCTAATAGTTCTCAAATCAGGACTAAAAGTGCAAATTCTGCAAGAAAAAAAATCAGCTGACGTTACAGCCATACTGTTATATTAAGGTCCAGGTAATTATTTGGACTGGTCTCTGGAAAAATAGGTCAATATAGCTTGAATTTTTATCAAACGTTCTCTCAAAGACCTCATAGAAAGCACTGAAAGCTGATATTTAGGATCCACAGGAAGAACAGCTAGAAGCCACCAACACCATGCAGGTCCATCAGCTGTTTCCTAAAAAAGAAACCAAATTAAAAGGAAAAAAACAATATTAAAACTTAGAACATTTAGGACAAAAATAATATAATGATGTGGTTATGTAATGAGTTTAAAATGAAAATATTTCCTAAATTTAAAAATACAATCCTCTCGACTATCATTTTTCATAAAATGCAGAAGTAAACTACTTAGCACACTTAAAAAAACAAGTCTGTTTAAAATGCTAGGTTAAATGTAGTCAGCAAAATTCCAGATCTAACTTTTTAAAAAATTAATTAGAATTAATCCAGACTGGATTTTTCCCGTGCTTTTTCAGTTATGCGGCCGCTCTTTGCACTTCCTCTTTTTGTCTCACCTTCCCTAAATCTGTTAATTTAGTTATTGTATTACTCTCTTTACTAGAAAAACAAGTGAAGGTCACACTGACAATTGTCTAATACTATAGTCGCTAAGTACCTGCAAGTTTTCTTCCTTCTCTGGCATTGGACCAAAGTACTGAAGTATTTGGCTATGAAATTTATTTCTTAAGCTTTGAAACCAGCTACAAGCCTGGTTGTAAACAATATTATGGAGTTCTTGGAGTTTTCTCATCTCACCTTCATCTTTAACCTGCACATCAAGAAAGTATAGTGTAATCACTACATTAAAATTTAGCCATGAAACTACAAATTACACAGCTAACATGGTATATAAAAAATAAAGAGAGTTCAATCTTTACAAATGGAAAGGGAGAGGGGAAATGAATTACAAGGCAGCTCAGTTCAAAATATCAGCAAGTAGGATCACAAAGCAAGTTGGTATGGTCAATCATTCAAAGCTTTGAGAACTGAGAATGAGCTACTGGCTTAAGCAGTATTTTCCAACTATTCCTTTCTCCACTGGTTTCTGGATGCCTTTCCTGAATTCACTTAGCAACCTAGTCATTACTGGGCCATGGCTAATTCCTTATCCAGGTGTCAGTTTGATAAGACTTTAAATTCAGTGGAGCAGCTGAGATTCAATGTTTCCTCTGAACTAGGATTACATTAAGAAAACATGTGAAAACTCGCAATGTACAAGGAAATAAATGGGAAGCCATAAAAATGCCATAAAAAGGGATGTCTCCTCAACAAAGGAACTCTGCAGTGAATAATATGTACAACAGGTTTCCAAATACCTTTAGGACAAACATACTTTAGAAATTTTGAAAGCATGGCAGCTTCACTTATAAATTGATTCATGAGGATATAGCATGTGATAAAATGCATTTTACCACAAAAAAAATTCCAAAATTGTTTGCTAATATCTCCATATAATTCTTAAAGCACCATCTACCATTTCTGCATACATCTGACTTTTTTTACACGCAGGTAAATAAGTTTCATGGCAAAACATCAGCCAGTAAAACTGGCCATTATTTTTATTTTCTAACAGTAGTGATGTGTCTGTGATGACTGGAAACAAAGAACCATCAAAATACCTCTCTCAGTTGGATTCCTGAGGTAAGTTGTACAGAATGGAGAGGAATCTAACTCTTCCATTAAAAGTAGGAACTGAAAGATTTGGGTGGAAGAATGTATCAAAATGACTCTCTTTTTATATCCATATATATCAGTCAGAATGTCTATTTTATGTAATAGTAACAGCTAATATCAACCTGGACCAGTTATTATTACTACAAAGAGCTAGTTCAGCTAGAAGGTTGTTCTTCATATTGAACGAGTTACTTGACTCCCTAGTAACAAATGAGGAATATTGTCCAAAAATTAAGTTGAACCTTGAACAAATTTGTTTTTGAAGCATATTCAAAAAACAAAGCCTGATTATCCCCCTACACAATAATCCGGCAAAGAGATTTCTAAAGTGAAAAAGTGGTATTCAAGTTGAAACTTTGTCTCATCAACACAAAGTTTTATCCTTTAAATACAGAGAAATGCTAACCGCAAACTCCCCCCCCCCCAAATTAAATATTTTATTGAATTTTGAAGCACTATATCATTGGAAAAGGTTAAATCCTAATCATTCATTTAGTTATGATGGTGCTGAACAAATGATCCTTTTGACTTGTTCTCAAAATCCTGGCTCTCCCAGCATCCTTGAAACCATGATCACAGCACTTGGGACCCAACTCACAATGTTGCAGTGAACTAGTTTCACATTATTGTGATATCCAATGTTCTCTGTTGGCTTCCCACAAGCAGTCTATGAAGAAGCAGTCACAATCATGTGACGTCCTTGCTTAAAACCCCAAGTGATCCTTGTTCAATGATGGCAACCAGGATTGTTGGAATTGTGGTAAAAAGTGTGGTTATGTGATATTACTATTTATGACATTTCTTAGTGATAGAAATTCCAGTTCCAATTGCCATCATACCTCAAGGACTGTTTGTATAGCCTACATTAAGTTGTGTTACTAAAATTAACAATACAGATAGTCCTTGACGACCAAAGATACAATAGCACTGGAAAAAGTGGCTTATGACCATTTCTCACTTACAACTGTTGCAGCGCATGATCACATGATCAAAATTAAGATGCTTGGCAACTGGTGTATATTTATGACAGTTGCAGGGTCCCGGAGTCATGTGATCACCTTTTGTGACCTGACAAGCAAAGTCAATGGGGAAGTCAGATTCACTTAACAACCATTACTAACGTAACGACTGCAGTGATTCTCTTAACAACTGTAGCAAGACAGGCCGTTAAATGGGACAAAACTCACTTAACAACTTAGCTTAGCAACAGAGATGTTGGGCTCAATTGTAGTCATGAGTTGAGGATTACCTGTACAGTTTCAAAATGGGAAAAGATCTGGTTGTTGTAGCCAAGAAGGATCTTATAATTCCCTATAGAATCTATTTCCATGATTTCTTAAGGGACATCCAAATAATCTACTTGGTCCCAACAAAAATGAAGCAGCATTTTGAGAAATCAGAGCATCTCAGGCTGCTGCTTTAGTCTGCAGCATGCTAATTCTCTTTATTATTTTTTTTAATGAAAAGAACTTTGGATTGTAAGGCCTTTTGCACAAATTATTCATGGTTGAGTCACCTCCTGCTTGGACTATTGCAATGTGCATTAGATCAGGGGTCCCCAACCCCTGGGCCATGGACCAGTACTGATAGGAACCAGGCCACACAGCTGGAGTTGAGCTGTGGTGGGTGAGCAAGCAAGCAAAACTGAAATCTTCCCCTCCCCTTGCCAAGAAGTTTGGGGACTGCTCTTAAAGGTCATTCATAAGCTACTTGGCCAAAATGTAGCTAATGAGTTAGTTGGGAAGTTCCCATGTTTGTTCATGGCACATCTCAGCTTTGTGAGCTGTCCTGGCTAGTGGTGGGTTTTCTGGTGTGATTGGTCCCTTTTGCCTGTTTACCTACATGTCTACCTTTCTGCTCTCATTGCCTCTACTATAAGACTTAGAGGTTGGTGCCCTTCAGCTCTATTTGATCTCCATCACCAACCATGTCAATGAGTAACTCTGGGTGATGTACACCCTAAAGCATAAATACTAAAACAACTGACACTAGGTGTACAAGCACTGTCAACCAGTGACATCTAGGAGACATGTTTTCTCTGCAGCTGCACCTACCCTATGGAAGAGTGTTCCCCCCGGGCTCCATATGGCTCCACCCTGCTGTAAAAACATGGCTCTTTTAGCAGGCTGATAACCCTGCTAAATATATGCTCCGGGACAATGCTGTTCACTTTCATGGTTTTGACTAAGCTGGTTTATTCTTTCCTCAATTTTCTTTAGCTGAAATGTAGCTTTTAATTCAAAAATATATGTAGGCAACAAAATAAAGTATGGCCTTTAGATTCCAAAAATATTCAATAAATCTCACCATCAAAAATTATTATATCCTTAAAAAGGATACTATCTTGTTACTGGTTAATGAATTAATCAAGAAGCACATAATTACTATATTACATATTTGTTACTATTTTGATAACTGTATTTGAGCATAATTGGTTTCCTTTGCAATATGTTCTATATTTATGCATTTTATATTTATTTAAATACATGTTTCTGAGATGTCTGTATCTTTCACAAATCCTCATAGGGATCCATGGCCCAAAACATTTAAGAACCTCTGCCCTCTATAAACAAAAAATTAAATCAATAACTTACTAATGTAGGATCTAAATGGAATTCTATATACTATCATTCACTGAAAGAATCCCTCCCTTCCTCCTGTAAAATTAAGGGAACGCTGCACATTGAACTAGGGCTGCAATAGTCAAGGTGTCTTCTTGTAGAGGCAAAAATAGATGTTTTATGTACCTTTATATCTTCTAAATCCTCAATGTCTGCAATGCAATAACCATCCTTCATCCCTCTTCGAATAACTCGGAATCTCTTTAATCCAATTGTGTCGACAACCGATCGCCCATCTGGCAGATAGTCAAGATTTCTAATGTACAACATGCAGCCAAAATCTGCAAATCTACAAGAAAGGGATACTGTTGTCAACAGCCAGCTTAAAAATAGTTTTATACATTTTGGTTTTGTGATTGTGAATATAAACCTACCCATTTTGGGGGTCATGTACACACATCCCAAATTGTTTTGTTCCAGTTTCTACACTTCTTCGAATCATCAGTCTATATCTTGGCTCAAACACATGGAGGGGGCAAGGCACAGTTGGGTAGGCCAAAGTACAAACAAAGATAGGAACGTTCCTAGTCAAGCTTAAAACAGAACACAGAAAAAATGTTAAAATTAGAATTCTACCGTGCAGGAAGATTTAACTCAAAATATCTCATTCCTCGTTAATATCCTTTCCTCCAACATTATCTTATATCCTTGTGCATTCTCTTCAAAGTGAATGGACCACTAGTCCAAAGCACACTGTGCCAAATTGTGGCTTCGAATGGACTATCATTCAACTTGTAAAATTATAGATAGCACTATTTTTCCTTATATTAAATACGTAGTGATTATTTTCTCCATAGTCTGCTGCCTATTAATTCTTATATAATCATAAACCCTTTCAGTAACTTAACAAAAGCCTTACAATTAACATATTATTAACAAAGAATGTTAAAAATCTTATTCCACTTAACGGCATAAATGGATGTTTTCATTACTAAAATTTTTCAGTTTGGTTTTGTAGTAAAAATTTACATATTATTCTGTATGATTACTAACCATGACTATTCTTTGTTCTAAATGTCTGTTAACAAGCTTCATTGCACATAGCATGTGCATACACACACACACACATACCTTGAGAGTTCAGCTATTTCTTCGTCATTAATTCTTTTTCTCTCAGATAATTCAGTAGGCAAGTACTTCAATATTAGTTCTTCTAGTAACTGTGTAGTGCTGTATTCCCCACGTGCCAAAAACTAAATGAAAGATAAATTGTTAAGCCAGTATAATTTCTTAAATAAAAACTGCAGGTTTTTTTTCATTTCATTTCTTATTTTTCCTCTCTTTCCTATTACCTATTCCTTTTAGCATCTTATGATTATCACTTTGTTGTGATATCTTATGATTTATGTTGATTGCTTTTATTTAGTATCCTATGACTATCACGGAGTATCCTTGTGTCCAATCACACTTGGCCAATAAAGAATTCTAATTCAGTTTCAAAGAATTAAGCAGAAAACAGCTGACCATACTGACCATCTCTTGCTCTTTTTATACGTTCATGCTAAATAAGAGAGTGAATGGATTTTTCACTGTGGGTGTGGGTATCTCCTAAGCATAAGTGTTCTTTCAACCAACATGGTTTGCCAACAAGAAACTCATGGTCCAACACTTCCTTGCCCTGTTTTTAGAAATCCACAAAAGTATCTGCTAGTGTCTGCTCTTTCACTTGCCAAAATTCTGGTGCCCAAGGCTTGCATATATATGCAACTCTTGGATGTAAGGGAAGAACAGAAGCAGTGATGGTCCATAACAAGTGTGAAATGCTGTGTCAGAAACAGAATGGTACTGGCAGTCTACATTCTGCCACCTCATCTCCATCTATCACCCCTTCTGACACAAATTAGATTCCTTTATGGATATGCATCCAAGTCCTGCAGCTGACCACTAATTCCTCTAATTCTTAGACATCTGGTTGGGCTCCTTGCACTTGTATGTTCCAAGGCACGTGCTTCCACTATACATATGTGACTGCATAGTAATATATAGTGCTCAAGCAAGGCCTGGATTAAGCAACAACACGGGCATTAGCTGGAAATAGAATATAATTTCTTTTAATGAAATGTCCCCATGCTGAGAAACTCTGTTCACTCTTGCTATTAATTCCCCAATTTTATGAAAAAGATGTAAAGGCGGTTCATAACTAAAAATCAATGATATTTTAGTATGCAGTTACTCATTTTTACATATTTAAAATAGTAAATGTGATAACATTCTTACATGTTAAAACTGATTTTGGAGATTCTTAAAATACTATGAGATTGATAAAATTTGTCAAGAAAAAGACATGTTTTATATTAATCTACAGTCTTTCTTACATTTTTAAGAGGAAGATGTTGCAAATGGAAGCCATTTCTATTCACAGAATAAATGGTTATTACAATTCCACCAGTGTTTTTCAGCTTTTGATTCAAACTTTGCTTTATGATACTCTTTCCCCAAAAATAAGACCCTACTGGAAAATAAATCCTAGCATGATTTTTCAGGAGGCTCGTAATATAAGCCCTACTCCCAAAATAAGTCCCAGTTAAGATTGTTAGCCAGATAGATGCTAAGACCTAACCAGAAAATAAACCCTAGTGCGTCTTTCGGAGCAAAAATTAATATAAGACCCGGTCTTATTTTCAGGGAAACACAGTACTGAAAATAAAATATCTTGTCCAGGAGACTGTGGATAAAAAATTGACTCCTATATACGCTTGAAGAAAGGTTCCCTCTTGGTTAGCACTCGTGTAATTTGGAGGATCACCCAATGAAGAATATAGATTTGAGTATGTTTCACGTATGTTGACTTGGAGACTTTTCATCTCTCAGCATATGTTAAAAGAGGGCAGAACTGAGACAAAAAAAGGGAACAATTTTTATTTGGAAAAGAAAAATAATTTGTATCCACACATCTTCATCTCTGACTTGTTTGTAGTCTTGTTACCTTTGGAACTGCAGAACAGAGTAAATAAATAATATGAAGCAAAGGTGAAGAAGTTTGTAGCCCTGTTATCTGAGATACTCTGAAGATCCATATTCTTCCTCGGATATCTCAGATTTTCCTTCAATAACGTGATAATGATAAAAATAAGCCTAGTGCATCTTTTGGAACAAAAATTAATATAATGGTCTTATTTTCGGGGAAACACGGTAGATGCATCTTATAAATGTTCATAAAAAGCATTACCTCTTTTAAGTTTTCTTTACAGAGGGGACACTCTGGAGCATGGTCCAAACAGCGTTGTAAACATTTCTTGCAGAATGTATGGCCACAAGGTGTTGTCACAGGATGAAGGAAAAGCCTAAAAAAATGTTGCAAATTTTAGTGAATTATCTTTAAGATGCAAATACAAATGAATCAGAAAAAAGTAACTTGAAGGATGCACACAAAAACTGTTACTAAAGATAATTCTCGACTTATGACCACAATTGCTCCTGCTGTTAAGCAAGACATTTGTTAAGTGAATATTGATTGACCTGTTTTACAACCTTAATTGCCACAGTTAAGTGAATCATTACAGTTGTTAAGTCAGTCACACGGTGTTAAGTGAATATGGATTCTTCATTGACTTTGCTTGTCAGAATATCACAAAAGGTGATCACATTAATCAAGGATATCGCAACCAATGTAAGTATGAGTAAATTGCCAAGCATCTGAATTTTAATCATGTGACCATTGAGATCAGGGGTGAAATCTAAATTTTTTTTTTTTTTAAATTTGATTTATATGCCGCCCTTCTCCGGAGACTCAGGGCGGCTTACAATGCGCTAAGCAATTTTGCTACCGGTTCTGTGGGCGTGGCTTAATTAGTGGGCGTGGCTCAATGGTAAGGTGACTGGGAGGGCGTGGCTTGTTGGCCAGGTGGGCGTGGCCAAGTCAATGTCACTTCTTTGCCCTTTTTTAACCTACAAAACACAACACAACACAACTGGTTCACCCACAATGTAAAAGCAGCTGTGCTAGACCCAAAATGGCCCCTGCAACACAGCTACAAAAAGCCCAAAAAACCAACTTTCACACTTTACACACACAAAATTCCACATACAGCTTTGTGAGATTTTGTGTGTTTGTGTAGAGTGAAACACTACAGAAACACACTAAATCTCAGAAAGCTGCACAAATATTTTATTTTAATTTATTTTTATTTTTATATAAAAGCAGCTAAATTTAAAACTTCCTAAACTTTAAATGGCTAGGTCTAAAAACAGAACAACTAAAAAAAAAACCCCAATTAACTATTTTTTTAAAGCTCCCAAAGGGGGAAAAACTTACCCAGTAGAACAGGGGTCTCCAACGTTGGCAACTTTAAGACTTGTAGACTTCAACTCCCAGAATTCCTCAGCCAGCTTTGCTTTGCTGGCTGAGGAATTCTGGGAGTTGAAGTCCACAACTCCCTGCCTTCCTGACTGCAGCTAAGGTAAGCAAGCTGAGGGGGGGAGAGGGATTTTTGCTATGAGCCATTTAAAAGGAAAATAGTTTTTTTGTTTTACATGGCTCTGGCGATCCAAGCTGAGTTGCCTGATTAGCAGGCAACTTAGCTGGGATCGTCAGAGCTTGGCCGATCAGAGCCATTTAAAAGAAAAAAAAGGCTCTGATGATTGTGCGGCTCAGCTGGGCATGGGGGGGGCGGGGGAAGGAATTTTTGCTACCAGTTCTCCGAACTGCCCGCCGCCATCGCTACCTACTCGCCTGAGCCGGTCCGAACCGGGAGCATTTCACCCGATTGAGATGCTGCAACAGTTGTAAGTGTGAAAACTGGTCATAAGACACTTTTTTCAGTGTCTTTTGTAACTTTGAACAGTCATTAAATGAAGTATTGTAAGTACCTGTATTTATTAGCAAATTAGAGACAGGGAACATTTCAACTAGCAATTTTATTTTATTTTACTTTACTTTGTGTCTTTGAATCAAGTGCTGATTCCTGGAGACTGTCTGTACAAGTCCCTCCAGTTTTCTTGTTAAGAATTCAGAAGTGATTTGCCATTGCCCAATTTCAATTTAGCCTGATGCCTTAACTGCTATCCCAAACTGGGTCTCCAGCAAAGAAAGCCAGAAATTGGAAACTTTTATAGATCCATTAAGCCAATTTTCTTTCATTTCATTTCAATAGGTGGATAGTATGCTAATATTATTTATGAGTGTCATTCTGAGGACTTCTAATACTGCTAATAATTGCTAAGCAAACATTTTAAAGAAATCTAGCCAACCAAATATGGTTAGAACTTACTTCTGAAACTTCACCTTATTTTGCAATCTTATTAAGGGATTTTGAACAAATCATGAGAACATTTTCATAAAGAAATAATTTTAGTAGCTTCTGTGCACTGAGTTTAATATTAACACTTCCTACTATATACCATGATAAAAAGACCATAAATGTTGAATTCAGACTGTATTACCTCAAACACAATGAGCACTCAAAGTCTGTTACATCAACCAAATTTTCTGGAACTATTCCACAGGTGATTGAAAAGGTAGCATTCCCTTTTGGAGTTTCTAAACAAATTAAAACATGAAATAGTGCATAACTCATAAAACAATACATGTGACCAAATATTTATTTTCTTGTTTCCGTCTTCACAAATAGTAGCAAATAGTTTGTTCGGAAAAAGGCAACTTCCTCTCAAAATAAGTACCTTTCTCTTGGCCAGAAAGCAATGGTTCAGAAGATACTCTTTTTAATATATCGTCTTTGGCATCTTTTTCTACTGAATCAAGAGAATTTGCAGACTGGGCATGTTGCAAACTTCCTCCAACAGTGTCTAGTGTAACTTGTGGCTCTTCTAAGACCTATATGAAGAAACAAAAATTAACCTTATCTCTTTGATATTTGATAATGAAATGGCAACTAATATTCCATTACCAGATTCAGTTTTCAGTATTCTATCTTTATTTCTTGAACATATGTACTGACCATTTCAATTAACTGACATATTGAACTTTAGTTAAGCAGCATTAAAATATTTTCAAGACACAAACATACATGGAACACAAATCTAAAACCAGTTCCAGTGATCTTCATAATTATTTTGCATGAGAATATTACTTACTGACACTGGGGTGAGCTGAAAACAATCATATGAGTCTTCCATTTCAAATGCAGAGCTGTGTTTAAGTTGTTTACTTCGAATATATGAAATATTTAAAGCAGATTCTTTCAATGTCTCACTAATGTTTTCTGGTGACAGCAAATTACGCAATATCTATAAAATTGACATTAAGGAATAAAATATGATTATTACATTTAGTAAATAACACAAATAGATTTCTTCAATATTGTCCCAGTATTTAGACATTAAATAGTTCATAATTCTCCCACAATCTGAAAGAAGTCTGAGTAACCAACAATTATTTATCTTAATGTTACTCCATTGTGTAATGCTACTCCGCACATACTTTTAGTTACAATTTTCTGATGACATTTTGTTTGAATATTAGTTATCTATAACATTAATTCAAATGAAAGCAGTAGTTGCATAACAGTATATAACAGAGAATATAATTCCCAGATTTTGTCAGAGGGTTTTGATGACATACAGATTTTTGGTAGCCTAAATATATTTCTTAGACTCTTACAAAAATTTTCCCCTAAAACCATTCCCCATCTCAACAGCATGAAAATCTCTGTTTTATTATTATTTTCAGTCATGATCTGCCTCCTTTCCAAACTAATTTCTTAAAAAAAAAATAAGTCTGACCATAAAAGATATTTATAAGAATATGTAAGTACCTTTTTTGCTTCTACTTTTGCTAAAACAAATCCTTCATCAAGGGATAAGCATTGAAGAAAGACCTTTAAGGCGTCTTCTACTGAACCAGCATTATTAAGTATTGTTGCTCTTCTGAAATATACCTGCAAGATGATTTTATGTATTAATATAAGACACATTTATTGTGATTGAATTTGCTATACAAACCTAATCCTAAGCATGTTTTTTTCTGAAGCTACTAATACTTCCTGTTACTAGGTTTAAGTTTGTTTTTAAAAACATTTGCTAGATTCACTGATGCTAAAACTAGAACTAAAATAAACCATACAGACATGAAGCTAATGGGAAACAATAATATACATTACTTATAGATGAAATATTTTGCTCCAATTTTAAAATATATAATTACATCTGCTTTATTTTATTAAGCATTTAAGAAAAGGTAAGAAGGAAAAATAAAGCATAAAGTGGATAAAGAGTGAATATACAAGAATAGTATTAAATTTTAAATATTTATTAGTTGATTAGTTTTTAATAACAGATTACACTGTTTTAAAAATTACAAATCACTGTAAGAATCCAAGTAACAGAAATATCAATAGCAATAATTAATGCATATAAATTTAAAAATGAGATTTAAGTATTACAGTGTTTTCTATCCAAGTAATTGAAGACTTTATATTACGAAAAACCAAAATTTCAGATGTGATACAAGCTGTACATAAAGTTATAATACCAAAATGATTTCCAATTTGGGATGAAATTCTGTATCAGATTTATATTTGAAATACAAAGTTATTGTGGATATTATAGTGCATACTCCCAGGGCTTAATTAGCAATTTTTCTGCAGAAATAACTGGGTTCCAACAAGAAACTTACAGTATCCTTACAATGTTTACAATATATAAAGCTAATTTGGTATATTTTGTTTGAATATAAGGTTTAGTTATACCGTATTTATTTTAAAAAATATTATGTTGGGAAATTGAACTTCTTAAATTTGTTTCATTCTATTAAAAATAATTCCCCAAATTGTTGAGCTTTACTTCATTGCCAGCAGCTACAACAAAACAGTGCAACATAGCCATTATTTTCCAATAATTTTTGAAAATGAACTCTCCATTTTAGCAATTAGTACCAGAGATAAAACATCTTAAGTGCTGTCTAAGTATAACATTCAGTATAAATTTATTTTTTTTCTTCCACTGAAATTTCCATTACTGTATATCAATTGCTATATTGAAATTCTGCATCCATTTAATCAAGCAGTCTTTAACATCTTTTGTTTCTGCTGTTGGTTTCATCCACAATTTATAAAGAAAACCCAGCAAATGATATGAATTTTGTCTTATGAAACTTATCATTAAATGCTGACCACATGGAATAATACTTTTCAGTACATCAACTAACAGTCATTTCAGAAACAGGAATTGAATAAATACAGTAGGTTCTAAGGTTGTATATTTGGACTGTATATATATTTCTTTTCAGTACAGAACAGTAAAACAAGTTTACTCTGTGATAGATAAAACTCTAGTTCTTCATATAATGATATGTATAAATTTTGGATATATAATTTAAAAGTATATTCACATTAGATATAACATTCATGTAACTGCCCTTTGTATGGCATTTCAGGCAGATGTCTCTGACGCATTAACTAAAATTCCTGTTTCTGCCATGAATTGAGTATATATAGCCTATAAACCAAAGAGAGGAACAGAATGTTTGCAAATTTCCTGTCAAAGCATGACCTTTTGAATCTTCCTATATAATATACAAGTCATAACGCTTCTTTCATTGCTTTAGTAACTATCAGGGAGGTTAAGGAAACATCAGTCACAAATTACACAGCATTTTTCACCTTTGCAAATCTTTATATTCTTAATAATGCAAACTAAGCTACAGAATACAGTACTTGTAGTTTACACATTTAAACATCCTTTACTTCAGAATCTTACAGAATCTTCTCTTGCACATTGACTTGACATTATATGTAGGTAGTTCTCAACTTATAACCATTCTTTTAGCAACTGTTCTAAGTTACAATGGTATTGGAAAAAAAATGACTTAAGACCAGTCGTCACACTTAATGACTACCACAGCATCCCCATGGCCACATGATCAAAATTTGAGTGTTTGGTAACTGGCATGTGCTTACCATGGTTGCTGCATTCCAGGGTCATGGTGATTGCCAGCTGGCTTCTAACAAGGGAAGTCAATGCAAACAACCATATGATTCACTTAACTGCAGTGATTTGCTTAATAACTGTGGCAAAAAAGTCATAAAATTGGGTACGACTCACTTAACCACCTTGCTTAGCAACCAAAATTCTGGTTCCAATTGTGGTAAGTCAAGGACTACCTGTAATATGTCCAGACACTGGCCATTTCTTTTGTAGAATTAAGGATGAAGAGCCATTGAGCCCAATTTCAGATACTTCAAGTTTAGGTCAAACATCCTTACAATTGCTTCCAGAACAAGAGGAGGATTCTCTAATCTATGGGTTGGATATAGTCAAAGGGTTTTTTCTTACAGGGGAGCCTCCGCTGATCCCATGTCTTTTCCCATTGCTGATTTGGTTTATTTGATCATCTGATTATATTTTTTGATTATCTACCCTGTAAAAGATTTGTGTCATTGCCATAATTCTGTAGGACCCAGAAAATGTTGCCAAGAGTATGGGTTTCAAACTGTTTCAGGCTGCAGGGACCTGTATATTAAACATACAAAAATCCTGGCGCCCTTGATGAAGAAGTTGAGGTAATTCCATGAGAGACTATAGGTTTTTTAAAAATGATTTAAATACAGCCATTTTTATCACTAGAACTTTGATCAGAGGCTCTGGGATTCTTTTTTCCCTTTAACCTGCAGATCCCTGCAGACTGAAAAAGTTTGAAACCCATATTGGGAAATGTTTTCTGCATCTTACAGAATGGCAGCAATGATACAGATATTTTCCAAGAAATATGCATTATACTTACTTCAAAAACAATTTTAAAAATCCCAAAACAAAACAAAACAAAACCAGAAGTACTTTTGGGCATAATTTATAATTTCTTATGTTGGCCTCTTAGATACATTATGGAAAAATACAGAACCCTATGCTAAGTAACTTCATTTGGGTTTATACTTACCTCAGGCCAATTTGGCATTTTAGCCGTAACAGCATTCAGTTCATCTAGTGCAGATTTAAATTCTTGAAGACTAGCATAAGATTCAGCTCTGTAAATTCGTAACATTAAATCACCAGGATCTAAAAGAAATACACACATATTTAGAACACAGTTTACTGAACCCAATTGTAAAACTCTGTAATTTAAACAGCATATGTAATATAAACATAGAGAGCTAGTATGATCTAGTGATTCAGACAGTGAGTTCTAATCCCGCTTTAGGCTTAAAAGCCGGCTGAGTGACTTTAGGTCAATCACTCTCTCTCAGCCCATGATGTCAGGCTTGGGTGACAATCCCTATCACACCCACTGGATCAACATTTGACTGATCTGAAAAGCAGCCTTGCACCTGTGAGGAAAAATAAGAAAAAAGTAATATAAACCTAGAGAACAGATATTCAGATGGTAAAATAATCATGCAGGAAAAGGCCTCTATGTTTGAAGAAGGTAGATAGTAATTTACATAAGATCATATGTAAATATATTTCTTAATGTATTAAAAAGCAAAGAGGGCATAATTCAATGCTTCCTGTATTTTTTTCAGCAGTACATTTTGTAACTGATTGTTCCATAAAACTGTTACTTACAAATACAAAAAAAGAACAGCCAAAATCAATGCAACTTTTGATTAAAAGTTTACTAATCTTCATTTTAAAGGCGATTTGCTTATGGCAGGGATGTAAGTTAGGAAAGAACCATGCTATAATTGTATCGCCAATGTCATGGGAAGTTGTGACATTGTAAAGAAACAAAAGCACATAATTTTAAAAGAACCCTGAAGTGCTAATTGTAAGAAGCACAAGAGTTTTTTTTTTTTTTAAAAAATAGCAACTTAAATACATTTGCAAAGAATTTTTTTAAAAAACTCCTTTGTTCATTTCTCCAAACTGAACCTAGGCATAATATTTTTGTCTTTCTTTTCTAATGTGTGAGTAATGATGAGGGGAAAATGAAATTACATTAATATTCAAACATTTTTCTAATAAGGTCACATCAAAATCTGCACTCAATGATTCTATATGAAGAAAGCAATACAAAGGCAGCACAACTGCTGTCTTGGTGATACAAGTTTAGTCAATAACTTGGAGCAATTTTTAAAACTGTCATAAGGCTTTATTACTCACACTTGGAATCTTATTGTGTTAATGCACAATAAGAAAAAGCATTTAGAATAGAGCTGAAGTCCTTTATAACTGACCTCTTAAGACTTGGTGTTTACAACTTCTGTTGATAAAGTCCGATGCTAGATTATGTAAACAAGGAGCATTTTTAAATTATTATATTCTATTGTATTAAACTTTTACAAATTAACTTATAGTATGCTTTTGCATTAGTTTACTGCTACTCTGCTCCATGCATATTAAGTCAGACTGCAGACTTTTATTGCAGTTATTTCTACATCTCTAGATCTACATCTCTAGATTATCTACTAATAACTGTACCTCAGACACTCAGAATCATCCTTTATAAGACATATAAATGCCCTGAATTGAGTGTTTTTAATGCTTTGGAATTCATATATATATTAACTGAGTTCCTTGACAAAACGATCAAGTGCAAAAGATCCCTCCGCAATATGAAGGAATCTGGTTTCAAATTTCAAGTTGAAACTATGCTAACCTGATTAAATTGTTTCTTTTCCTGCATGTTTTAATTTTAGAAAATTGCAATATGAAGCTCACAGAATCTTAAGTACAAAATAAAAACTGAAGAATGTTCATAAAGAATAAGTATGTTTTACACGTGTGCACTTAGTCTGTAGTATGAGAAACTATCAGAAAAACAGACAAATTTAGTGTCATGATGGCTACCGGTCCGTATACATAAGGAAATAAAGCAATATAAATATAATTAAGTACCCTTAATATTTTTCACATTGCACTCTAAATACTTACCATTTAAGAATGCACTAAATTGCTAACTGAATTACACTAATCTCTTGACCTTGGTGTATTCAAATCTTTGCCCAGCAATGTGTTGATGAAAGCCCTATCTGTCTATTTATGATATCACCAATATTATACAATATTTTCCCTTCCACACCCACATTTCCTTATGTAATCAGCACCAGCAGGTGAATTATCTAAACGCTTGAGGGAGGCTGCATATAATCTTCCTTTCCTAAAATTACTAGGTCACGAGTGATTCATAATCCTCCAAACAGGTATATGAAAAGATTTTCAAGACACTTCCTAAAACATTTTAAATTGTCCATATAAAGATTTCCTTATTTTACAGTGCATACATTCTGGATGGCTTTTGAAATATGATGGCTGTTTCTAGACAATTACAGCACAAAGTAACCTGGCTCTTAGTTGCTACATAATAATGAACATTCTGAAGAATGTATCTAAGTAAACTTTGCAGCCCATCTGTCCCTGTAAGGAAATAGGAGTGCCAACTTCTCTATCTTCTACAGAATTGTATACAGCCAAGTATAAAACAAATAGCTTTGCTGTGATATTGCTGACACAGCAAGCCGTTTTAGGACAACTACCCTTTCACATCTCACCGTAAATTATTTTATGATTAGCCTTTTTATCTTTGCATATACATTAAGAAAAAACCCGGTGTGTTTTATGCTTCGTCTAAAATCGCTATTTCATACAGCAGCCAGCAAAAATACAGGTAGTCCTCAGTTTACAACCATAATTGGCCCAGACTTGATGTTGCTAAGTGAGAAATTTGTTAAATGAGCTTTGCTCCATTTTTACAACTTTTCTTGTCACATTTGTTATGTGAGTCACTGCAGTTGTTAAATTAGTAACCCAGTTGTTAAGCGAATCTGGCTTTCCCCATTGACTTCGCTTGTCAAAAGGTCAAGAAAGACGATCCGCACAACGCGGAGGATGCTGCAACCGTCATAAATATGAACTGGCCGCTAGGCATCCGAATATGAATCACACGACCACGGAGATGCTGTTAACAGTTGTAAGTGTGAGAAATGGTCATAAGACACTTCTAACTTTGAACGTTCACTCAAATGAACCGTTGTAGGTTGAGGACTACCTGCACTGGTATCCGAACCTCCTCGAATGGATTTATTGATTGATTGATTGGTTTGATTTATATGCCGCCCTTCTCCAGAGACTCAGGGCGGCTTACAATGTGTTAAGCAATAGCCTTCATACTTTTCTATATATCTACTTAGTAGGGCTTTCGGCCCGCCCTAAGCAGTGTTCTTTTTTATACAAAGTCAGCTTATTGCCCCCACAATCCGGGTCCTCATTTTACCTACCTTGAAAGGATGGAAGGCTGAGTCAACCTTTTTTTTTTTTTTTTTAATTTGATTTATATGCCGCCCTTCTCTGAAGACTCAGGGCGGCTTACAATGTGCTCAGCAATAGCCTTCATCCTTTTGTATATTTATACAAAGTCAGCTTATTGCCCCCACAAACTGGGTCCTCATTTCACCTACCTTAGAAAGGATGGAAGGCTGAGTCAACCTTGAGCCTTGGCGAGATTCGAACCCTGCAGTAATTGCAGGCAGCTGGTCTTAGTAAGCTTAATAACAGGGTGCCTTAAACCCCTGTACTACCAAGGCTCTTGAGCCTTGGTGAGATTTGAACTTGCAGTAATTGCAGGCAGCTGGTGCTACTTAACAGCACTTTAGTCTGCTGTGCCACCAAGGCTCTTTTTAGATTGAAATTGGATTGATTTGTACTTTCACTGAAAAATTAGCTCGGGCTTTCCAGCGCAAAAAAAGAAGCAAAAAGAAGGCATTTCATTATTATAACAGACCTCCGGATTTTTCGTCGGGCCCTGAAAACCTATTTATTTCAACTAGCTGGGCTGGCTTGAGTTAAATTTTAAATTGATTTTAAATTGGGTTGTTTTAATTTACGGCCAAATATTTAATTATTTTAATACTGTTTTTAAATTTTGTATGCTCTGTTTTTTACCTTGGCTGTGCACCGCCCTGAGTCCTATTTGGAGAAGGGCGGTATAGAAATTTAATTAATTAATATATATATATATATTACACAACATTAATCCGATGAACATTACTTCGAGAAGCTCCCGACAACCCAGGGACCCTGCAACCGTCATAAATATGAACCGGTCGTCAGGCATCCGAATATAAATCACGCAACCACACGGATGCTGTTAACCGTCCTAAGTGTGAAAAATGGTCATTAAACACTTCTTGATTCTTGATGAACCTATCTTTTCTTTTATGTACACCGAGAGCGTATGCACCAAAGACAAATTCCTTGTGTGTCCAATCCCACTCGGCCAATAAAAAATTCTATCCTATTGTAACTTTGACCGGTCACTCAAATGAACCGTTGTAAATCGAGGACTACCTGCGCTGGTATCCGAGCCTCCTCGAATGGATTGAAATTGGGATTTATTGGTAGATAACTTTCACTGGAAAAATTTAGCTCGGGCTTTCCACCGCAAAACACACACACACACACACACACACACACACACGAAAGGCATTTTCATTATTACACAACATTAATCCGATGAACCAATCTTTGAACTTCGAGAAGCTCCCGACAAGCCGGCGATCTGCAAAGTCCCCGGGGTCACCGCAGGCACGAAAACATCCGAGGCTTTGCAAAAGCTCTTTAAATCCGCCCCCGGGGATCCCGGATCCTGTAACCTTCCTCCTCGGGCTCTTTTTCACGATCCACTAAATCCGGGATCGCAGAAACACTCCCCACCCCCCACCCCACTTCACAGCCATAGGATCTGACTCGCAATAGGGGTTATGTGTATGGGGGGGGGTAATATAAAGTTGACGGAGGTGGGGGCTGTCTTATGCCCTTACCCTTTCGGAGCGCCTGGTCGGCGGCTTCCCGAGCCTCACGGGGCCGCCCCTGCCGGAGCAATTCGGCCAGCCGTCTCCACGTCCGAGCCCTGGCGCATTCCTCCGGGAACCACTTCTCCGCCAAGTGAGCCAGGACCACGGCGACCGTGGTGCCCCCCAGCGGGTCCCCGCAGTGCCGGCAACGGGCGTGAAGCCTCTCCCGGAGGCAGCGGCGGCAGTAGGTGTGCCCGCACGGCGCCGTCACCGGCTCGCCCAGGAAGCTGAAGCAACCCCAGCAACGGAAGAGCTCCGAGGGGATTTCCCGCTCGCCGCCAGCCGGGTCGAGAGCTGTCCCGGGGGACACCGCTACCGGCGAGGACGCCATGGCTTCCCTCTTGGCTTTCTTTCCGCCGGGAGGGGAGAGTCTACCTCAGCCGCCACCGCTCGCCGAGCTCTCTGGCCCGGGAATGGGACGGCCGTTGAGCTGGGGGCGTGTCTCTCTCACTCTCTCTCTTTCTTTCGCCGCGCGCGCGAGCACTTCCGGCAGTTCGTTCGTTATTAGCCGTTAGGCGCGCGCGCGCCCCCTCATAGTCTTCTCTTCCCCGCCCCTTCCTCTTTTCCTCCTCCTTTCCCCCCCCCACTTTTTTTTTATTTTAAAGGAAGCCGCCGTCTCTCTCTCTCTGTTCTCCGCATAATTGGGTACGCCTCCCTGCCCCGCCCTTTTCTTAAACCAGCGCGAGACGAAACCCTCTCCACCCTCGCGTTTTTTTTTAAAAAAAACCAACCAACCAACCAACCAACCAACGGCGCGTCATCTGATTTTCCACGCAGGCTGGCTTTTCGATTGGCTCGCGAGCGGGGGGGGATGGGGGGGTGGAGGGAGGGCGCGACCGGAGGAAAGGTGGGGGGGGGGGGGGGGAGGAGCGGGGCAATTATAAAAGGCGGACCACGTGTGTTGTCTTTTTCGGGACTTCGGCGGTTGGGCAGGGGGAGGAGCTAGGAGCGTGGGCGGAGCTTGCTTTCTGGGTGGTTTTAACTCACTATTTCTTTTCTGCGGTGAGAACGTTTTGGAGTTTTTTTTTTTCCTGTTTCTTCCGAGGGATGGTAGCTTCGTCATCAACTTTGGAAGCTTAATTTTTTTTTTTAATTTTTACCACAACCTTGCAGGGGAAAGCTCTCCGATGGGAGCTGTGCTAGAAAAAAGTGGCAGGTGCATTATAGTCTGGTTAACTTTCAAAGGAGAAATCTATAGAGATTCAGTAACAGAGTTGGAAGGGACCTTGGAGGTCATCTAGTCCAACCCCCTGCTCACACAGGAGACCTGTACTAGTATTAGTATTAGTAATTATCTAGTCAGGTAATTAAGTAAGGATGATTCTCAGTCATCCAGGTCATGGTTGTCCCAAAGGTGCTTTTTTTTAGGAGGCAATTGGACTTTCTTGTTTTTTCTTTTGAAGACGTTTCACTTTTCATCCAAGAAGCTTCTTCAGCTCTGACAGAATAGTGGGGAATGGAAGGATTTATATCTCCTTTCAAAGGAGAAAGGAGATAATAAGCCCTTCACGATGTTCTTGTAGCCTGCTTATCCTAGACAACCGCCAACTCTGGCATAGACATTATGTTTCAGCATAGCAAATTACAATATTTTTTCTCATTACTGCATCTTCTTTTCTCTTGGAAATGAAGCAACTGTGTGTTTAATAATCTAATTTATGTGGTTAATCAGTTGCATCAGAACAGACTAACAGAGTTGGAAGGGACCTTGCAGGTCATCTAGTCCAACCCCCTGCTCAAACAGGAGACCCTACACCATTTCTGACAGGTTAGTCCAGTCTCTTCTTGAAAGCGTCCAGTGATGAAGCTCCCATAACGTTGATTGTTCTCACTGTCAGAAAATTTGTCATTTTCAGGTTGGATCTCTCCTTGTTCAGTTTCCATCCATTATTCCTTGTCTGGCCTTCAGATGCTTTGGAAAATAGGTTGACCCCCTCTTTGTGACAGCCCCTCCAGGTGTGGATTCTACTTGCCTTTACTACTGGTTTATAACAGGGCCGCGCGCGCGCGCGCACGCTCTTTGCATGCGCAGAAGCATTTTGATGACATCGGAGTGGGTGGGCGGAGCCTCCCTCCGGTTTTACTACCGGTTCTATAGAACCGGTCCGAACTGAGCCCCTCAAATATTGGAACACTCCTATTATGTCTCCCCTGGTCTTTCTCTTCACTAGATTACCTAGTTCATCATAATTTTTAGCCTTCAGTCCCCTAATCATTTTGGTTGCTCTTCTCTGCACTCTTTTTAGAGTCTCAACATCTTTTTTTATAGTGTAGGGCCATACTCCCTGCTTTTATTTATACAACCACTTTTAGTAGTGATTGTAAGAATTTGAGGGGTAAGAATTGGGGTAGTTCATACATCCTTTTCCCTTAATTTCTCCCCCCCCCCCATTATTGTTATTCTCAGGTGGCTTCCATCCATCCATCCATCCATCCATTCATCCATCCATCCATCCATCCATCTTCTATCTATCTATCTAAATGGCTGTGTGTGTGTGTGTGTGTGTGTGTGTGTGTGTGTGTGTGTGTCTGTGTGTATGTTCCAGCATAACTCTGGAACGCCTTGAGCAATTTCAACCAAACTTGGTACACAGATGACTTACTCTCTGGAAAGAAATACTGTGAGGGTAAGACACTCCAACACCCCTCGGGGCATGTGTTCTGTTAAGATACAGCCTGTTGTGCCTTAAAATGGCTTCTACTGTACTGCCTTAAAATGGCCTTACTGTGCAGCACAGTGGAGTTGCCATGGTAACGGCTTCACAGTACGCCACAAGGGGGTCCCTCTGGTAAGGGGGAAAATCCAACATTAGAAATTACGTTTGGTCCGGACATTTTCAACAAGGCTTTGATTATTCTTGAGGACAAATGTATGGCCACGATCAATAAAACATTACTGCCACTCGGCCTGCCTGCACCACTACGAGACTGACATGATGTACTTCACGTAGATTACATACAAGAAAAGAACTACAACATTGAATAGCTTAGTGCATATATTGCAGACAAGAAGCCACTTCTAAATCAAGATCAGAAAAAGCATACCAAATGATCATAGATCAGCTAGCAAAACAACACTTCTGGGGGCACAGGGAAAACATTTTTAATTAATTTAATTCTTGCCAAAATCAGGGCTCAGGGTGAAGTTGCTCTTCCTGTCTAATACAGGATTGGGATGAATAAATATTCGGGCAATGCCGGGTTATCAGCTAGTTTTAAAATAAGCAAACACAAAATGTATTTATCACATGTATGATCTGGAGACTGCAATCTTACTGTCAGCCTAGTTGGAAACCTGTTACCAGGTTGGTAAATCTGGCATTTTAGGGAGCTGTGGCTGGGCTGCTATTCAGATAGTCTTGACTTAAGGCCACAATTGAGCCTCAAATTTTGGTTGCTAAATGAGAAGGTTGTTAAGTGAATTTGCCCCGTGTTATTACTTTTCTTGCCACAGTTGTTTAGTGAATCACTATAACTTAACTATCACTGTTAAGTTAGTAACATGGTTGTGAAGTAAATCTGACTTCCCCATTGACTTTACTTGTCAGAAGGTCGCAAAAGGAGATTACATGACCCCGGGATACTGCAACCGTCATAAATATGAGTCAGTTGTTAAGCGTCTGAATTTTGATCACGTGACCATGAGGATACTACTGTGTTTCCCTGAAAATAAGACCCTGGCTTATATTTTTTTGAACCCTGAAATAAGCGCTTGGCCTTCTTGCCATGCGCTCAAAAGCCCGATTGGGCTTATTATCAGGGGATGTCTTATTTTGGGGAAACAGGCTACCACAGTTGAAAAACAGTCATAAGTCACTTTTTCCAGTGTTGTAACTTTGAACAGTCACTAATGAATTGTTGTAAGTCGAGGACTCTCTGTACTGGTATCTCTTCCATTATGCATGGCAAAATATTCGTGTCTGGGGCATCCTGGAGGATTGTTAAACTTTTCTAAACAGTAGAGTAATGAGTCATTTTTGTATCTCTATGAACTCAGCTGCAATGGGAACAGGTAACCTATAATTTGCATGTTTTTCGTTGACATGGATCAGTGGTACTGCATACTGGAGGGGAAAAAATCTAAGCTGGGTTGAAACGAATATCTGACTTTTAGTTAGCCTAATTTTGCTTTCCAAGGAGAGAGATGGCTTCCGTCATTTGAGTTTGATCCTAGAAGAATTGTCACTGCATCTTGTTCTAGAATAACTGCTGTCCTTACATATTGCCATTCAAAGCAATAGCCCTGTATCAGGGGTGAAATCCAGCAGGTTCTGGAGAACCGGTAGCGGAAATTTTGAGTAGTTCGGAGAACCGGCAAATACCACCTCTGACTGGCCCCAAAGTGGGGTGGGAATGGAGATTTTGCAGTATCCTTCCCCCAGGAGTGGGGAGGAAATGGGGATTTTGCAGTATCCTTCCCCTGCCATGCTCACCAAGCCACACCACGCCCACCAAGCCATGCCCACAGAACCAGTAGTAAAAAAAAATTGGATTTCCACCATTGCCCTGTATGGAATCTCCTGAACACCTATCTGCATAGCAAAAGTGGTCAGTCAGCAGATAGGTGAATGTACTGTGAAACTTGAGTTTCTGACTACATTACAATTCTTCCGGGGAAGGTCTGGTCACAAGAGTATTTTTGGAGACCTACCAAGACCTGATGCTTGCACTATGAACAGCTCCCTTTCATAAGAGCTAGTTCTTATAAAAACCGTTTCAATTAATAAGGGTTAGAAGTCCCCACCCACCGTATTCACTTCCCATTCCCTTCCTTTAATTGTGTAAGCTTGAGAACTATCATTTCCTTAGTCTAACTGACCTGTAGACTAGATGAGAGGTGGTTCATGTAAACAGCAAAATATAAATACTTCAAATAAAATGGAACTGTTCAGAAGGTGTAACTGCTTTAAAGTAGCCTCAGTTGTTCTAGAAATCATGGCCAGCTAGGTACGTAAGTAGTTTCTTTGTGTTGAAGCCTTAAATGTTTGAAGGGAAACTCGGTTTATAAACTGAGTTTAATCCCAAACACTGAACTTTCAGATTTACAGAAGCAAAATAACATTTGGGGGATATAGTCATATACAAAACAATTTGTACAAATTGATTTTTAATTTTTTTAAATTTTATTTTGTCAAGCATGTATTTTATGACAGATACAAGTGTAAACATAATTATAAATACATGAAAAGGATACAAATAAAAGAAAATATTAGGACGGTAGGCACACTGGTGTGCTTTTGCACGCCCCTTAACAGACCTCTTAGGAATGGGGTGAGGTCAACAGTAGACAGTCTAAGGTTAAAGTTTTGGGGATTTGGGGAAGAAACCACAGAGTCAGGTAGTGCATTCCAGGCGTTGACAACTCTGTTACTGAAATCGTATTTTCTGCAGCCTAGTTTGGATCGGTTTACCATGAGTTTGTATCTATTGTGTGCTCTTGTATTGTTTTGGTTGAAGCTGAAGTATTCATAT